TTTTTAAATATAATTAAAAGAATAATAAATATATAATAATATTAATAAAAAGTAAATAAGTTAAAAAGTTATTTAATATATAAAGTTTTTTTTTTTAACTTTAAGTATTAATTTAAAACTATAAATAGAGTATTTATATAAAAAAGAGTAAAAAAGAATATAAAGGTTTATAAAAGAAAATATAAATAATAATTAATAAAAGAAATTAATATAATATAAATTTAAATTTTTTTTTATTATATAAAATATATTTTATTTTATATTAATATATAAAAGTATTTATTATAAAAATATTAAATAATTATATATTTTATTATTTTTATTTAAAATAAAATAAAAAAGTTTAAAATAATATAATAAAATAATAATTATAAAAGTTTTAATAAAAATAATTTATATAAGGTTAAAAATTAAATATAAATTATATTTCTATATTTCTTAATATCTTAAATAAGTTTATAAATATAAAAAGAGTTTAAAAATAAATAATAAAATAAAAATAATTACTATTTAAATTTAATATTTAAAATAATATCTTTATAAATAAAATAATATATTTTTAATTAATAACTTAAATATTTTAATTTTATTATTTAAATACTATATTTTATAATATATATATAAAAATAATTTAATTTATAAAATATTATATTATTTAAATATAAAGTTAACTTTAATAATATATTTTAATAATATAAAGTTTTATTTATTTTAAATTTTTATTTAATATACTTTTTATTCTTTAAATTAAAATTATAATATTCTTATTTTATTTAATAAATATAATTAAAAGAAATACTACTTATTTTAAAAGGAAGTAAAATACTTTTATTAAATATTTTATTAAATAAACTAATATTTATACTATATAGATCCTTTAATAAGAAGCTATAAACTATAATAAATTTTAAAATATATAAAGGGCTCTACTTAATTCTATATTTAATATTAATATACTCTAATTAAGTATTAATAATTTTATTTTTATTTATATAGTTTTTAATATAATATTTACTTTAACTATTTTAAATATTAAAGTATAAAGTTTTAAAATTTAACTTTAAATAAGCTTTTATTATTATTTTATAAACTATAATTTATTTAAATAATATAAATATAAATATTATAAGTTAATATATTTTAATAATAAGGTTTTTAAGTTTTATTATTTTATTTTATAAATTTAATATATTTATAATAAATATTTATATATTATTAAGATTTTAATTATTATATAAATAATAATAAAAGTTATTTATTTTTATTAATAAAAAAGATATTATAAACTATATAACCTTAAAAGTATTATAAAATATATAATAAATTAATTATAAAATATTTAAATAATTAGTTTTATTATATATATAATTTAATTTATTTTATAATTATATTAATATTATAAAATATTAAAACTCTATATTATATAAAAGTAAATAATTTATAAAAATAATTCCTTTATTATTAAAAATTTAATACTTTATAAAAATATAGGATTTTATTAAATATTATATTTATTATAAATAGATTATATAAAAATTTTATAAAATAAAATAAATAATTAAAGTTAACTCTAATAAGCTTAAAATTATTAAAATAAAATAATAATATATAAAAATTAAAATAAAATACTTAAATATTTTTAAATTAAAATAAAGAAGTTAATAAGTTTTTTATAAAAGTAATTATTAAATATACTCTATTAAAATCTCTTTTAAAGGTTAATATTTATTAAATATATTTTAAAAATAAAGTTTTATTATTATTAATAAAAATAAATATTAATATAAGGGTTAACTTATATATATTATAATTTATAAACTATTTAAATATCTTTATAATAATATTTTTAAAAATAATAAAATTAATAAATAAAAAGTAATTTATTAAATTACTTTTTAATTTATAAGTAGTTTATTATAATAAAGTAATATTATTATTAAATTATTTAATAGATTATTTAAAGTTTATATTTTATAAAATATTAATATTAAAATTTTAAAAACTAATTATTAAAAATAAATATTTTATAATTATTTTTATATTAATAAAAAAGTTTAACTTTAATATTATATTATAAATATTTAATATTAATTTAATTTAAAACCTAATAAATTTAATTATATAAATTATTACTTATTTAATTTTTATAAATTTTAAATAAAATAGTTACTTTTATATATATTTAAAATTAACTATTTTAAAGCTTATAAATTTATTAATAGTATATTAAAGCTTATAAACTTTAATAAAAGTTAATTTAATATAATTTTAAAGGTATAAAAAAGTATTAAAATAATAATTTTAATTTAAATAATTTTAAAAATTATTTTATAAAAAATTAAGTTAATAATAATATTTTTATAAGATAAGAAAGTAACTTTAAAAGTTAGTTTTTAAGTTAATAAGTTAATAAAAATATTTATAATTATAATAAAAAATAATAATAAAAAAGTTAATAAATATATAAATTATTTATTTTAATATTAAAATATTTTTATAATTAAACCTTAATTAAAAGTTAAATAAAATTAAATTAATAAAAAATAATAATAAAATAATAAAGATAATAATAATTTAATAAATTTAAATAATTAATTTATTATTAAATTATTTATAAATATAAAAATTTAAATAAAATTAATAATATTAAAGTTAAATACCTTTTATAAGAATAATAATTATAATAATTATAATAATTATAATATTCCTTTTATTAATTTAAAAACTAAATTAAAAATAAACCTCTATTAAAATAAAAAAATATTCTTTTTTAAAATAATTTTAATTATTATAAAATAATATTTTCTTTATTTAAAATAATATAATACTATTTATAATAAAAGTTCCTTTAAAAATAAAAAAATATTAACTTTTAAAGTTATAATTAATAGTTTTAAAATAACCTTTTCCTCTATTAGGGATAATATAGTACTATTTAAGGTAAAAGGTTTTATAAAAATAGGAAAATATTATCTCCTGAAGCTGGACTGTAGCCCTGCCTGTAGTTAAGCTAATGAAGTGTGAATAAATAGTTGGGTGGGTGACGAGATGGAAGCTAGTGGCCCGTGCCCCGGCAGGGGGCACGGGCCCTTTTGCTTTTAATTGGATGGAAGAAATTCTGACCAATCAGAGGCCTTCTAGCTTTCATCTTTGGATGTTGGGCCAACAGCGGCTGATGAAGAAACATTGGAAGGTTTTTTATCAGCGTCTGATTGGCCCAACAGCCAAAGTTGACCCCCTTACTTTCCCGCAGCGGTAGTTGGCATCTGGTCAGCATCCTCACAAGCTGGCTCCTTATGTTCAGGGTGAGGCGATACATTTCTACTCAGACAAGGCATGGACTGGGCTGGCCGAGAACGCCGAACTCTGTTTACATGTATTCTTGCTTACGCCCGCGGCCGAACTTCGCCGAGGCGATCGATGTCCAATGCCCGAAGATTATGACATCTAGGGGGCTTGGCAGAAGTGAATGAGCCGGAAAGCTGACGGCATTGGGGATTTTGGTTACACTGCAGTAGGCATTGCTCGCTCAGGTTGAGTAGTTATTCTCTTTGTGCTTAGTCTTATGGTAGTGGTAAGCGGGCATCAGGAATGCCAAGATGCGCTCCAGACAAACACCAAGGGCGAAAAGGCGCATTCCATGATAGATATTACAAACCATGTCGTTCTACGAAGTGTAAACAGACCATTTCCGAGACTAAGATACTGATAAGAGTCGGTAATTTACATATAAGACATCAACGCACTGTTCTTGTGCCGTCATGTGTCCCTACGTCAACCCTCACCCGACCAGCCTCAAACATCCCCAAAGAGATCGGTTTCACTACTAGTACAATTGATTCACGGCCAGCAACTTGACAAATCATGGCTTCGAAAACCTCAATTTTGATGATCGGGCTTGACTTTGACTGGACAAAGAAGAATCGGCCCACGCTTTCTGGGAGGGCGACCGAAGGAGTAATTGCCCGCCTTCAGCAAGCTTTCGCGCAGCTCGACAAAGTCCAGGGGCTTTATTACAAAACCAAACTTCTCATACCAACCTCCGACGGTAAAATCCCGCAGGACGCATACCAGCTCATACGAAATGGCCCGCCAGCTGAGGGCGGAGCAGGCAAGACGTGGGACGGGGTCCTGCTTGGGTTCGGGATTCGATCGGATCTCGCACTGACGCCGGCTTTTGAAGAATTTGTGAACTTCACCAGGGAAACGGTTCCTTCGGCTCGGTTGATGTTCTCGGGGATGCCGGAAGACCAGCTGCCGTGTGTTTTGCGGCATTTTCCTCACCTCGAGAAATAGCTGAAGGCTGAACACCAAGGTCTCTGTGGCCATGGTGCAAAGGATGTTGGTCGGAGCTTGCCACAACCGAGGCCATTTCTCTTGAAAGCCTCACCCGTGCAGCCAAACGATGCTTGTTAACCGGGGCTCCGTGGGAAGAAATTTTCAAATACTTGTGGCTGTTTGTTTGGCTTTCAGGGTGGAATGAGAATCAGGTGGTCTACAACAATAGATGCTAGGACCCACACTCAGATCGAAGCTATGCCAAGGGAAGACTGAACTGTTACAATCTTTGTGATTCTCACGATTTGTGTCTCTTGACCAGCGACAGGGCTGTCAGATCATGTGTATGACCCAGCACACAGCAACCAGGGCCAGGGCTGATCACAGGATTTGCACCTCCTTCACCACCTAGGCAGTCATCGCAAGAATTCTAGAAGGGTGTCAACATGGATTTCCACAACAGCTCAAAGACAAATTGACCGAGGTTGCACCGTGGGTGCACTGTGTCCTTGATCTTCGTCCGATGTCCTGTGGTGACTTGTTTGCTCTGAACAACGGAACAGTGAACTGCAGCAGTGAACCCCAGGCCTCCACTGCTCCATGTTCAATCTCATTCACGGGTGCAGAAGTGAATAGGGAGCTCAAGAGCTGACGCGGGGTCTCGAAAATTTGGTCGCAAAACCGATCCCAGGTTCCTGAACCTCTTTCGCAGCCTCCATCCTTCAACAACCACACTCAGCACTCAGACACAACATCCCCGAGACAACAGAAGGCCACCCCTTGCTTGATCATTACCCATCAACCCAGTCTTTTCATACTTTCAATCAATCCACTCAAGCGCCGACATGGCTCCTCACACCGCCTTCCCTGCGCACGCCGAAGCTCGCTTGGCCGACGCAAACGCGGCCAAGCTGGCGGAGGCCAAGGAGCACGTCCACAACACCAAGGAGCCCGACGACGACGACGAGGCCAGCACGCCTCTGGAGGGTCTCATTCTGTCTGGAGAAGTTCCGGGCCTCAACTTGAGTGCCCGGCAGTGGATTCTGTCGTCTGAAACCAGGATCACTATTGGTCATGGTTCGCCTCAGGCATTCAACCCACTGGTCAGAAACATCAACCTCGCGATGCTGGAGTATTGTAAGTCTCACCTTTTCCTCTTCACGGAGCAGCTCTTCTGCTGCCTGGAAGTATCGGAGACCAGTTTGTTTACCTGCGCGCAACGGTCTGACAAACTGCGAAATAGACATCCCCCAAATCGTCGCCAACCACGCCCACAACCTGCCCGACCGAGCCGTCATCATCCTGCCCGAGAACATGGCCATCATCACCCAGCGAGGACTGCGATACGTTGTCCACAACATGAAGATGGAGATGGAGAAGGGCAGCTACGCGACGGGCAACCCCAAGGAGGAGCACGAGGAGGACGAGCACGAGGAGGCGACCTCCATGATCCGCCCCGGCCCCAACGCCGTGGACATGATCCACGCCCTCAACACCCTGCGCGCGTTCGGCCTCAGCCACGACGCCAGCTTCCTCGCCATGGAGGGCGGACCGATCACGACCAGCCTGCAGCGCCGGGTTCTGGAGTGGGACGGATCGGACCAGGCCCTCAAGCGGTTCCTGAAGACCCTGAGCCGGCTTCTGGCGGAGGAGGACCAGCACCTGCTCGCCCCGGCCTGGGCTGTCTACAGCGAGCGGCGCCGCCAGGCCAAGTCGCGCCCTGAGACTTCTAGCCCCGAGGCTTGATGGCTTTGAAAGAATGCGACTTCGACAGGGTGGGCTGTGGGGCGAGTCAGCGGCAGACAGCTTTTGGACTTGGGGTGGGGGCATCGGATGGAACCTTGGAACGTTTGTTGGTCTGAGAAAGGGCCTGGTACTGGTATGTGGCCTCGTTTGAGTCGGCCTCGTTTGCTTGTTTGAGTGGCTTCAGTGGGCGAATTTCAATTGCCAGTGGAAGCCAATGGGGTCACACCCAGCAGTGGCAGCATTCACAGTCTCAATGAAGCTATAGAAAGTACATGCAGTCAAAATTGTTCTGCCATATCATGTGATGATGAGTATCGAGGAGAGCAGTATGTGGTCATCTACTCGTAGGCTCTGTCTGCCGCGCGTAAAAGCATCGGGCTGGGCATAATTTCTGGAGGTTGCCCAGGTGTCCTGTAAATGGAATCAAAATCGGGCGGGAAAACGGGGTTGTTTCATTAAAAATCATGCTCACGATAAACAATACCCCCCTATGACGGTACGTCTCTTATGTACCGCCGAAATGGCACACCCTCCAGCTTTGCCAGAGTTCTTATGGCCTTTAGCCCGCTGGAGGCCAGGCGGTCAGACATTATAATCCTAGCAGTATATCATTTCATTACACCACAGCCCTAGGTAAAAGCAGCCCTTATTAAATTATAAAGAAAAGTATTATTAAATTATTTTAAAAATATTTAATATCTAATAAAGCTATAAAATAAAGAGACTAGGACTTGAAAATATTTTAGTATGATTTTACTGTGGAGTAGCACAGGCGATAGAATGTGTCAGCTCCATGGGCATCCACAAACACCGACTCTCATCCAATCAGGCATGTATGGTGTAGCGGTAACATTCAACCCTTCCAAGGTTGAGCTCGGGGTTCGACTCCCTGTGCATGCAGTTCAGTTCGATCCAATTTGATGAAGAGCTTGAGGAGCTCTTCGGTCCTATGAATTTTGTCTTTTTCTTATTTGCATTTTTGAATTTTCCTGACCAGGGAGAGCTTTTATTCTGTCCACCAGCTCCGTGCAGCCCAGTCCAATCCGAATAACTCAAGACCTCGGGAGCTTCAGGTGCCCCTGGGTTCTGGATTACTTTTGTGTTTTCCTCTTCTTATTTTTTTTTTACTTTCCTGATCAGAGGGAATTTCTTTTTGTCCTCCAGGTCCGCGGAAATTCTCTTCTACGGTACGGAGATGTTTGGTACGCGGCTTACTGCTGTGCCGGGCAGCACGAAATTACATTGGACTCTGTATATTTTCCCATCCCTTCATTACTCTGCACTCTGTGCCTCGCCGTGGTCTGCCAATGTGAGAGAAGTCAATGGAAACAAGGCGTGCAGATGCTCGTCAGCGTGTCTTATCTCCCTTGTGGGTCGAGCCGAGGTCTGCTGGTGGCTGGGCGCTTCTGGTCCCACATCACAGGCCAATGGCATGGCTCACGTATGCGAACAGGCAAAGCCAGCCAGTCAGTTTCCAGGCTCACCGTCAAGACCACCTCGACCTCAGCATGAAGGCATCACAAGACGTCTCAGCTTGAAGAGAAAGGCCCATCGCATCTCGAACTTGACGTATGTCCGTTCCATGTCTCCGGGCGCATGTAACGTGCCCGCGTGCGTGCAAAAAAGACCTGTCTCCGAAACCATGGAGTCGGCCCGGTTTGCTTAGTCTAAACCATGAGGCCCTGTCCCTGTGACGCTGCACAGGGGAGAAGGACCGCCTTGCCTCAGCCCGCTGAGGGTGCCTGTTCTTGTCAGGCCCGGCCTGGGCCTCGCTGATTCGGTCCATTTCGAGAACCAGAGCGGCGGGATTTATGCCTCGATATGATAGGCTTGGGGACGGTTGCATTGGCATCCACAGCCGTGATGGGGCTGTCCCTGTCAGCCGGCCTCCCCTGCCAAGGCGCTCCCATGGGATCAGTGCCCAAGTCATGAAGCGCTCACTCTGGGGGGTTCGTTGTCGGTGAAAGGTCGAAGCCGCTCCTACACGGTCATTCACCCACCTGGGCATCTAAGAGGCTTATAAGACAAAGAGGAAGAGAAAGATGAGCCAGGTGCACTCATATAATGATGTCGTAAACCCGACGAGGCAGCCCTTTCGCCGCACACGTCAACTGTCGGTCTAGCGTGTGGCAGACGCACCCGGAAGGCGGCGCCTCGGCATACCTGCGGCTCAAGCGGCGCTGTCCTAGCCTGGACAGGCCAGGATGCGACTCTGTAAGATTGTAGCTTTTATGGGGCAGACGGGCCTATCCCTCCTCGCCCCCGGGTTCTCCGTATTTTCCCCATGTTCTCGTGGTGGGGGATCCTGACTGGCAGACTGGCAAAACTTGGGGCCCCGAACACGCGTGGATACCCTTTCCCCAGCAGTATCCATCCACCCAACAGCAAATCGTGTTAGCCGCACAAATTACAAGTCACCCCGTGGGACCGTTGCTGGTATGATGCCGGCCTACATGGATCTCGCTTAATGCGGGCAGAGATTCCCCAGTGGAGGAGGGTCCGGTGGCGCGTGACCAATGTCCGCGGACAATCAGTCCCCCACTGCCCAGGTGCGCGCTGTTCACTGCGCGACAGTTGCCGATAATATGAGCCTCTGCTCCCCCGGTTTTCCTTTGGTCCTTACTCGGTGTCTCTGGCCTCGACTTGCTTGATCCATTTCCTTTCTTTTCCCCTCACCCACCACGCTGGTGTCGACGAGAAGCACGCAAATCCACGACATGTCGTCCCAAAGCGATATCGAGGCGACCAAGGAGGTGCACCAGAGCGAGCATGTCGAGAACGAGAAGGGCCGCACCGGCCACGTCGACGTTCTGGCCAACGCCGACGTGATGCACGATGCCTTCGATGGCGAGGCCCGAGAGCACGAGATGGGCCTCTTGGAAGCCATCAAGACATACCCAATGGCTTGTTTCTGGGCTTTCCTCATGTGCTTCACTATCGTGAGTGCCCCATTCCCGCCCTGCCAAGTACCTGCCCAGGCCGGCGCCCACAAGGGGGCCTTGCGGCGCAAAGCTTGTGTGTGCGGGACGAGTCTCGGCTGACATGCTTGTTTTGCTTCGCAGGTCATGGAGTCCTTCGACATGTTCCTCAACGGCAACTTCGTCGCCCTTCCCGCCTTCAAGGAGAGATACGGTGTCCACGTCGCGGGATCGCTTGAAAAGGCCATCGAGACCAAATGGCAAAGCTCCCTCTTCCAGGCCGGTCAGTGTGGTGCGTTCATCGGGGTCCTGTTGGCCGGCCCCATCACCAACCGGATCGGCTACCGCTGGACCACATTGTTGGCCCTGGTGATGATGACCGGTACAATCTTCATTTCCTTCTTCGTAAGTCACCCCCGCTGCTTTGTTCTCCTGACAGAGGAAGGATGTGTTGCCTAACCATAGTCCACTCCAGGCCCAATCACTCGAGGTTCTCGTCATCGGACAGGCCTTTGAAGGCGTCCCCTGGGGATTCTTCATTGCCAACTCCCCGGCCTACGCCAGTGAGATCGTCCCCTTGGCCCTCCGTGGTGCCTGCGCCGGCACGCTCCAGATGAGTTGGTCGATTGGCAGCATCATTGTCGGCGGTGCCACCTACGCCCTCAACCAGCGGAACGACGAATGGTCTTGGCGAATCCCTCTCGCACTGCAGTGGATATTCCCAGTAAGCCCATGACGTCCCCGGCAGCGAGGCACCAAGTGTCCCTTCCACAATACCCACGCGACTGACAATGTACAGGTTCCCCTCATGGTCATCCTCTTCTTTGCGCCCGAGTCTCCCTACTGGCTCGTCCGCCACGGGCGTAAGGATGAGGCCCTCCGCTCGATCCAGCGCCTCGGACGCCAGTCCAAGATAAACGCCCACAACGAGCTTGCCATGGTCGAGCGAACGGTCGAGATCGAAGCCAGGACAGGCGGCGATCCCAAGCTGAGCGACCTTTTCAAGGGCACCGACCTGAGGCGGACAATAATTACCTGCTTGATCTACACGTCTCAGAACTTTGCCGGTAACCTGATTGCCAACCAGGCCACATTCTTCTTCGAGCGTATGTTCTGGCCTTCCCCCACCACCCTCCCTACACATGACCCAACCGATGACTGACCCCCAACACAGAGGCCGGCATGTCGACCAACTTCTCCTTCCAGCTCGGCCTGATCAACTCATGCCTGCAGTTCGTCGCCAACGTCGGCTCCCTCTTCATCTCCAACTGGTTCGGCCGCCGCACCATCTACCTCTGGGGCACGGGCGTCAACATAACCTTCCTCATGCTGCTGGGCATCTGCGCCTCGATCGCCCAGAACACGGGCACCAACTACGCGCAGGCCATCCTGGGCATCTTCATCTCGTTCGTCTACGCCGGCTCCCTGGGGCCCATCACCTACTCCATCATCTCCGAGACCTCGGCCGTGCGCCTGCGCGCCCTCAGCACGGGCGTCGGCCGCGGCGCCTACTACGTCACCGAGATCCCCATGATCTACCTCGCCTCGCAGCTGCTCAACCCCACCGGCTGGAACGTCGCGGGCAAGTGCGGCTTCGTCTGGGGCGGCACCGCCTGCGTCTGCTGGGTCATGGCCTTCTTCTTCCTGCCTGAGCTCAAGGACCGCTCCTACCGCGAGATCGACATCCTCTTCCACCGCAAGACGCCGGCCAGGAAGTTCAAGTCGACCGTCATCGATGTCCAGGACAACGAGTAAGGCTGTTTGTGTTGCTGAGGGATATGGGCATAAAGAACTTGCTGCTAGTCCTTGCACGTGCGTCAGCTGGTTGCGCGTTTCATGAATACACGGTCTCTGTGAAGAGCAAGCCACGGACAGACTTGATAGATATACGTCATCTAAATATATTATACATGTTCAAGAAGTTGATTCTGAGACTGGCATGGGGGTATGAATTGCTTCATGTGAAGGCTCCCGGCTACTCTTTTACCTTGCGTCTGCAGACCTAGATCGTGGCCGTTAGCAGCACTGTCGTGTGAGAAAAGATACTTTAGTTTTGTTCAGTAAAATGTGCTACAGAATTAATGATCGATTCCCAGGGTTTTAAAGGGCAGACTGGATGGAGTAAGTCCCTGTCATCTTTGAGACACCGTCGCCCAGCTTGAACATTGTACAGTCACGACAGTTGAGAAGTCTGAAAGAGTACCTGGGTAGGGACAGACATACGGAGCCGCGCTTGAGCATGGATCTATCTTGGCTTGAAAATTAGCTTGTACGGCATTATTCAGTGATGGAATTGTCATTGAATATAGCTGACTGCTACCTCGCTAGATTAGGGTGTTTCTTTGGGACACTACATCGTCCTTTAAGGCACTGGGCTTGAATCTGGCGCATCTATGCAATGACCATACCCAAAGCATAGCGATCTTTACAAATGATAATCTCTTGGGTCCGTCACCTTAACTCCACGCCTCTCCCAAACAGCATCGATGCTCATGTCGGCCGTGCCATCGTCCTTGAGGTTAACGAAGGGCTCGTTGTTTCCCGCCTTGGGGTCTGGATTCCTGAAAATGGTGTTCTTGGTCTACACACAAATTGTCAGCCAAGTCAAAATGGAATCATAGACTTTATTTTGCTGGCACTTACCAATCCCAGCGTCAAGTGGATGCCAGCCGGCGCAACCACGATCTCATCACTAGGCTTCCTGCCCTCGACCATCGCCTGGATATTCTTCGCCACCACCTGGGCCTGCGCGAAACCAGGGCGGGCCGCCTTGTGGGCCCCGGAATCGGCAACGTCCCCGAGGGCGTAGAGGTGAGGGTACGCCTCGTCCCGGAACTGCAGCGTGGGCCTGACCCGGATGAACCCGTTCCTGGGGTTGGTGAGCGACTCGCCCGACGACGGCGCCAGGTCCCTGAGGAACTGGGTGTTGGGGACCTGCCCGGTCGCCTGGACGACAAAGTCGGCCGTGAGCGTCCGGCCGTCCTGGAGGCTGACGGCGATGGGCTCGCCCCCCTGGCCGCCGAGGGGGTACCCGCCCTCGGGGATGTCCACCCGCGAGCCGCCCACGAACCTGACGCCCAGCTCGGCGAACCGCTCCTTGATCATGTCGCTCAGCCTCTCGTGGTACACCGGCATGATGTGCTCCCGCGAGTGGACCAGGGTGACCTCTTTCTCCGGGTAGATCTCCTTGAGGTCGCAGGCCATCTGCACGCCGACCGCGCCGCCGCCGATCAGGATCACCGACTTGGAGTTCTTGATGCCCTGGTTGTACTTCCTGAGGTACTCCACCGCGGGCCCCTTCTCGTCGGAGGGCATGGACCCGGGCGAGGCGAGGCGCGTGCCCGTCGCCGCGACGAGATATTCAAATGACAGCTGCCTCGAGCCTTGCCATTCTCGGTCTAGGGTCAGTTCTTTTGACTTGAGTGATACGACCTTTGCTTGCACGATTGTGTGCAGGTCTTTGTTTGGCGATGCATTGAAAAGTCCTGAGTATGGGATAAATGCCTTGTGTTCGTGGTCAGGCAGTATGGCGAATCGTGGCTTGTGTCGTTAGCATTGCTGTAATCCCTCAGTGATGCGATGAAGAGTGAATGTGTTCAGATACAGAAGGATTAAGCCCACGCCATCCCTTTGGAGCTCGCGTCCTGTTCGGGTCTTCCATACGGGTAGACTCGGATCCTTCCTATGAGCAGGGGCGATCGTGCTGGGACTGCATCACGGAAAGGTGGCACACATAAAGGGACAGGGACTCACAAAAGCGAAGAGGTGGTTGAAATGGCTGTGGGGGTCGATTAGGAGTACCTGTGGTGTTCGTTTAGTAACTTGTAATTTGGAATGAGCATAATTTACACTCACACGATGCGTCGCAGGCAGCACGTTTGCGAGTTCCTTTGCTGCGTTCTATCGCGCCACGCTTGTTAGTGATGAAGGGGCCCATCACGGCTGCACCTATGGCGGGTCTGCATGCTGGCTTACAATCCCAACGTAGGATCCACCAATCACCACGACGTTCCTCAGCCCGACAGCCATTTTCGAAGGAGATCGAGTTTGTAAATAGAACCTAGAAAGATATGATGCAACGATGCCCAGGGTCAGGAACAGCAGTGATATCTTAAATAGTCAGGCGGCCTGTCTCATAACGGATGCAGGGCGGATATATGTTGCACAACTGATCAGATTGATAAGATGACGGCTGACTAGATGGGTTCCGGATGCTTAAAAATGCTTTGAATGTGAGAAAAAAAAAGGGGGCCAGCCGGCCGTCCACCTCGGGCCTCGGAGATCTCGCAGTTAAGCCGGCTGAGACTTTGTCCCGGAAAGGTGGAGGGCAGGCCTCTGGCCGCGTACGCACAGAGGCGTTGAGCCTAACTTGAACTCGAGATCGGATTAAAATTTTTCAAAGGATACGCGTAAATACGGAGTGCTCCGTACGCGCAATGCGCACGGATTTAGGCCTGTCGCTGTTCATGCGATTCGGATTTCTACACCTGTCGGGGGCTGTCTGCCTGCCATCGTCTGCTGCACGTTCCTTGCACTCCTGACTCACCGGGCGACGTCGGCCTGCAGCGACTTAAATGCAGGCCGTCCAAGCGTACTGGCGTCCTCGGATCATCCGACGCATCTCGGTGGCGGCCTGGAGAAGCTCATCATGACTGGCAAAACGTTTTGGGGACGTAGGCCCAAATCAGGTATCATATCATTTCGTTAATTCATAAAATCCCTCTCCCGCATCGATATATCTCGAACCTGCACACCTCGGTCAGGTCTGTCCCCGTGGAATGCCGCAGCGGCAGCGCCCCCTCCTGCATTCAGCATCTCGCCGTTCCTCTGAATGATCAGCGTCGGACTGTTTGAGCCGCCCCCACGAGTCGACCTTCCCGTCGGTTTCCTGTCCAGCCCGGATGGCGGTGCATCGCGCTCGTCCGGACTGTGGTACGATCGCATCTCGAGGTCGTTGGCGTCTATGATGTGTTCGGAGCTGTCCGAGCTGTGATGGCGCCCGGTCGTCATGAGCTTGAGCCCTGGGCTTCTGGGGCCTCGGTTCCTGGATTTCATCGCGCGGCTGCTCGCGGCCCCGGTGCCTTGATTCGTATTGCCGTCGGAGCTGGACTCGAGTCGTCCCAGCCAGGGCGATAGCCATTTTCTGAACAGCGGAATTATAGGCGCCATATTCGTCGTTACCATGCCCACGAAGCATTCTCGGAGGGCCCATGCTCCGTCGCCGTTACTGTTCGAATTCTGAGATGTGGTCAGCGAGGAGAGGCCCCGAGGATTGCCCATGAGAACTTCTTTCTTACCACCACAATAACGACTACTCTGACGATAGCCATCGCAGTGATGAGACTGCTACAACTGAAGAGGCTGACGAGCGAGACTTTCTGCACTCGTCCGAGTGACGCTCGCAGTAGCGCTGGAACGGGTATCGATATCAGGTAGACGTCTGTCAGGATATTGCCGGCGAGCGTGACGCCGATGAGGACCGGCGAGACGCCAGCATAGCAGACTGCGCCCGGATCCGGGAAAATTTGCCACATCTTGTTGAGTGGCCGACAGCTCGCGAGGACCGTAACAACGATGGAAACCCACGTGGCAACCAGGAGGACTGTGCCAATCCAGGCCCTCGTTCTCGCTCCGTTGATACCCTCCTACGGTGAGTTAGTGATATCTGCCAAGCTGGGGGAGACAGAAGAGAAGCACTCTGGACTTGGGTAGCTCACAGTAAGTCGGACCACGAAGAAACAAAGGAGAGATCCCTTCAACAGCCACAAAACGAGAGAATACGATATCCAAGCAGCTAGCTGTACTTTGGATCCCAGCACCCTCAGACGAAATTCCTGGCTCTCTGGGCCATCCTTTGCGAGCCGAGCGCGGTATTCATCTGTCATGGAATCGTTCGCAATACCGACAGCCGTGACGCCAATGACATAGACTTCAGCGGTCAAGATAACATACCAGACCTGCGAGATTTTAGTTAGCACCAACCAAAAAAGAAAAGCCTAATGCGTACGATCAAGCCGCGAAGGGCAAACGGACAGGAAGAGGTGGGGCGAAAGACTCACCACTGCGATCCAGACGAGGTAGTCATCCCATCCGAAACCACTCCTCCCCGGTATACTCGCCCGCGCGTAGGTGCGCAGGGCCGTGATAACTAGTATTATGACGAGATATACGATCCACTCGACGGCGAGCTCCACAGTCGCCGCCCCGGAGGCGGCGCCCACCGCGTCCAGCGTCGCGTTCCCGGTACTCATGACGGCGAATGCCCCCTCGGAGGCGGGCATGTGCGTCCGGGGTACGGAGACGGGGGACAGAAAGCAGGATTATAACGACATTGATCGCCGACTATGATTATCAAAAAGAAAAGACGATGGGCTGCAGGAAAGCCGCCAGGGAAGAGAGTCAGACTGGTAACCCTCGTTTGGCTTGTGGGGCAGCGGCACCTGTCGTTTAAACAAGTCGCCTCCGGCTGTGACTGAGCCCAGCTGGACAGTCAGGGGTCACGGTGTGTTCAGAACGATCTGGGGTTGGTTTGGGAGCGGGATACGTCAACGAGCCGCTCGTCCCAGCCGATCCATGCAACATCGAGGTGTGTGTTGCACTGCATCCCATCGCAACTCGCGGAATGCAACCTGGAATAGGAACATAAGACAGGACAACAACAAAAACTCGAGACGAAAAGGGAAGACTACCTCTTTCTAGCGCCGTCGGCCGGGGCAGCAGGCTAGATAAGGGACATGTATCCATCCAGCCAGTCAGTCAGTCATGCAACAGAAAGGATAATATGCACGCAGGGCACGCAGGGCGCGCGTTCTATCCCGGTCCCCAGGTGCTGGTCGAGCTCGCACTTTTGGCAACGCTTATCTGCAGGGCCAGAGCTTAAATGCCGTATATGCCGTGTTGTGGGCAGTACACTTTGCCTTCTCACCTGTTAGTCGGTCGGTCAGTCAGTCAGCCAGCCAACCAGCCAGTATGTATTGATCTACGCGGGCATCAGTTGCGTCAATGCAAGCCTGTGCAGTCAGTGTACAACCACTGGCATGGGAGGCGCCCGCTCAGACATGACTCCGGCAAGGCGTGACCTGCAGCAGGTCCCTTGGCCGATGCCGCCGGTGCTTATTAGGCTTCGGTATCCCAAACTATAAGGAATCTGCATGTCGCGCACTCGGCGTCCAACTTGCATCCGCCCGTGGGAGATGCGATGATTATAAACGGAACGAGGGTTCGTTTTCATCGCTGTGCCCCGGGCAGACAGCCCAGGGCAACTAGAAACAGCCACCCTACGTAAGTACCCATATCAATCCGGAGGGATCAGAGACTGGACAGCAAGACAAGAGGCACAGGTAAGGCCTGCTACACTAACACAGTCCGCCCACGCCCGTCCCGCTGCCAACCAACTCTATCTGACACCATCTCCCACGTTTCTCGGTCCATGTTTATTTATGCGCGTGTGTGTGCCACGGCTCCTGCAGCCCGTGGGCCCCGGACGGGCAGTGGGCCAGGGAGGGGGCAGTGAGTATCTATCGCCCAATCCCTGCGCCCGCAACGGCCCTGTCGGCGGCGCTACGGAGGGAGCTGGCAGAGATCTACCTGTGACATAGACGAATACAGGCTGTGGGCCCGCAGGCAGCTCAAACATTAGCGCGTGACGTGCCCGCCAGGAGGTCTCCCTATAGGATTGGCTCCCGTGGGGGCACCTGGGGTTTGAGATTCTCGAACAATGACGGGTTGGTGAGGAAACACTCCAGGGCTGGCGGATACCACCTCTGCACCGTAACTACCGATTGATGTTGGCTGGCTAGTCTATAAGACAGCCAGCTATAGGCCGAGCTCCGAAGCCCTATAGGAGGATCTGCCGTGCATCGTTATGAGCTGCCAGCCACTCAGGCTGGCGTTTGAGAGATGCATCGCCGGTGGTTTGCCAGATTGGGACTGCATTTCGAAGACGTCAGAGGTGGGCTGGCGATTATCCCAAAACCAATCTCAGCTTTTCATCCAACAGGTTTCAAGTTTCTCGGCGATATCAATGATGATTTACCCTTATAATGTACGCGTGTACAGTAGAGGCATACACAGTAGAGATAGCGTATGCAGACACTGCATGCAGGAAGGACCATCGAGACCAGCTGCGGCCCTAATAACGGTCCCAGAACAGGAAAACGTTCCCCCGGGCCATGCAGGCCTGCCCTCGCTGCAGGGGTATAAATCAGGCAGTCGTCCGTGGGGACAAAACTAGATATTCCAGATTTGAGTTAAAATGTTCCCGATTCTGCATGTTTCTTTGGACGAATCGCACACCTCGCAGCTGAGCCGAACCGGCTCGGCGGGAGTTCCAAAGGGGCCAAGTATAATAGTTTGAGATCCCGCCGCTCGCGAGCAACCCCAAGCCTTGGTATCTGTCCGGCTGCGGTCAGCAGATATGCATACCGGCGGCCGGAAGCTTGCAAAAGTTATGCCGGCCTCGCGCCGAAAGCTTGGGTGCCCGGGGCACACACACCGGTTGACCTAGAACCCTTGGCCTTAGAAGTCTATCTAGACAAGCCCAAAAAGGATTCCAACACCCGAGAGGCTTAAATACCTCGCTCGAGGGGGCAAAATGGACGACCACGGGATCGAACCGTGTACCTCGCGCATGATGCTCCGTCTCACGATCCCTTGCGAGATCTTTGATGAGAAGGTCGATGCTAAGCGCGCGCTCTACCATTTGAGCTAGACGCCCTGTGATGCTCCGAGGCCTCGGGGCGGTGCTCATGAGAGAGAGTGAGGGAGAAAATTTGCTTGGTTGTGGGTGTCTTGTGGATCGTGGGTGGGTGCTCGTTGTGGAGTCGCGAGTCGAGAGGGCCGTGGCGGGGACGCCGAGCACGCAGGGCCACCTATCGGCCCATCTGGACCGAGCAGGGCAGCAGGCCGTAACCATCTTCTTCCATGATATTCCTCGTCCAATCGCCCAGGTCGGATGATGTTCTCGTGGCCTAGGGGAAAAGGCGGCGGGCCAGTTATAACATTTCTGGGCTGTTTGGGAGATGGGATTTAGAAGTTGGGATGTTCTCTTGGGCGTCACCAACGGCTCGGGGCCGATCGGTGTCCCGATGAGTGGGTACGGTGATGTGTAAGAGCTATATTGCGCCCTCGGAGTCACATGTGCCCAGCTTCAGATGCGGCGTGAGTCTGACCCTCGACGTTGATATAATTCACACAGTAATGTTGGGTGTGAAACTGTACTTGGATTGATACCTGGTCTACAGAGTTGGCAGTGCAAGCCTCGTGTGCTCAGTTCTCGCTGTTGAAGCCGACCAGGTTATCCTCCATTTTCACAACGCCGAGCGTTGGTGATCCACCCCGACCAATCACCTGTGCCTCCATGCCCGACTACTTGCCCTGGCCGCACTTGCAATTATTGCGGTCCTGACCGCATTTGGTACAAATCTCCCGGTGGACGACGTGCTTAGGCTTGTTGATTGCAGGCATCTTGGTTGGAATTGATGAAGTTCTCTTTCGAGCTGTTCAGTGTTGAAGTGTTGAAGTGTTGAATGATTCAAGTGATGATTGATTCTTGGGTAGATTTGAGTCTTTGTGTTGATGCTTTAGACAAATGGAGCTCAATAGGCTGGAGGTTCGACGTCCTTTTATAGGCTGAGAGCAAGTGGAAGGCCACGCCCCGTGAGTGACAACGGCTATGTCCACCTCATTCGCGGGTCACAGCATGTCGGTGACAGCGTGTTGTATTTGAGAGTGAGTGGCAGACAGCAGGGCGTGTGACTGTGCTACTAGTGATAATCAGTTCCTTACCGGCAGACCTTGGTCTTCCGTAGGCTTGATTTGTCCCCCCCTCCCCGTCCCAAAAGGAAGGGTTACACTTACACAGGTGAGATTATGAAAGTTGTGAACGTGTGACTAAAATAATCTACCCTTTTTGAACCTCTCATGCTGTTTATGCCAGGGGAATAACACAGCAGTCCCTGACCAACCTGAGGAAGCTCTGAACATCACAGCTAACGAGCAATCATGCCTAGGTAGCGAAGTCTGGTTTGGATGAAGACGATTACTCGAGACATTGCAATGGCTCAAACAACAATCTTGGCCACTCTGGGAAACCCTAGGATGAGAAAATTCGCCATGACAGCCAGGTACTGTCAAATTCACATGAGCTCGACCAGTCCGGTGGTGCCCAGAACTTTGCAAAAGAAATGTAGACGGGTTCACTACCCCACGATCATTGACCCTTTCGGGGAAACTATCTCGTAGCCATAAAATTCCGGGATTGACTTCTTAAGTACCCGATTATCCAGGCACTGCCCAACTTATCACGATAAGCAGGGCATCTCTTTAGTCAACACCACCTAGCATCCGTCGTAGCATCAGCAACGTGCCAAGAAAGAATTACAAGGCGGCGGTTGGATTGTGCAGATAGGACATTATCACCACGTTGGGGCAACATGAATACTGTCATGGGATGGCGTCCAGCATCAATGGCCGGTTGGGTAGACCATAGTGCTCCAATTTCAAGTCCTAAAATTCCCCTCAGGGCAGCCTCTCACCCCTTGCGCGTGGCCTGCCCAACGATGGACGGGGTCGTGCCCTGAGTATACGACCTGTAGTAGTCGATGTATTTCTCATCATCGCTCGACGTCTCCCTGACACTCTGCCTCGAGGTGATGGCATCGAACCAATTCTGCCACCTCGCCCAGGTAGTCTGGTCCTTGGCCCTTGCCTCGTCGATCCCCGAACCCCCGGGCTTGTAGTGATCGAGCAGGAACAGCCTCACAGCCCAGGGGGCCAGCATCACGTCGACGAGGCTGAAGCGGTCCCCGAGGAACCACGGCCCGCCCCCGCCCATCTGCCCCACCAGCGTCTCGATGCTGCCGAGGAACTCAGCCCTCGCGTCCTCGATGCTGTGGGCCTTGTCCGGCGTGTGCATGAGCACCTTGTAGTACGCAGGGACGACCTTGGTGGCGACGTGGTCGGCCCAGAGCCGGCACCGCGCCCGCTCGTACGCGTCCCCGGGCAGCAGCCGCGGCCCGAACCGCGCCTCGTCGGCGTACGCCTCGTCCAGGTACTCGCAGAGCACGAGGCTCTCGTACAGCGGCTTGGGGTCCTTGCCGGACGTGCCGGCGGGCACGCCGAGCGTGGGCACGAGCCCCCGCGGGTTCAGGGCCAGGAACTCGGGCGACTTGTTGTACGGGTTGATCTCGACGTACTGGTGGGGGATCTTCTTCTCGTGCAGCACGACCCAGGCCCGCTGCACAAAGGGGCAGAACCAGCTCCCGTAGAGCTTGAGGGGGTGTTCTGCCTCGTGGGCGGCGGCGGAGGTGGCGGCCAGGCCGGTGGCGTGTGGGTATACGCTGATTTCGACTGGGTTGGTCATCTTGAGGGATGTGAGCTTTCTGGCTTGGGAGAGCCGGGCTGGAGAGATGAACCGGGCGAGCATGGGATATCATATAGTACAGTACGGGGAGACGGGATGCACCTGGATACCGGATTGATGGATGAGCTCTCTCGGGGTTGTTGATATTGTTAGTGATTTTAATGTTTTATTGGTTGAACCGGTATCCAGATGCATCCGGCCTCCCCGTACTTGACTCTGTGTAGAATATCAAGAGCTCTTCACCGTTTCCTTTCCCCACGTCATGCATGGCCACGATATATGTACGGAGTACGGAGTTAAGAGAGCTCACCCCTGACCCTGCCTAAGTACCTAGGTACCTAGGTACATACTAGGTACTCAAGCACCACGGCGGGGGACCCCTGCACGAAAGACAGCCCCACCAAAATTTCCACCAAGCTTCCATCAAGCTTCACCAGTACAAACCCGCCCGTTTGCACGCCTTGCCACTAATTAATTGCCCACAGGCTACACACCTGCGACAACACAAGCCACCTCGACAGTCTAGACACCTCGATCGAGAACGCAGTGACACGCCTGCGACCCCCTCATCCCGCATCCCGCAGACACACACACACAACCACCAAGCAACATGCCCCTCGACACATCCTCCTACTCCCTCGCCCTGCTGCGCGTCGACGGCCGGCGGTGGAACGAGTTGCGCCGCTGCCACGCCCAGATCCGCACCCAGGCCGCCGCCGACGGGTCCAGCTACCTCGAGATGGGCAACACCAAGGTCATGTGCGTGGTGACGGGCCCGACCGACCAGCAGTCCGCGAAGCGGGCTGGCGGAGGAGGCGGAGGAGGAGGAGGGCAGCGGTCCGAGCAGGACAAGGAGGCCGAGGTGGCCGTGAGCATAGTCATCGCCGGGTTCAGCAGCGTGGACCGGAAGCGGCGGGGCCGGGGCGACAAGTACGTTATCACGGTCCTCCTCATCATCCTCGTCCCTTCACTATGAAGGAAGAAACCAAAGAACTGACATGACAACAACGACAACAGGCGCATCTCCGAAATGCAGTCGACCCTCTCCAGCGCCCTCTCCTCGGCCCTCCACACCCACCTCTACCCCCACAGCACGATAGCCTTCTCCCTGCACGTCCTCTCGCAGGACGGCTCGCTGCTCGCGTGCCTCATAAACGCCTGCACCCTCGCCGCCGTCGACGCCGGCATCCCCATGGCCGACTACGTCGCCGCCTGCACGGCGGGGAGCACGTCGACCCACGCCGCCGGCGACGAGGGCGCCGACCCGCTGCTGGACCTGAACCACCAGGAGGAGCAGGAGCTCCCCTCCCTGACGGTCGCCACGCTCGGCGCGCGGGGGGACCGCGTCGCCGTGCTGGTCTGCGAGAGCCGCGTGCAGGCCTCGCGGCTTGAGGGCATGCTTGCTGTTGGTGTCGACGGGTGCAAGCAGGTGCGGCAGATCCTGGACCGGTGCGTGCGGGCGCGCGGGGCGAGGATGATTCGGGAGGGGGCTGTTGAGAAGGGGGTTGGGGTCGAGGACATGGAGATTGATGGGTGAATCTTGATTTCTGAGCTTGAGGGGAGGGGGACGGCTCGGAGGGAGGGGCGGCACACTCTAGTAGGCTGGAGAGGATATTGTGGGTTTGATGTTCGTTGCGAGGGATGGCGACGGCGACGACTGTTTGGGATGCCAGGTCAATGATACCCCGGAAAGCATGGATAGGATGTCAGGTAAGAAAATGCCTTCCAATTTAGACCTGACTCCCTCGACACATTGTCTCATACATCCATCCATCCAGGTCACAAGGCATTTTGCCAATTTGATTTTCACATAAACAAACGGATCGATCCCAAAACCAAGACGCCGGCTAACATTACATTCACCCCTTAGTAGTGGCTATGGCCCCCTCAGAGCTCGTCATGCACCGACTCGGTCGGCTTCTCCTCCGCAGTCTCCTCCTGGATGGTGGGGTCTGCACCCTTCCACGACGTCTCCTCGTCAGTGCTGGCCTCGGAGATCTTCTCCGCCTCGGGGGTCACCTCTGGCTCGGTGGTGGCGCTGCTCTCGGCCGCCGCCTCACCATCAGTGGCCTCGGGCGTGGGCTCAGGCGAGGGCTCCGGGGTAGCCTCCTCCGAGGAGGCCCCCGCCGTCCCCTCCGCGGCCGCGAGGATGACGCCCTCGGGCAGCTTCCGCTTGACGCCCTCGCTCAGGCGGATCTGGTCGATCCAGCCCTCGATGCTCTCGTGGCCAAAGTCCCCGCCCTCGTACAGCCTCCACCAGCCGCGGCGCGCGTTGACGGCCAGGACCTGGACGTCGCCCGACAGCTCGAGCGCCTTGAGGACGTCCTTGGAGTGCGCGTCGTCGGTGTGCACCTCGTACATGGGGAACAGCTTGTGCTTGCCCTGGGCGTACTTGTGGGCGAGCGCCGCGAGCGACGACAGCGCCTTGTCGACCGGCTCGCCGCGGTTCTCCTTGGGCACAAAGGCCAGGACGCAGGTGGTCGACTTGGGCCCGAGGCAGTTCGCGGCCAGCTTCTCGGCCGAGTTGATGATGGGGATCGGGAGGGGCCCTTCGAAAATGACCGGCTTCTGGATGTTGTCGTCGCCCACCGGCTCCGTGACCTTGTCTTCTCCCTCAGCCGAGGGCTCCGTCTCGGGCTCCTTGTCTGCGCTCGTTGCTGGCTTCTTTGGGGTCGAGGACTTGGACTTGGCCTTGCTCTTCTTAGGGGCGGGGTCCGGGTTGGGGGACCCGGCCTGGGACAGGAACTTGACCATGGCCTCCTTCTTGAGCTCGCCGTCGTACACGATGCCGTCCTGGTCGCCGCCCGGGAGGAGGACCAGGGTTGGGAACTTGTCAACGCCAAACATCTCGACCGCCTTCTTCTGTGTGTTGCGGACCTGCCCCACGGCGACGACATCGAGGAAGTCGATGGCCAGGCTCTTCAGGAGGGCGCTGGTGGTGCCCTTCTCGGTGAACAGGATGGCCTTGGCGGACTCGTTCCTGGCGGACAGGAAGGAGTCGATGTCCTTGTCGGAGACGCGCTGGACGTGGTTGTTGATCTTGTCGACGACGGCGTCGACGATGCCCTTGGCGGTGCGGGGGCCCTGGTAGTCCTCGACGACGGGCTTGCCCTTCTTGGCGCCCGGGCGCACGATCTTCAGGGTGGGGAAGCCCTGCACGCCCATGGTGCCGCAAAAGGGCTTGTTGGCGTCATCGTCGCAGTCGACGGCGGCGACCTTGGCCAGGCCGGCGAGGTTCTTGGCGGCCTTCTCGTAGGCGGGCTGGAGGTTCTTGCAGTGGCCGCACCAGGGGGCGTAGAACTCGACGATCTGGGAGGTTGAGGGGGGCAGGCGTTAGCAGTTAATAAGGTGGAGCTGGGCGCGTGTGCCGCACGTAGTCTGCCCGGGCTGGAGTGCAAGGAGGGAGGGAGCTTACGGAGGTGTGGTTGGACTTGGCGATCAGGCTGTCGTAGTTCTTTGCGTCGACAGAGAGCACGGCAGAGCTCTTTGGGTAGAGGCCTGCATTTGCAGAGGGCAGTGCAGCCAACAAGGCGACAGCTGCGGTCGAGAGGGTGGGGTGATGCATGTCGGTTTATTGGTAGACAGACGTTGACTCGTCGATCGAGCTCGAGCTCGGAATGGGCGGGGCAGAGGTGATGGATAAGGGTAGGCCCAAGCCTACTGACTGAATGCCTCTCGGTGTATTTTTTGTTAGACTTCAAAGATGAAGGAGAGACATGTCCAGGCGGGAGGAAGAAACGGGGAGGCGACACAAATATTAGGTGCGAGATCGACCGCCTTGTGGTGTTGGCACCTTTAATAAGTCGAGTGGAAATTGAAAGGTGTCAGGTTGTGAATGTTGGTTGTTACCCTTTGCCGAAAAGGCCACGGTGGAGGAAATCCCAATTGCAGTGACTTATACGAGGGGCTGGCTGGCTGGCTGGGCGGTAGGGAGGGGGAATTGGGTGTGAGAACGTGAGTGAGGAGGCGGCGAAGGCTTCTAGAAGCGACGGTAGCATCATCAGAAAATCCGGGGTAAATTTAATTGAGAGATGCCATGCCATGCCGCCTTGGACCGCCAGACAGCTCCAGCCACAGCTGCGTGCCTCAAACTCACCCACCTGTGGCGGGAGCTTGCTTCACTGATCAATCGATTAGATAGGCGACCGTTACGCAGGAGGGGTCAGGGCGATCATGGCCGTAACAAGAAGCAGCCTGTTGCCTCCGTTTTCTTTGCGACTGCCTGCAGGTGCAGTACGTATTACGTTACGTCCCCGCCAAGCCAGACCAGAGCACAGCTACGCTGCCCGTCCGTCGCGCGTCACAAGCCCACTCACAAGTCAGGTCAAGCTGCCGGGCACACGATTACCCATCTCCCTCTCAACCCACCGCAGCCCGACTCTCAGCATTGCCATTACCTGCCCTGCGCCTCGAGCGACACTGCTGTTGATCCACAGGAGCAGACAGATTTGCCCAAGTGCATTCAACATACTGCCCCCAACCTCCCCGGCGCAAACAGGAGGCCATCCCCAGCCATGGCGGACGAAATACCCCAGGGCCTCAAGCAGGCCGACATCAACCTCTTCAAGACGGCCACCAGGGCTGCCCAGCTGGCGACCGTCAAGCCAATCGTGGCATATTGGTGTATGTACTCCTTGGACCCCCGTGGGCCCAGTGCAAGGTCGTCGACTGACAGCTGCCAGGCGAGTACTGGATCGTCAACCAGATCCTGGCGAGGAACCTGCACAGCACCGATGCAGACATCCTGAATTACACAACAAACCTCATGGACAAGCTGGAACAGGTGGGTGCCCACTGCTTATGCTGCTCATGAGCTGGCTCCCCGCATGGGCTGACATCATCACTTGATTTCCAGACCAAGACCGAATACGCAAACGAGGACGCCATCATGGACGACGCCACCGCACAGGCATACATTGAGCAGTTTGCGCAGGAGACGCTGGACAGGGCCGAACGCGTCATCAGGGCCAACAAGGTCACCCAGCAGACAGCCAGCACCTTCGACGCCGCCCTGACCTTCTTCAACCTGGTCAACATCTGGGGGCCCCCAGACACCGAGACGCAGCAGAAGATCAAGTACGCCAAGTGGAATGCTGCTCGCATCACCAGGGCCATCAAGGAGGGCAAGGACCCCAACGAGACAAACCCAAAGAAGGAGGACCTGCCGCCCCAGCAGCAAGAGCTCGACCCTTCGGACCCCGACGTCCAGGCCCTTGCCAGCCCATCTGCACCTCCGCCGCCAGAGCAGCAGCCACATGGCGAGGGTCAACATCAGGTGCCGAGGGCTGCGACCGTCGAGGATGCGCCAGATCCAGATCTCAAGAGGGACTCGGCCGGGGTCTCTCTGCCGGAAACCCCCGTCCTGCCAGACCCCCCAGCCGCTGTGCCCGACGACGGCGAGCTGAAGCTCCCAAGCGCGCCAGGCTACGGCGACGATGCGGGTCCTGCCACAACGCCTGGCTACTTCGACCCTCCGCCGACGCTACCTTCCCCCATCTCGCCGCCAACAAACCACCCGACTGGCTCCACACCCGGTGGCGGCGCCCCTTCGGCTCCTCAAACGTGGACGCCGACTCCACCGCCGGCCTCCTCGTCCTTCGCACCACCACCATCTGCCCCGTCTGCCCCATCAGGCCCTCCAACCTTTGCTCCGAGCCCATCCACCACCGCGGCCGTCGCCCCGCCACCTGCCTTCTCCCCACCGCCAGCTGTTGCAGCTCCGAAAACCATGCCACCGCCGGCCGTGGTCCCGCGGCCCGTCGTCCCTGCTCCAACCAGCTTCGGCAGCTCGGCCCCCGCCCCCACGGCTTCGATCGGCCTCGGCCAGCAGGCCCCGGCCACGTTCACAGCCGACGATGCAGCCATGGCCCAGGCGCAGAAGCATGCAAAGTGGGCCATTTCGGCCCTCAACTTTGAGGATGTGCCCACCGCCGTGCGCGAGCTGAGGCGGGCCCTCGAGACCTTGGGCGCAAGCTGAGCCTAGCAGGCGGCTGATACAGAAACTTCCTGCGTGCATGCGTGCAGCAGCGGCTGAGCGCTGCTGGACCGTGCGATTCCCGCACTTTTGGTCACTTCTTTTCCTGATTCGCTGGAGCATTGTATGGCGTTGGGGCATATAGTGCGATTACCCCCTCGAATGTCGAATATACCAATAATCTCATCCCACCGTGTTTTCCGAGCTCCGAACCCTTCGCGGTCGTGTGTGACAGGAACCCGCCTGGGCGTCGTCTGACCCGGGCCAATAGCTGATCCTCCCAGTTTCATGGTTGCGCATCCCTCCATCGTGTTGTTGAATTTTCATTCGCGGAGGGTTTTAGTTCGCGGGCCTGTTCCTGGGCTCCTCGAGCCATCGTTGCGTCCTTTTGGGGGCCCTAGAGTCCAGATGTGGCTTGCTGACGAGGGGGGTGGGCTGTCGGAATGGGCCGGCTGCGCCGGCAACGCACATCCATGCAAGGCACGCGTTGGTGCCGCACAATGCCCGGAGTGTCTAGGACAATCCAGGCTGACGTGCATATGTGTTCGCTCTCTTACATTCTGTCGCTGCATTCTCGTTGGAGACTCGAGATGCTGGAACTTCACCACGGCTGAGACATTAGGCAGGGGGCAATGTATCTCCAACACCGCCATACTGTCGAAGCCGTCGGCCTACCAATGGCCACGAGATGGCGTCTTTCTGCTGAGCTCTCATGGGGTTCTAGACTCTTTGTTGTTGTGTGCAATGCGAGTGGGTGGGCAAATTGAACGCACCTTTCACCTCTGGCCCAGGGCCTGGTCTATTCTTGTGGCTTACACCCACGCCTTTCCCTCCCGGTCGCTGACCGTCCCGCCCCGCCTCAGGGCGACATAATGAACCCTCACTTTACTTGCTCTTGGCAGATCCTGAGGTGGACAAAGAAATTGGCCGTGGGGGCTTCTCCAGTCGCTCAGTGGACAGCAGGGCCCTGCCGGTATCGAGTTTGATATAATGGCGGCCGTCGCCCAGGGCCCAACAGGCCGGCCAACGTTTGAAGGCGTGGTGCCATCTCATGACTTCTTAAACCACGTTGTGTCCGCCGAGGACCAAGACAAAAAAGAAAAAGAAGCTTTACACCAGTCTCTCCTTTACATAAAACCCACTGCAGATCTCTAGTCTCTCCTTGAACCCCCAAATTCGAGATCACAAGCAGGCCTTCTCTCTTACTGTCTCTAGCAAGCAGTCTTACTCACACTCCTTTCAACTATACTGAAATTAAAAAAAAAAAAACGCAACAAAATGCTGGCCAAGATCAGCACCACACTCCTTTATTCCCTCATGGGCCTACTCGCCCTCGCGCACGCACTCCCAAGCGGGCCCATGGAAACCCCTCCCCCGTCGCTGGAGCAGCGCCTCGCCTACTACTCCGAGAGGCCCCCCCGCCAGGAGGTGAAGCAGGCTCAGGCTCAGGCTCAGGCACCGGCCAGCCCCAGCTCCAGCTCCAGCTCCAGCTCCAGCCCCAGCCCCAGCCCCAGCCCCATCGTCACGGCGGGGACCCCGAGCCGGCTGACCATCACGGTCGTCAACAAGATGCCCGCGGCCGTGAGCACCTCGTACGTGCACAACGACGGGGTCCCGGGCCTCGTCGCCGGTGGGACGGGCACGGGCACGCTGATGCCGGGCGCGAGCGCCACGCTCGTCGCGCCCGAGGACTGGGCTGGCAACGTCGCCGTGAACCTTGCGGAGGACCCCGAGACGGGCGAGAGGTGGGAGATGAACGGGGATGTCTCGCTGCTCGAGGGGTCGCTGATGGAGTGGGGTGGGCTCGGGTACCGTGTTGATATTGACGTGTCTTATGTGTAAGTCCCGATACCATACCATCCCGACTGCAGACAGGAGAACTCCCCTTTCACCGTCACTCACCCCCGCCCCCCCTCGGGACGCCGCCATCCCGCCTCCGTCTTCCAAAACAAAGCAAGCTCTAGCATCGGAAAAAGAAAGAAGACACCACCAGCTAACGCCCAACAAAACAGCAACGGCTTCTCCGTCCCGATAACCTGCTCCTGCAACAAGGACAAGGCCGTCCTCTCGGGCTGCTCGCTCGACCTGTGGGAGCTGGGGACGCCGTGCTCCGGGAGCTCGGGGGCGGCCAACGGCCAGGGCGCGTGCGCGAACCCGCTGCGGCCGGACGACTCGGACGGCCTCGCCGCGACGGGGTTCTTTGCGCCCTGCGAGGGGGCCGCGTTCACGTGGCCGCGGGACGACGCCAACAGCGAGGGCATGTGCGGCGGCGGCGACGGGGTCACGTGCTGTATCGGGACCGCGGGGGACGGGTGTCCTGTGAATCCTAAGCAGCAGGGCGGTGGTGGTGGGTCTTGAACCTTTGCCTTGATGTTTTCATGAGGTTTATGATTTATGCCTGTTTGGAGTTTTTGTGTTTGGCGTGGTGGTGTCCACCGCCGGGCCCCTCGTGGCGTTATCCCCTTCTTTTCACATACCCCATACCCCCTTCCCTCCCGGGCAGTGCCCTTTAACGGTCGCTTTCATCTGGTCGATCACGTTCTTTTCTATACACTCGTTTCGGTCCTCCTTTTAGGACTTTACACTCTCTTCTTCTCCTTCTAGGCACGCCTCGCTGTTTTGGGCCCGGCACTTTGGACACACGATGATGATACGCCATGAATATACTCTATTAACATGATGGTTCTTGATCGAACTATGTGGCGATGTTTTGTAAGTCATATACACATTTAACATGAAGACGTTATTCCTCCTTCGGACATTCTTTCCTAGCGGACCTTGTCTTTCTGGAATCTATTATCGTACCCGATTCCCCATCAGCCACCCTCCCCGCCCTCATTTATATCCCATCCTTGAAGCACTGCTCCTTGGAGGAGGGGGTCCCCGCAGCCCGGCCCCCTTAGGCCACAGTAACACTAGGCATGGCAACACCACCCCGGCGGCTAGCCCGGCGCCCAGCCCCGGTCTGGCGAGGGACAACAGCAGCGAAGCCGCTGGCCTCCTCCTGGCGGGCCACAACGGCAGTGGCGGTCTGCTTGGACACCGCGGCGGCGGTGACGGACTGCTTTGACCCGGCGGCGGCGGCGGTGACGGTCTGGCGCACGACGGTCACGAGGGTGCTCTTCTGCTGGCGGGCCTCGAGCTCGGGGGGCGTGTTCTTGGGGGGGTCGTCCTTGGGGGCCTCGGGCTCGGGCGGTGTGTTCTTCTTGGGCTGCGCCGCCGCGGAGGGGGCGTTGGGGGTCGGCTTCGGGCTCGCCGGGGCGGCGGGGGCGTCGGGGGTCGGCTTCGCCTGGCGGCCGGCGACGAGGACGCTCTCCTTGGCCGGCTTCGCGGCGGCGGCGGCGGCGGGGCTCTGCTTCGCTGCGCCTGCGGCGACGGGGCTCTGCTTCGCTGCGGCGGCGGCGGCGGGGCTCTTCGCCGGCTTGGCTGGGGCGACGGCTGCGGGGCTCTCTGCGGCCTGGCGCGCATTGATGTCGCCGGAGTTGCTGGGGGGCCCATCGCCCGAGCCGCCGCCCTGCCTCGCGGGGGGAGCGGCGCCGCCGTCGAAGTCGCCGCCGCCATTGCCGCTGCCAGAGGAGGGGGCCTGGCGGGCGTCGACGGCGCGGCGGCCGGAGAAGGTGCCGCCCTCGCCGTCACCAGACGACGGGGCACCGCCGCTGGCCTGGCGCAGCCCTCCTGAGGTGTCGGGCCCGCTCCCGCTTCCGACGCCGGCACCATCCTGGTCTTGACGCCTATTCAGGGCGCCACCCTCGCCGTCGCCAGACGGGGGTGAACCGCCGCCGCCGCCGCCGGAGCTCAGGCGTGGTGAGAAATCAGGCCCGCTCTCGCTTCCCGTGCCTGCACCGTCCTGGTCCTGGCGCCTGTTCAGGGCGCCGCCCTCGCCGTCGCCAGACGGGGGGGAACCGCCGCCGCCGCCGCTGGAGCGCAGAGGTGGTGAGAAATCAGGCCCGCTGCCGCTGCTGACGCCGCCCTCGTCCTGATCCTGACGCCTGTTCAGGGAGCCGCTCTCGCCTTCTTCGGATGGGGCACTGCCGCCGCTGGACTTGAGGCCCGGCAGCACGCCGCCGCCTCCGCTGGAGCGGCCGCCGCTGTTTCCCTGGCGGGCGGCGAGGGTGCCCGGGGCTGCGGGCTGGACCTGCTGCGCTGCCGCGATGGCTGCGAGGAGGGAGATTATTGTGAGGCCTGCCTTCATCTTGTTGGTGGGTCTTTTGCTTGTTTATATATTGAGGGTGGGGTATTAGAGATGATAGGTTGATGATGATTACGTGAGTGTGAGTATTAATAGTACTGTTGCGATCAATCAATGACCGTCTTGGGATCAATCAATGATCGTGGTGATTAGGGAAGGGTATTAGGATGATGATGTTGGTGCTGCTCTGGCTGTTGAAAGAAATGATAGGACTGAGAGGCTGGTTGATACTTATACACATGAGGGTATTACATCGTCTCCAGAGACCGCGCGCCTGTTGACATCAATCTTCAGATCCATTCTCATGGCATGGCACGTCTTCAACCAAGAAGTAGCAAGCAGTGTCTGAGTATCACGTCCACTATGCCGAGTCCCTACCTACCCCACACCACCGCGACGGCATCCCCATCGCGTCTTTGGATGGACTATCGTACGTCTCCAGGCCAGACCAGACCAGACCAGACCCGTACATCGGATGGGGGACACATGCCAAGGCGAGGGCGCGCAAGGCTGACACCGACGGGTGCCGGCGTCCAGTGTCAAGCTGCTGTCCTGGCTGTCCCATCGTCAAGACGGCGAGTCAGAGCCAGTCGGGGCCTCATGCTATAGGGCGGGCCACGGTAAGGGCAAAGGCCACGTACGGTACTGTAGCATCAGCTCAGGCTGCCAAGAAACAGAGCGAGCCCACGATGCGACGGCACTGGCACCAAGGACCTCAGGCACGAGTGCGACTACAACTTGGGCCGTTGCCTGCTTCGTCCAGCCGCGCGCCTGCCCGCACGTATGGACGCGAGAGAGAGAGAGAGAGAGAGAGAGAGAGCACTAGAGGATTAGATGACGCCCGCCCCCTCCGCAAGACGCACCATGATCGCACGGCCATCCGGTCCCGAGAATTCGGCGCACGGCGGGTTTTCCGAGCGTGGTACAGGGCAGGCACCACGTGCATATGCATAGATAGCGTCCAGCTCACATGTGTAACTGGGGTGGGTAGTTGGCGACGAGCAAGGCTTGTGGCGTCGTGGAAACAAGAGACGGGCCCGCCGGGCGACGAAGGAAGGGCTGACGTGGGTCTGGGTCACTCAGGCTTGGCCGCGCTGTTTCGGATCCCAAGTGACAGGACGATCTGATTTTTTTTCGATTTTTTTTTGGCGCGGCAGTTCGTTCTCTGGGGGTGAAGAGGACAACCACCACCGTACATCCACCAACCAACGTCGTCGTGGGCTGGCACCCACGCCCAGTTCGTTCGTGGCTCGCCTGCCAAGCCCGGCCTCATCGACGGGCGCCCTGTGGTTTCACAGGTGCCAATAACATCAATGCTCTAGGCCCCTTCTAGAACGACCGTTGGGGCCTGGGGTCTCTGTCTGGGCTGGGCTGGGCTGGACCCTTTGCGCATGTGCAGCGGTTCCACCCGCCAGACTGTCAGTGTTTAAGCATGGCGTGGCGTGCATGGCGTGCACGGCACGTGGGGCGATCAATCTCAGATCCATGGGCTCGGATACTTTTGATCATTGATGCTTCTGAACATCAACATCCGGCCTGGACTCTGATGCTTCCAATTTTAGGCTTCATGATTGATCTCGATCTTTGATCAAAGATGAGGTAGGACACATGTTGTATTGATAATATGTATATTGTGTCTTGCACTATAGCGGCGAGCCTTTGACACGGGTCTTATGACGAATTTTTCATCCAGTCTCAGAACCCACGCTTTGGCGCCCCAGTTGCACTCGGAATCCGGGAAGGGCGAGCCCTGCTCCTCTAGTGGCGTGTCCCTGGTCCGGCACGCAGCCGCGGCATCTGTCGTCCCAACCCCCATGAGACAAGCTCTCACAAGCGAAACGTAACAGCCCTAAATTCTCCTACAGGCCGGCCTCGTCCCGTCTTACATCCTGGATGGCAACCCTCTGACGGCTTACGAGATGGCCTCCCAGATAAGCTTAAAATTAGGCCTCTGACTTGGTGCAGGGGTGCGTCTAGAAAGAGATAGATAATCTCGTGCTGAATAACAAAACCGTCTTGATGAGGGATGGCGTCCTGGGGGAAATCCCCCACAAGACAACATCCCCAGTGGGTGTTTCTCATAGAACAGCTTCATGATCTCCTGGGAGATGTCCGCCCAGGGCAGAGTCTCCAACTAGTAGTGTGGGATGCGTCCTCAGATCATGTCACAAAACGCCCTCAAGGTCCCACTGCAATGGCAATGCGGTCTCAATGTATGTGTGTAAGTACATGTACACACGACCCAACCAACCACACTCACGATACCCAAATCAAATTTGTACCTACATCGAACCACTCACCCTCCCCATCAACTCCCGCCTTCCACCACCCATCACCGTCGATCCTCTAAACTCACAAGAGACACCGCCGGCGGCACCCGTGGCGACGCCACATAAGTATGGCTGCTATCCCCGGTGGCCGCGGTCGGGGTGCCCCACACCAAAGGGCTACGGTTCAGCAACGGCCGCAGCGCGGCAGCCGAGGCGCAGAAGACGGCCAGGCCCAGCTCGACGTCGGCCCAGATGAGGAGCTGGTGGTGCAGGGGCTGCTGCGCGCCCCTGTCGGCCGTCGAGAGTTGTACGATGATGACGAGCTTGGCGATAGTCGCCGCGCTCGCGCTGGATGAATACCCGGGGGATGTCAGCCAAGCCCAACTTCTCCATCGGGTAATTATTTATGGTTGACCGGGCGTTGATATAGACGGGGATCAACTCACAACAACCCCAGCCCCAGGAGCACGCAGACCACCACCTTGGTCCGCGCGTCCATCCTCGCCCCCCGCACGATCGGTATCGGCACCAGCGCGTAGAAGTAGTCGATGAAGATATTGGACACGGTGCGGAACAGCCCCACCGCCGTGCACGTCGCGCTGCTCACGTAGCTGGCGGACCCGGTGTCGGTGGTGCACAGCCAGGCCGCGAAGAGCGTGGTGGTGAACGTCCACGCGAGGACGACGGCGACGGAGACGGCGAGGACGAGCCTGAAACGCCTCGTCACCGCCAGGCGCCACAGGACCAGGGCCACGCCGAGCTTGGCGAGCCCGGAGGCGAGGTAGAGGGCGAGCTGGTTGGCGTAGAGGAACTTTTGTTGCCAATGTCAGCCCGCATGTGTGTGTGTGTGTGTGTGTGTGTGTGTGTGTGTGAAGTGTGGTATCATTTTCGTCCAAAGGTAGGGAGGGTGCTGACTCGCCGTCTGTGCCTTGTGCTGGTCGTAGTGGTATCCTGCTGGAGCTGGCCCCTCGTCGGAGGCGTAGCCGAAGTGGAGCGCCGTGAAGCCCATGATGCAGGCTGTTGCGAAACCGACCTTCAGAACTTGGTGTTAGAGGAACTCGTTCTGGAAGCTTGGCTGTTGCGGCGAACCTGTTGTGCGGGGCGGGGAAAGTACGTACGTATGCGAGGCAGAGCGCGGCGTCGTCCCACCCAAACGCCCTGATCATGATGGCCCGCACGTAGACCCGTGCTGCGATGACAGCGGTGTCCAGTACGAGGAAGAGGGACATCACTGCGATGAGGCATGGCTTTGCCTGGTTGGGTTGCATCGTGGCGGTGTTTGACGCGACGCGGTTGTGAGATTGTGCGTGTAGTTGAGCTGCGAGGCAAGGCTGGGTTCCTCAGTCAGTTGGGTTTGAGTCCATGGGTTGAGGCTCGATGCATTGTTGCTGCGCTAGAGATTGGAAGTGAAAAGTTTGTTGTTTGTGCTCGTGTGCTCTCTCGTCTCCTAGCTTGGATGTGCTGATCCCAGGGGACAGCATCCTACAGAGTGCCTCCCATACGACAGCCTCCTACGGGGGTAGCTCGTAAATCAAAACCTCTCGCAGCAGTTTCTCTTACAGCACGAACAACCTTTGGAGCACGTGTTGCAGCAGGACCTCCTTTGGTAGCACCTCCCATACGAAAATTCAATGGGATAACATCTCAAAGGGTAATCTCAAGTCACAGGACAAGCTCAGTAGGAGTACCCTTGTGAGATAACCAACTTTGAGGGTCACTTATCGCAGGGAACCCATATAAAATGCTGATTTTACAAGTTAAACACGCCTAGTGGCCCTGAAAATTGTGACTCTTTACGAAATCTGTTTGCAGCTGTCAGAAATGTGATTGGGACTCTGGAGAAACTTGAGCAGCCCTGACCTCAAGGTCCCTACAGCAGGACTTTGCTCAAAATACTGTTCCCTAATTAACCGCACCTTACCAAGGGCTCTGAAAGGACCATGGACCTGTCCAGCTGCAGAAGAAGAATACGAACGGACCAATGGCGCTGGCAATGATTTCAGACTGAGCAGTTGAGGTTTTTGTGGAACACGGGGGTACGGATCGTTGAAAACTCGTCGAGCTGCCCAAGAGAGGGATTAAAAATCTGCCTCGTCTGTTATAACTACTTAATTCGACTTGGGAAAACGCAGCTGCAGAGTTGAAATGAGCTGGACTTCTTGTTTGGTGGGACCAACTGCACGTGTAGCCCAACCACCGCAGGACAGAAAACTCACCTGAGCAGATTAATCATCCATCTTGTTACGGTTTGCGGGACACAGTGAATCTTCAATAACACAGGCACTTATCATTCAAAATAACAGTACCTCCTGACGGGCAATCAGGGTCACCCGCAGCAGATGGGCCAGAGTTCGAGTGGCCTGCATTCAGACCAACACAACCAGCGTTTTGGCCAACACCTGCACACAATTACTTCCAAAAAGGCATACGCAAGAAATCGCCCACGTTCAGCCAATTGCCTCCAGCCTAGCGAAACCAGGCCTTACCTCTCTTACCTTCTACCATTCCCTTACCTAACTAAAGTAAGTCACCCATACTTATAATGAACGCATACATATATTAGTTGCACAATATCCACAATATCCTCAGTTAACTGATGAGCTCTGCTTTTATAACTGATAGTATTTTCATGTACTTAAGCGTTGAGACATAGCATCAGCCCGGCCTAGGCAAGAGAGAATTTTGAGATCAGAGACTACTTACAGTGAGGTCTGGCAGATTTGCAGCTGCTGGTATCAATAGCGGAGGTGTGAGAGATGGAGACTCGGAGACATGGAGAGAAAAGAGGAGATAGTGTGTGGTTCGGTTTGTGTCTATGTGGGTGTGTGATATGCTTTGTCGATTTACCTGTTGGTCTCTCTGTCTTAGCATGCTTGTGATGCGTGTCGGGACGAAAATCTTGTTTGAGTTCGGCATCTGGAGTATTGCTGCTGTTGTCTGCTACGCTTTGCATGACTTGCACCTTCTTCACAAAATCTGCACTAGCACCCACCCAAGGACAAGAGCTATCTAGCCGGTCTCGTTGACTAGGTACTTAAGTATGATAGTGCCCCCCTGGGAGGCTCAAGCCAAGGGTCACCACGGGCTTTGGGACGGAACTGGTGCTTCTAGTTTCTGTGACATTCCCAGCTAAAGAAATCATTCACTGCCTGGTGGACACCCTAGATACACCGGCGTGATCTCAGGCTCCGGATATTACATTAGCGAGAGACCAGGTCTAGATGAGAGCGGTAGGTATTTTAGAAGAAATGAACACGTGGTGCTGCAAGAGTAATAGTTCCTTCTTAGTTCCTTGGAGTTGTGGGTGGCTAGTCAAACAAACAGACCGTCGAGAACCATCCCTGACGGCTCGTACCCCAAAACTAAGCACTGAATTTCTTCCTTTTTCTTGTTATTTCCCATAATCCCCTTCTTCACATCACTTATATGGTTTTACTTCTATTCCGTATACATCCGAGGACATACATAACGCCTTCATACGGTGGTAAGCACTCAAGACCCAGCGCTTGGCAAGAATACAATTCCGATAATAATAGTTATAATGCGATAGGTGCTTGTGGTCTCAGCCTTGCGACGCACAGACAAGGCTAAGGGGCACCGTCTTGACGACGGCGTTGACGCCTCACATCACTTATACATGAACAATTTGCCGCTCTAGCAAGAAATCAAACCTGCCATCATCCTTTATCTTCGAAAATTCACAACCACCTCTGATATTTCGTGGTCAAGTTCGAAGCAAACAAAAATGTGTCCAACCCGCCCAGACAGTCCCATCCCGAGGCACGACCCTCCACACAGAATTCGTCCGTCTCTAGCTCCAGGACTGGCAGCTGCAGAACGGGACGACGACCCCGGCACCCCTCCACCACCATACGTCGCATCCCGAGATGCCGAGCCAAACCACCCCGAGCCAAGCGCCGCCCGGCGGGAACTCATCATCCGCGGCGCCACCACTGTCTGCGAGCTGTCCTCCCGGGCCATCACCGCCCGGGCCCTCGCCAAGAACCCCGACTCCGCCGCAGCCGCAATGGCCAACGCGTTGGAAGAGATCAGGACGACGACCACGACGTTCCTCGCCGCGCGCGGCATAGCGTCCACATCATCAACGGGGGCTTATATCCTGGATTGTGTCCTGCACGACTCGGCCCTCGAAGCCCGCCGGATCGCTGATCACCGGGACGAACCTGATTTCGCAGGCCGGGAGGCAGAGCTTCTCGATCTCTACTTGGCCGTGCCCCTGTTGAATTTGTTGGCAACCGAGGCCCGCGGCAACCACAGGGTTGGAATTCCTCGCTAGTTAGTTGCCTTGTGTTCGGCTATGCTCGCCGTGGAGGCACTCGGCCACCATCCCGTGTTTTGACCACACACCAGGACCAGTTTACTTCGACTCGCTACATTCATTTTCCATTTTGGGATTTTCAGAGCCTCGCGCGATAGAGCCGCATGTTCCGCAGACTCATCGACTTCGGAGAGCTTTCATCATCGCCCAAGCTCTCTTGACAACCGCACAATACACAAGTTGCCACCAAATGTTTTGTCCTGTTTTGCTTACAGTTGGCTGCCATATTATCGCAGACTGACGGGACAGAAGTTGCGGGATACGACAGTCAAGTCAAGATATGTACGGTCGTGGTTGGACAGGGAAGAATGACTGGGATGGGTGGAACAGGAGGCCAGTTGATTTTGATGAGATGAGTCGGAATGAGGGCCTTTTTCATCGATATTGAACATCATAACAGATTGAAATGGAAACATTGTCACACAAAAGGGATGGCCCTATTTCACTAGAGCTAGTAAAGCGCTTCTGCTCCATCGACCGAGCAGGTTCTGAGCAACCATGGGCTTCTCCGTCGCCATTTGGGGTGGGAAGACATGGTTCCCGTTTTCACCCTCCGTCCCGCCCCCCATTACCGGCCAGCGTGTTCACAGACCTGCGAAATCCCACTCGCGCTTTCGCACGGCAACGGGGACCTGCTCGCAGAGGGGAAAACTAGAGAAGAGATTGGAGATGCTGTGCTAATTTGTTAGTTTAAAGTTCTTCATAACATTTGTAGCTTTTAGCCAGTCTTTGGGGACGACGCACATGTAGACTTCCTAAGTTGTCACCTGTTTTGTCGGCATCGTGGGGAGAAAGAATGACCCCGGCGAGCTGCTTTTTGCTAGCTTGAAGCTCCATGACTCTCTGTAGGGCCGTTGTCAGTGATCGAGTTCGCCTAGACATTAGAATTGAATATGACCTCTTCGAACGAATTTCTGATATAAAACCGCACGGTGGTCACTTAAAATAGTTCTATAGAAATTCTATTAACCGCTAGCGCAATAGACCGCTCGACTAAAAGACTATAATAACTAATTTAATGTGATTAGTTACCTAGTAGTATATAAAGCTTATACTATTATATTAATAAACTCTTATTTAAGTAATAGTTTTAAATAAAATTATAAATAAATATTTATTATTTAAGTTATAAATCGTTTATCTTATTATATTATTATAATTTATAAGATATAGTAAATCGTAAATTATATAGGTGCCTAGGTACTTATCTTATAGAACAGTTTTGTTGTTTTAGACGGGAAGCCAGGTTTACTTGGAGCAGATCAGTCAAAGCTTGTATAGCTTACATTCAGACCAACGCAATCAGAGTTTGGGGCCAAACACCTGCTCGAGTGCAAACACTTCCACAAAAGCCAAACCCAAGAAATCGTCCATACTTGGCCATTTCCCTCGAGCCTGGCGGAACTAGACCTGGCCCTCCCATCTTCCTCCATTACCTCACCTGAAGTCGCAAGTCACCAGCAGGTGTGATGACAGCACACGTGCATAGTTATTGGTGGCACCACATCCACATTGTCCATCCTTGGTTAACAACCTATACCAGCCCCGACACACCCCGACTGTAATACACCTCACGAGAGTCACCGCCGTCGGCACTCACGACCCAAACTCACAAGCCTCACAACCACTACCCTGCCATGGCATCCAAGCCCATGAAGTTGCACACCTCAGCCCGCTCCTCCTCCCCAAGCCGCCCCCGCCGACTGCGAGACTTCCTCCGGCAGAAATACGAGCGCATCCCAAAGACAAGGCGCCACGCCATGCTAGCCGCGACGTGCCTCCTCTGGTTCGCCGTGGTCGGCGTCGTCGCGGGCGTGGCCAGCCTGCGACACAGCCCAGGCGGCCCAGGCTCGAACACAAGCACCACCACGACCTCACCATCATGGGTGGGCCCAGCAGGCAACACCTCCCACCACATGGCCCTGAGCATAATGTCCCGCAAGCAGGGCATAATGACCCCCGCCAGCCCCTCCGACCCAGGCGCCGCCCTCGAGGCGGGCATCGTGCAAAAGGCCCTCGCCGCATACACGTCCTACCACGGCACCGACCCGGAGATCCAGGCCTACATCGACCTCAGCACCGTCTCAGCCGCCCGCCTCATGGCCGACGAGGCCGCCGACCTCGCGCGCTGGCCGCTCGACCGCCTCGCCGTGGGCAACGCGATGCTCGCCGACACGACGGGCGACCAGGCCGTGGCCGACGCCCTGCCCGCGCTGCGCAAAACCGTCCACCACAACAACGTCAACCCCGACGACGGTGACGGAGGAGGCATGTGGTACTGGCAGGAGTACCCCGGGTGGGCCTACCTCGACGGCGCGTACGGCCTCGCGCCCTTCGTCGCGGCCGACTACGCCCGCGGCATGGCGGGCGACGACACCGTCACCACCTCCAGCACGGGCGGGCAGGGGCACAAAGCGGCGCACACCCTCGCGCAGCTCGACCTCCTCTGGGCGCACACGCGCGACGCGGCGACGGGCCTGCTGGTGCACGGCTATTACTACCACCACGAGGACGGCATCACCGGCCCCGAGGCGTCGGGGGTCGTCTGGGCCCGCGGGGTGGCGCTGTTCCTCATGGCACTGGTCGACACGCTCGAGCTGGTGTGGCCCAAGTGGCGCGGCGGGGGCCTGGAGTGGGGACGCCCGCCGCCGGAGGTGATGCTCCTGCGCCGGATGAGCGGCATGTACGCGTCGCTTGCCATGGACGTGCTGCGGTATGTCGATGACGAATCCAGAGGGTGGTTCCAGGTCGTCGACGCCGCGGGGCGGGAGGGGAATTATGTCGAGTCTAGCGCCACGGCCATGTTTGCTTATGCGCTGCTCAAGGGGGCGCGGCTGGGGTACCTGGGCCCCGACCCCGAGAATGCCGTCCTCGCGGTGGAGGCTGGATATGCGGCGCACAAGATGTTGGTGGAGAGGTTCGTCTCTGGCAGTGGGGAGGGCGAGGGTCTGCTTGATTGGGCTGGCACTGTCGGTGTGTGTAGCCTCAACTCGACCGCCGACTACGAGTACTATGTCAGCCGGCCGCTGGTGCCCAACAGTGCCCTTGGTGCTGCTGCGTTTGTGCTGGCTTCGGTGGAGGTTGAGCGGCTTGGTGGCGATGCTGCTGTCGGTGTGAAACTGCGGTGATAAAGGCCTACGAACCCAGGTCAGTGGAAGATAGGGGAAGACAGGGCAAGAGAGGGGGAGAGGGAGAGGGAGGGATGGAATTTTGATTGGACAGACACTGTCTCCATCATCAGTGTCGTACCTGGTTGAACCCAATGCTGCAACAGTCTGCAGAGTCAAAGTGATGCGTTACTAGTAGTTAGCCGATGATCAATCGGAGAGCGGCGTTGCGAGAATAGTACTTAGGTATCCGTCCACTTGGGACGACCTAGGGTTTGAGGGGATTTGATTCATAACGGGATGATCGTCATCTATCTATATACAAGTCTCTATACATGTTACATCCGCCCGCCGTATGCTCGCCCAAGATGGTCGTACAGCCAGCCGCGCCGATACAGCGCACACACCCCGTCAGACCACACAGGTTAAGACCCTCCCCCAACCTTCTGCGTCTCGGGCAGATCCTCCGGACCCTCGGAGCCAGAGCCAGAGCCAGAGCCAGAACCAGAGCCAGAACCCGCCTCGGACGGCGCCCCTCCTCCCCCTCCCGCCCCAATCTGGTGCGTGCTCGGCAGGGACTGCGACGCCGCCGCCGCCGAGCCCCCCGCCGTCCTCTTCCTCGCCCCCCGCCCCCGGCCCAGATCCAAGCGCTCATACACAAGCGGCCTCGCCTCCCGCTCCCGCCCGAGCCGCTCGGCATTGGTACCGGCAAGCGCAGCAAAGTGCCCGGCCGGGTCCTCGCCGGGGGGCCGCCGCAGCGGCACGCGGATCTCCCCGACGCGCTCCCGCAGCCTCGCGATGTGCGCCTGGAACTTCCTCTCGCGCCGCTCCTGCTTCGTCTCGTGCCTCCTGGCCTTGGTGTCTGCCAGGTCGACCCCCTGCCTGCCCCTGCCCCTAGCCGGGGGCCTCCCCGCGGCGGTTGCGGTTGCGGTGTCGGCCTGGGCCGTCGGGGCCTTCCTGGCCGTGGGGTCCCTGGCCGCTGCTGCTGGGGTGTCACTGCCCTGCGCCGCCTCCTCGTCAAGAACGGAAAAGGGATCCTCTTCTTCAGGCCCCGGGGCGGCGCCCACCGGACCGCCCAGGGCGCCGGCGAAGCGGCTCTCGAGCAGCCTCCGCATCTGGATGGTGCTGTCGAGCAGCCGCTCGGACTTGCGGCCCATGCGCACCGTCCTGAGGATGCCCTCCATCTCGCGCGACCGCGCCGCCAGCTCCCGGACCATGGCGTCCGTCAGGGGCCGCCGGATGAGCTGCGGCCTCTCCCTCTGCCACGCGGCCTCGGCCTCCTCCTTCTGCCTCAGCTCGGTGCGCCGGCGCTGCAGCCGCGACGACGCCTGCTTCTGCAGCTCGTGGGCCCGCCGCCGCGTGTCGCACGGCCCGCCGCCGATGGCGTCGTCGAGCTTGCGGCGGAGCGTCGCCTCCCACAGCGGCCAGGACAGGAGCCACCCCTCGTGCGTGGCGGCGTCGACCCGCCCGTCGTGGTGCTCGAGGCGCAGCGACGACCCGACGATGCCCCGGCTGGCCGCCGCCTCGTTCCTGCCGACCTGGATGCTGGGCACGTCCACCTGCCGGTACGTGCTGTTCATCACGTCCTCCGAGAAGACGCCCCTGAACCGGAACCCCGCCCCGGTGTGCTTCGTGGGCAGGTGGGTCGCGTCCACGTCGTTCTCGTCGACCATGCTGTAGTGGTCCACGTGGCCGTCGCTCATCCCCAGCTCCCGGGCGAACTGGTACGTCCACGCCGCCGATATGTCCCTGTTGTCCATGCCCAGCGGCGCCGGGCTCCTGCGGCCCGACTCGGCCGTGATGCGGCTGTAGGGGATGTAGCCCTGCCCGGCCCTGAGGGGCACCTTGTTCTGGTTGAAGTAGGTCAGCAGGTACTTGCTCGGCCCCAGCGGGCTGGCGCTGCTGTCCGTGTAGCAGAGCTCGGCTGCTATGCTGGTCGTGGTGTAGTGTTGGCGCAGGGGCGTCCATGGGTTTGTGGAGCGTGCCAAGGCGTCGAGTCCGGGGTCTGGCTGCCCGACGTGGATGGACACGCCCCATTGTGTTATGTCATCGGCAACAGAGGTGTGGACTGTGGCTATCCGCCGCAGGTTTCTGCGCCGGAGTGACCCAGAAAGGCCTTCTGGCGTGTTTGTCGCCTCGGCTTCCCCCGATCGTTTCGCGTCGACCTCGGCGGGCGGGATCCTCGACTCGACCCAGACACCGCTCGACCCGGGGATGGCGAAGGCCTGGATCCCAAACTCTCGCTTCAGAAGCGCAATCGTGGTGTCCTCGAGTATCCTCTCGAATTCATATTTTGTTCTCACCTTTGCGGGACCCAGCTGGATAGCATCACTCAGGTCCATGATGGGCCATATGGACAGCTGGCCAGGCCCCAGGAACATTGCTTCTGCGCAGGGCATGATGAGAACGCCCACATCCGGCCATTGGTGACTCAATGGGTCATGCTTCCACTCGGACTCTGGCAGTTTCTGCTCCCAGGACGGCCTCCACGGCGACGAGGACCACCCGGGCGGCTCAGGGAAGTGAATATTCATCCTGCTCTTGAGGGCCTTTGTGAGATATTCGACCTGCCATGGCTCCTGCCTCTCAACCTGGTGCTTGGGCAGGATGTAAGTAGGGCGGCGGGTGAAAGACAGGACGGTGGGCGGTGGCCCGGCTCTTCTGAGCCAGGACGAGAATGAAGTCTGGGCCTTGGACGTTATCTTGGCGAAGCCATATTGGCTCTCGGGGCGCGCTGGCTCTTCTACGAGGGCGCGCTGGCGGGTGATTTGGCCCACTATGTGGTCACGGATGTTGGGGGCGAGGCTGCGAGGGGCATATATGGGCGGCAGGTCAGGTATGTGGATGTGACGGACACGACGTCGCATCAGCTGCACCTCGGGGCTCAGCGTTGAGGCCATCGTTCGCCCGCAGCTTGCACTGGGAGGGAGCTGGCCTCTATTCCTTCGACTGGTCCATAGGGTGAATCCACCGGAGGCTCAACACTTGTCTCAATTGGCCATCAACAGCGGCGTTGTGCTGTGATGCGCCGAGATGACGGCGATGACTTCAAATGTTCGATGGGGTCGAGTTTTCTGGGGCAACATTCTTGACGTCTGGCAGGCTCCACACAGCTGATGACGTCAGCAATCGAGGCCGGTACCCCCGTACCTCTCTCTATCCCCCCGTCACCCAGTCTCCCCTAACCCTTGTAACAGACATCAGACAAATGATCAGAGTTGCACACTGACCATGATTTACACTTCACCTCTTCCCTTTTCTTTTTCTTTTGTTGCCTGCCTGCCCACAATACAACCCAATCCACCAGGGCACCCACTTGATGGAACATCCCGAAAGCATGTCAAGGATGCATGCAGCCAATTATTCAGAGGTCAAGCCCACCTGGGCAAAATGTCGAGCCGTCGAAGTTGAAAGCTAAATTCCCACCTCGACTTTAAAACAGCCGTACTGTGTTTGGTTCCACCTTCTCATCAGCCTTGGCTGTGGTCCAACCGCTGCCCCGAAACCTTACCTTACCCACCCACTGTCGAGGGCTGACAAGATCACAACATGCGAACAACAAGGCGCAGGCCGGCCCCAGTCAGCCCCGAGCTTCCTCCAAAACATGATTTAACATCGTCACATCTGCCCCGACCGAGAAAGCTTCACGTGTCGCTGGGGATCCTGTCGCGGCCTTTCTCTGGTCGAAATTGAATTGGTTCAGAGACGTGAGAGGTCGCAGTGCATAACTGCCTGATGTCTTGTCTGCCAAGATGATTTCCGAGTTCACCAATGCCATTCCAGCACCACACAAGGATATACCAAGATCATTTGAAGCCCGGTAGCAGTCTGGGGCACAACTTTAACAGAGCAGCACGTGCCGAGGTCGCCCCGAGGGCCCCGTGTGAGCGCCAGGAGGGTGATGCGGGCATGGAAATGCCATCCAGAAATACCGCCGTTGTGCACATGCGCTTTTCGCCAACGTCGGAACAAGCCTGACTGGGGATTCTGACTAGGGATTTCATTTATCATCAACCGAGCCGAGTAAGCCATCTGCTTCTTGGGAACAGTGCACGACCGTGTCCGTCTTTTGGAACCCGAAAAGGCAGTCCAGCATTGTCCAAACTATACCACACGCACTGTTCGTTGCATGCCACCGTGTCTCATGAGACTTTAGGTTCACACCGTCGCATGGCCGCGGCCGCAGGGCAGACTGCTACAACAGACACGCATGCTCCGCGTGCCACATCGCCCGCTCGCATAGGATCGACCGGATGCCACCGTGTCACCCCTGAATCTTCAGATGGGCAATGGAACTGCTTCCGGCCCTCCGGGCTGAGCGACATGCGAATCATAAAGTTCGGTCTGGGTAGGGAAATAGGAGGTTTAACTCTCTTCTCAGTTTAAAGACCGGCTGTCGGCCGCCCCCTCCTGTGCTCGATACCCTTGGGACAGACAGACAAGGTCTTCCTTCGACCAGTCTGGATGGCTAAGAACCCACGGCACCATATTACTCGCGAGACTCAATCTTACCTCGGTGTATTCTCCCGCCGTGCAATCATGTCTGAAGCAGAACATAAAGACATCGAGGTGGTGGTGACAAAGAGTGACCATAATGTCGTCGTCTCCGGCAGTGAAAAGACTCTGAGGACCGTCGAGTCCGTCGACAGCTTCCACCACGACGAGGCCGCCAAGATCCTGGCCGACTATGTGGCAGCGGGAGGGCCAGAGGAGTGGAGCGAGCTCGAAGAGAAGAACTTGACCCGCAAGATAGACCGGAGGCTGCTGCCGGTCATGGCCTTTACTTTCTTCCTGACGTGGTATGACAAGGGAATACTGTCACAAGCAGTGAGCACCCCCCTGTCTTCACCTTCAGCCTCACCGGCCTTGTGGGTCCCCACCAAAGCCTAGTACCCGCTAATATTTGACCACGTAAGGCCATATTCGGCCTGCGAGACGACCTGGATCTCGAAATAGGCGACCGCTACTCATTCTCATCCGCGATATTCTATATCGGGTATCTCATAGGATGCTGGCCCATCACGATGCTGGCACAGAAGTTCCCCACAGCGCGTGTTGTTTCCGTGCTTGTCACCCTCTGGGGTCTCTGTGTCATACTGACAGCCGCCTGTTTCAACTACCGCGGTCTCTTCGCCCAGCGGTTTTTCCTCGGGTTGCTGGAGAGTGCTGTCGGCCCGATCTTCATCCTCATCAGTGTAGGCCCATGCTCGCGAAACCTCTCCCGCCTCCTGGGCTTTCCCACTAATTGTCTTCATATATAGGGCAGCTGGTACAAGAAGAATGAACAGCCACTGCGGGTCGGTGCCTTCGCCTCCTTCGTCGGCCCCGCCATCATCCTGTCCATCCTGATCAACTACGGCTTCGGCAAGGTCCAAGGGCCCGTCGCACCGTGGAAGATCATGTTCCTGTTCGCGGGCGCCGTCACCATCGCATGGGGCCTGCTGATCCCCTTCATTCTCCCGGCCGACCCGATCAGCGCCCGCGACCTGACGGCGAGGGAGCGCTACATCGCCGTGGCGCGGATCCGGTCCAACAACACGGGCGTGCGCAACACGCACATCAAGCTCGCGCAGGTGGCGGAGACGCTGACGGACCTCAAGTTCTGGCTGTGCTTCTTCTTCGCCCTCTTCGCCCTGATCACCAACGGGCCCACGTCGTCCTTCGTGCCCATCATCATCAAGGGCTTCGGATACGACACCTTCGAGTCCCTGCTGCTCAACATCCCGGGGGGCGCCATCGCCTTCGCCGAGATCCTCGGCATCTCGTGGCTCGCCATCCGCCGGCCCATGTGGCGCTGCTGGATCATCATCGCCTGCCAGTTCGCCTCCACCCTCGCCGCCCTGCTGCTGTGGCTGCTGCCGCTGTCCGACCGCGCCGGCCTCCTCTTCGGCGCCTTCACCATCGGCTGCGGCATCCCCGGGTACATCCTCCTCGTCAGCACGCAGCTGGCCAACACGGCGGGCTACACCAAGCGCGCGACGGCGTCGGCGGGGCTGTACGTGGCGTACTGCATCGGGAACATCATCGGGCCCCTCGTGTTCCGGGAGCAGGACGCGCCGCGCTACAAGGTCGGCTTCGCCGTCGTGGTCGCCTCGACGGTCGCTGCTGCGCTGTGTCTGCTGGCCTATCGCCAGGTGTGCCTGTCGCTGAACCGGAAGAGGGACCAGGCGGGCTTCATGGAGAGTTTTGAGCATGCTTACGAGGACGACCTGACTGACTTGAAGGTGAATTTAAGCCTCCTTGAGCATTTGAGCCAGACCACACTCGCTAACAATCTGCACCAGAACCCTCATTTCAGATATGTGGTGTAGTCTTTCCCTTCTTGATCCAGCATATGTATCTGCTGGGATGTGGTCTTGCACATGCAGGGTCTGCCCGCTACGGTTTCCGCCCTCGTTTGATGTTTGGATGATGAGGATAGGACCACCCATCTTGTTTTCTGTTGTTCGCTATGTATTTAATTCCAGGCAACAAATCAACAACATCGTCAAGCGTTCAAGACTTGACCTCCTCTCCCACGTGTTCTCCCTCCCAAGTAGCTTGCCTCCCTTGGGATGACGACTTCTCCCGCTCCGTCTCGACGGGATGCTCCCTGGCTGCATACTCGGCGCATTCCCGTTTGCTCTTCTCCTCGTCCACGAAGATCAGCCCCAGCGACGACGCCCCGATCAGAGCTGCCAGGAAGCCGTAGGAGGCGTTCTGGGAGCCGGTCCGGTCGACTATCGCGCTGCAGATGAGCGGGCCAATCCACGAGCCGACGCGGCCGATGAAACCGAGCAGGGCAAAGTACCTGTTCTCCTCGCCGCGGGGTATGACCTGGCCGAGGAAGACCTGCGAGTACGACATCTGCAGGCCGACGCTGGGCCCGTAGAAGACGCTCACGGCCCAGAACTCCCACAGGTTGTGGTACCCGACCCTCCTGGTCCAGAGGCCGGCCATGCCCCACACGGCCAGGAAGAAGCACGACCAGTTGGCGACGTGGAGGACGGTCTTGGTCCGGAGGGACCACCGCCCCTGGGCCCACACCGCGAGGACGGTGAAGAGGAACACCGACGCCCCCTGCACGATGAGGAAGTAGCTGTTCTGCGTCGCCGAGAACTCGGCCACGGCGGTCTGCGAGATGATGAGCATCGTGAAGAGCGTGCTCACGCCGTCGTTGAGCCAGAAGTAGACAAACAGGTACAGGAAGGTCTGCGAGATGCGCCCGCAGCACCTGAAGCTGCGCCACGTCTGCTGCAGCCCGTAGCTGACGATGTTGCGGCCCTCCGGGACGGGCAGCCGCGGCCTGCGCCGCTCGAGGAACACCCACGGCACCGAGAACACCAGCACCACCACCCCCACCACGCCGGTTGACAGCGCGTAGCCCAGGTTGTTCCTGGCCGCCGTCGAGTCCGCGTCGATGCCCTTCAGGATCGCCAGGCAGAGGCACGCGCTCACCGCGAAGCCGACGTTGTTCGCCGCCCACGCGTGGTTCGCGATCGTCGAGCGGACGTGCTCGATCGTGGTCTCGTACCTCGAGGCCTTGATCTCCTGGTTCTGCCACGCTGCATGGGCCTTCCGGGCTTCCGGCTGGTCATCTGCTATCCTCGGGAACAATGCATAGCCGAAAGTAAACACGACATAAAACCCGATGTCTGTGATTGGGTTCTGTGTTCAGCACGGGGTGGACGGACGGGGACGATGACTCGATTTATCTCGCGGATTTCAGAGGGCCACTTACTCGTCAGGACGTACAATGCCATGGCTGCCGGCCAGGCATCTGGCGTCTGCAGGCCAAAGAAGCCCAGCGACAGGCCGCCGTAGATCACGACGGAGACCCGCAGGATCCAGGGGGCCCAGGACCCGTAGTCTGCTGTGCTGCCGATGAAGATGAAGAGGATGGACTGGCCGACGAATACCAATGCGGAGGCGATCAGGGCCACTGATTCGTAAGACTTGGTGCTGCCCGCCCACCGAACGTGGCAGGGCGCATCTGGGTCTTGATCGCAAGAGGCGCTGCCCCATGGCAGTATGTCGGGGTTGAAAGCGGCTTGATATATCAGGGTCTGAAATAGAGAGTAGGCACTGTTCTCCCAAATAGATGTTAATTTTGCTCACTTCCCAAAACCAATTCTGCACTCCCGAGGTTCATAGGGATGTGACTTCCACTTACTATTGGTAAGGACCGATGCCGTTATTCGCGGCGAAGAGGCTGTAGTACGCATATTTCTCCGCCTTGACGCCCTTTAACTCCACACTCTCGCGCTCGCTGCCAGTCGTGTCCTGCCCGATTTCCTGCTGCACAGAGTTCGGGTGCTTGCCATGATCCTGCTGTTTCATCCTGTCACGAATCAGCCAACCCGAGTATGACAAAGCAGAAGACTAAAGGTAAGCTTCACAGGGAGGGGAGGCGTGATTTGACGCCTGGGGAAAGCAACGCGTATTTTAGGAGGGCTGAAGTAGACCGCGAGAGGGGGCGCAAAACGCGGCAGCACACGATGTCACTCTGCAGGGTGCATGAATGGCCTGAAAACTTGTAGGCTCATCTACTAGGTACCTAGCTGCCTAGGGGACCGATACGTTCAGGGGCTTACTTCGGGTCGGAACGCTTGGCTAGCTTGCGAGACCGAAGTGCCCAATAGCAACCCATGCGGCGGGCTTGATTGCTACCGGATGATAAGCTATACGGAGGCACCCCGGCCCTTCTCGAATCAACACTCACCCTGTTGTCATGGTCCAGGTATACGGCACTACCGATATTTCGAAGCTCACTAGACTTGATAAAGGTGCAAGAGCCGTTAGGCTTGTCAACGCCCACGGGACCAGTCTTACGCTCAGCCTATCTTACAGCATAACTAGCAACTATATAAATTATACCTTTGGTTCGAGCACAACATCTGGCTCAAAAGATGTGCAGCTTTAGAAGTAACTACACTAATCTCCAAACAGGACGTGGAGTATGATCTCAAACAATATTGCTATATAATCAGGTTGCCGTGTCTGGATTTGTTATCAGGTGCGCTGGGCCATTGAGAGGCTGGATCCAGTTCTATTTGCCGTAGACGCACCCATATATCGTGCTGGCTCACAGACGACGACACAATTCTCAGAAATTCAAGTCCGCCCACGTTCCCTGACTGATCATCGATGCTCTCACATAACGACTATAGGTGCCGAGGTGATTTCATTCATAATCCGCACATATATAAGGTATGTGACGCCTTTATATAGTGGTAAATGCTTAAGACCTAGTATTTAAAAATGATGTGATGCTAATAACGCGGAGAAGAATATAATACGTCTATAGGTATGTGGCCTCAGCCTCGTCCTGTACTGATAAGGCTAGGGGGCAACACTCCCGACGGCGCCATTGCTAACTAGAGGCGGCGAAGCAGTTATACGGCGAGGCTGTAACAGCGTTAAGGTACCCCCTTAGATCAAACTAAGTTAGTCCTATTTAAACCATTTAGTTTCCAAAGCCTTTAAAAAATTACTAAAAAGATTTTAAAGTTAAATAATTAGTTAAGTGTTAAGAATAAAGTCCTAGTCTTACTTAAGTTTAAAGGTTAAACTTAGTCTCATTATTTTTCGCTCTAATAGAATCCTAGCTTTTCACACAAACCTTTATAAGAAAACTATCCAAGCCTCTTGCCCGCCACAGTGCTACAATTATAGTAGCTTACAAACTATCTACGCAACCTAGGAATATCTGGATTACCATGCGCTCGTCGACCTCGGCGACAAATCTTGACCAATAACTCTTGAAAGTCGATACGGACTGAATCTTGGTTCCCACACTATGGAACAACAGTCCTCCCACACACAATCGCTCAAACTAAAGCCAGGCAAACTGGGGGGCTTAAAACACCTTGAACGGCTTTTAGGATTACGAGAAGATGGTGTCCTGTCAACAGACGCCGTCTTCATATCTCTCGATCTTGAGGTAGCATCAGACAGACAGAGACTGCATCTATTAACGGAGAAACCGATCGTTACACAATTCGCCTTTGCAAGTCTGGATACACGAGACGTTCGCCGATTCTCTACATCAAGTGGTTTAAGAAGCTTGATCTCACTCCAGGTGTTTGAGGTTGTCCTCCCCCGGAGAACAAAGCAGGCTATCAGATCAAAGAAAAGGGAGGCGAGAGAAAAACATAAACAGCAATGTGCTTTTGCTCAGACCCACTTGATTACCCCAAAGGCGGTATCTTCAACGATCATACAGAATCTTTGCGTCAGAGATACTGCGATAGGTTCTGAGAGCAGCTGTCTACGAAAGATTGTCTTGGTGGGCCACTCTCTTAGGGAAGACCTAAAGATTTTACGACTCCTCGGCATAGATCTTGACAGCGTTGGGCCTATATTAACCATCATCGACACACACTCAATCGCTCGGTTTCTTTTCCCTCCTTATCACCCAAGCCTCGCAATAGAGCCTGGACAAAACTTTTCACTTGCCGGCGTTCTCGCTGAGCTTGGCTGTCTACCACACCGGCCGACATTTCACAATGCTGGAAACGACGCATTGTATTCGCTATACGCTATGCTTCTTCTCGCGATCAAGGCAGGGACGGATCGCATTGCTGGACTCAGTACGGGTGAAAAGACAGGTCTGGAGATCATCAGGGCAGTGGTATCTCGAGCTGTGGAGCAAATCATATCCGATGGACCTATAACTACAACCACCAGCATAGACTAGATGTATTTCTACTCAAAGATAGCTGTTGAAACGGTTAATCGTATCAAATTTTGGATGAATCATACGGCTTGTATTATTTTAGCTGACTATCATAAAGGTTTCTTGAGCATGTAGTCTTCACTTGGGATTCGGGCTGCCTGCACCGCCACTGATATAGGTCGTGAGAGTTTCCGGTACCTACTAAGTACGTATTTGGTGGCCCGCTTCTAGGTGTGGGAAGTAGCAATGCCCGGGCCTTATCCGCCGAATAAGACGCCCAAAAGCACCCCGTCAGACATCAGCACTGAGTTCGTACTATGGACTAATAAACCTCGTCTTTGCTTTTCTTTCGCATCGTAAGAACACTGCACGCGAGCGAGTGGTGCATTTGTAAGACATTAGTAGCGTTACATCAAAGTCACGCACTTGATCCGAAACTGGGTAACTCCCCGTACCCACATACCGTCGCTACCCAATAGTTCGATATTCACTGGGAGGGGTCAGCCATGTCTAACTCGCTGCCTAAACACCCTAGCCTCCCTCGAACTTGGCGTGGATTGGCACTGTCGGATAGGACTCGGCTTGACTTCGGGATGCCCAACTAGCACAAACAAGCCACATACAGTGATTGAGTTGCCATCTTCAACTGCATTCGACGGAATCATACGCCTGTCACATGTTTGTCGATTTCCCAGCCCAGCACCGCGACTCGAGTACTACCTTGATGCCCCGGCGGGATGAGTCAAACGATCATTCAAGACATGCCAGGTGAATCCAAAGTCAGGGTGGTTGGCGTGGATGTAGGAGGAACAAACACGGATGCCGTCGTCTTAGACGGCGACAAGGTTATTGGATGGCACAAGGCGCCCACTACCAGGGACATTCATTCCGGGGTAACAGAGTCCGTTGTCGAGGCTCTCAGGATGGCCAATGTGCCTGCTAGCTCAATCATGGCTATCAAGATAGGAACAACGGTACGTTAGGCACTTCAAAGGCTTGCCGGAGGGCCGATATTGTCGGTATTAGTTATTATGCTTCTGCTGATGTACCAAACCCACATGTAGCAATTTGTGAATGCGATTTTAGAGCTGGACAAAAATAAACTGGACAAGGTTGCAGTACTACGTCTTTGCGGTCCATATACAAGAAGTGTCATTCCCTTCGGTGAGGTCAACTGGTCACAATTTCAGGTTCATCAGAACAGGCCTGGGTCTAACTTTATAATGGAAGATGGGTTCCCCCGCGCCTTGAAATCTGTCATGGAAGGGTACTACGCTTACCTCGATGGTGGTTATCAGAGTAAGTTTCAGTTGCCCCGTCCTCAAAGCCAGTCAGAGCTTACATGCTTGCAGTTGACGGGCGAGAGATCAGCGCGGTATCAAAGGATCAGCTCCGAACCCACGCACAGAAGGTCAGGGAGCTGGGCATCCGCGCCATCACGGTGGTAGGGGTCTATTCGCCCTCGTACCACAAGCAGGAAGAAGACGCCGCCGCATTCCTGGCCGAGGAACTGGGACCTGCCTTTGACATCTCCTGCTCTCATTCCATCGGCCAAGCCGGCTTCCTAGAGCGAGAAAACGCCGCGATACTCAACGCCAGCATCCGCCGCTTCTCCCGCCGGGTTGTAAACAGATTGGACAAGGCAACCAGGTTCCTGGTTAATGCCGGGCTATACATCACACTCAACGACGGCACGCTTGCACGCGCATCGTACGCTGCTGCGAACCCGCTCAGGTGCTTCTCATCCGGGCCGACCAACAGCGCCAGGGGCGCCGCGTTTCTGGCTCAAGACATGGCATCCACCAGCATCGAGGCGGGCCGCGACCTCCTGGTCATCGATGTAGGCGGGACGACCACGGATGTCTGCAGTCTCTTACCGAACGGCTACCCTCGACAGTCCGCAGCTTGCGTCAAGGTCGCCGGCGTCAAAACAAACTTCTCTATGCCCGATGTCCACAGCATCGCTCTCGGCGCGGGGTCCGTCATCAGGGGACAAGGCCTGCGCACATCAGTCGGCCCAGACTCTGTGGCCTTGGAAGAGTCAACAAAATCTCTCCACGCTGGAGGTGCAGTATTCACCGTACGTTTCTGTCGGCTCTCCGATCCCACGCTGTGACATGAGTAACGTGCGCTAACCATGTCTCCTACGTTCTGACACGCAGGCAGGGGATCTTAAGCATCTAAAGTTTGATGACCTACGTGAACGGGGAATCAGTCCTCAAACCATCGACACGGCAAAGAGTGCAATTCAAAAGCTAATAGAAAATGCTGTCACTGCATCAAAAACGAAAGTCGAGGATGCCACCGTTCTTCTTGTGGGCGGAGGCAGCTTCATCCTCCCTGACCGAATCGAAGGGACAGACTCTGTCGTGAGACCACCGTTCTATCAAGTAGCCAACGCGGTAGGGGCTGCAGTAAGTCATACAAAACCCCCTGTGATACCAGAAGAACAGTTCAGTGACGAACGTACCTCTTCGATATAGATCGGCAAGATCAGTAGCACCTTTGACTGTCTCATCAAACCAGGCGACCGCAAAGTCCGTGACATCGTTGCCGATGGGAAACAGCAGGCCATTGCCATGTGCGAGCAAGCCGGCGGCAACACATCGGATGTCGAGATTGTGGAACTGGAAACCATCCCCGAGCCATACGCCATGGATGGCACTTTCCGACTAGTGGTTCGCGTTGTGTCGAGCATAAAGGATATCACCGCTCTTGGCCGCAATCACACAGAGGCTGATGATATACCCTCTGCGGGAGATGTTTCCTTGGCAGAGCCTAAAGACCTCCATAGCACCGTATTTTCCCATACTGACAGCATAGAGCAGGTAACACAAGTAGATGCGCAAGAGTATCGCCCAGATATTAAACACGGCTATTGGACTGTCTCAGAAACAGATATTGAGTTCCTGATAGCTGGGACTGGAGTTCTGGGGGTTGGGTGCATTGGTGAAGCGACAAACTATCTTCTATCGCTGAAGAGATGTCTGAGAGAAGGACATAGCATCCGGATCGTGTCTTGCGGGTCAGTTGGCGCTGACGAAGTGATCTGTGCCCCGCTTTGGATGGTCAGTAGAGCGACTCACTTTGAATTCTTTGGTCATAAATCTGTCCAATTATCGCCATCATTTACCCCGGACTTTGGAGATTTAAGGACTAGGCTGACAAGACCATGTCAAAGGGATCACCATCAGTGTTTGTTGAACGGCTACCTGGCGGAAACGAGTGAGCCTCTCCGGCCACATTCTGCCCTGACCTCTGGGGCCACCTAAAGCATTCTACCCTGATGTCATTCGGTGGGTGCTGACGAATTAACAGAACAAAAGAAGCAATGGATGCTACCCTGCATTGTGCCGGCATCTCGAACTTCTCTCACATCGTCCCGACAGAGATCGGCGGTATCAACGCCCTCGAGGCCCTGCTCTCAGGAGCACTACTTGAAAAGACAGTGCTGGATGCAGACCTCATGGGGCGAGCATTTCCTCAGGTGTACATGACCGTGCTGGGAGCCCAGGGGAAGAAACTGACACCTGCAGCTTTGTCAGACGGAAATGGCAACATTGTGGTACGTTGACTCCCCACTTATGGAGCCTGCTAAGTGACTGCGTGCGTACGGGAGGGAGGAGGCCGTGGCTGATTCAAACACTTTCTTCAGAATATCCAGACAGCCAAAGATGATTGGGAACTAGAGGACCTGGCGCGGGCTGCTTGTGGGTCCATGAAGTCCATCGCCGGCATGTGCATAACACCACTTGTTGGCGAGGAGAGCAAGCTCTTTGTCCAGAATAGTTACTCTGTCGGTGAGAAACTTCCATTCACTGGCTACCGTCAAAAGCTCTCAATTCTGTATCTGTGTTGCTGACACATTAGATGAAGCCTGGGAAATTGGTCGTCGTATGCACATCGCGCGCCAACACAAAAGCAACGTTGCACAGGCAATTGTTGAGCCAGCAAATGGAGAAGTCCTCTTCTCTGGAAAGATACATTCGGTGTCCAGGAAGGTAGCGAACAGTTTGACGCAAGGCATCTGTGTCATTCGGTCGGAGGGATCTTCCGGCTTTGTGACAGACGGCGACGGCACATTCCTTGAACTGATCTTCACGAACGAATTTTCAGGCGCGGTCCTCAAAACGAAAGATGGAGATGCTTACGTTGATAAATACCTGGCTGCTAGCCCAGACATGATCTGCGTAAGGGCCAATGGGCTGAGATTTAACATCGATATGAACAACGCTGACATTGACAATGCAGATGCTTGATGGAGCTGATGGAATGCCGATCGGTGTCACGGAAGTTCGCTACGGCCTTCGAGTAGATATCATCGCGATGCCTGCCCCTGCTGTCTGGTATACGGAGGAAGGGTTGAGAAGGGTAGGCCCTACTGTGTTTGGGTATGTCACCACCATTGTCTTACCCTCCTGATATCTGCGACTGATGACTCAAACCCGTCCAGCCTGCCAGATGTACGCACCGAGATTGGTAACAGGGCAGCAAAGCCATGGACATCCATCTTTGATATTTACACACAATCTTAGGTTGAGTGGCGGCCTAGTAAGACATCATACCTAAGGTTATCTGTCGGTGTCAAGCGGACCCGTCGAGTCAGGCAATCAACCTATGTGATCCACCATTCCCACGTTTCAAGCACATACGGCCATAGATATAGGAAAATACGGGGTCCTGTCCACTCTCCCTTAGTCAAGCCTGTAATCGGTTGCAACCCTGCCACTATCTCAAGCAAAGTGGCACCCCCTCCGATCATGTGCTCACCGCCTGCACACACAAATTGCTACACTTCTAACCCAGAATGGTTAATAACCAGACTTCTAAACGAATTCAGAGAAAAGTAGTAAGTGGCTAGAGATAGTATCAGTCCTCATATAGTTCGATGAGGCTAAAGTGTTCTTTGTGGAGTCATATGCAATTTACTTGTTGCAAAACTTTGGAAGGTACATAATATGTGAAGGTGGCCGGCTTATAACGAGGCCGCGGGTTTATTTTGCTTGAGACTGGCAGCAGCTGGTAATGCAAGATTGGAGAGCTGCTGACTTCCCCAGTCCTACCGTAGTAACAACACCTAGAGGCCCATCAAATCGAGGTTTTTGTAAATTTACGGGTTCAACAGAACGACTAGTGTAGAGTACGAAGTATCAAGTCTATTATACTTGGACCGCTAAATTTAGCATGGTGTCCATTTATCTAAATGCCTAAATGTTGGGAGTCTCTGGGGAAGATGCTAGGCAAAAGGTTCCTTGGGGCAGATCAGGATCTGAACATTTTGTGCTATGTTGAAGATAATGTTGCGATGGCTAACTAAATTGTGTTTCCAGTGCCTCTGATCACCTATTTTATAACCTAACCTGCCTACCTCTTATAGGTCTTGATTCATGCTAAGGCTCGGATCTCATCCCTTGCCTGGGCTGCATATCCCTTGCTGCGGCGCCTTCAGCTCAGGCCGCGACAGGGGTGAGGTCCTGCCTTCCAATACTAAATCTTCAATCGCCATGCATTGGTTGAGTTGCTGTGGTCATAGAGGGTGTGCTCATCACTCTACGTAGCCTCCGAGATGTACTTACAGACCAGGTATTTCGGACCTTAGGAGTGGCAGTGCCGACAAATCGGTCCGTATAGCGGCGAGGATGTCTACGAGGGGAACAGAGCGTAACGTAGGTGGGATTTCTGCTATTTCATGATGTCGACTCCGTTGCGGGGGTGACCACCAGTCGACGGGGCCGCCGCTCGATGACCAACAGCAGCGACAGGGTCGCTGCCGCAGAAAAGTAGAGCATAATTCTCATCTGCTCACTATAGCCGGCCGCGTATACCACTCTTGTCCGCGTTTGCATCTCGATGGGTAGGAAGGCGATATTTTCCGAGGATAAAAGGATCGATGCGACCTGGTCGGCCGTCAGAAACTTCGAAGCTTCCGTTCTGATGTGGTTAATCAGTATAGCAGCGCAGGCGGCAAGTCCTATCGTACCGCCAAGTACCCGGATCTGTGTGACTGCACCCATGGTAACGGCTGGACTCCAGTCAGCTAAGGAGCCTAGTGAGCGCACACAGAGAGAAAGGGTAACAAGCAATACCTTGGTCCCTCTCGGTGACTATCAATGGCACCATCATAAGTATCGTGCTGAGGCCGAAGCCGAAACCTAGTCCCATAAGAACTTGATAGCCGTATTGTGCTGGAGAGATGGATGTTGACGACTCCAGGGAGCTAAACAAACCCACGCCTATCATCTGAAGAGAAGATCCGAGGACGAGGATATAAAGAGGCGGGATCTTCAATTTAGACACCAACGTCCCGGCGAGAATCGTTGCGAAGGGGGAAAGGAGAAGGAGGGGCAGCATGCTGATGCCAGCCCTGGTAGCTGTCGTCATATTGACCGTCTGCAGTCTCTGAGGTATGTTGATAAGAGCCGCCATGAAGGGGAAGCCTGTGAAGAAGCCATTGCTGCGCAGGACATAGGATTAGCCGGCGGACATAGGTCAGCGGTCGCAGGTGCACTCACAGAAGTAGTCCCATGGCGAACCTATTATGAGCAAGTCTCCATGGGAATATGGGTTCGCAAACTCCATCTCTTTTCGAAATGCATCTCTCCCAGGCCACGAACCCGACCCAGAGAATGGCTGACAGGATGAGAGTCGAGATGATAGTGCCACTTCCCCATGGATAGGCCACACCGCCTTGTTCTAGAGCGAAGATGATGAGAATGGACCCAGCCAGAGACAGGAACGCACCGACGAAATCGATTCGTCTCCACGTTTGCTCTGATGTTATGGAGTGGGAAAAGTTGTTGGATTTTCCGTATGGGAAGCTGAAGGGAACCGACAAGTAAAGCAGCGCAGCCGCGACCACTCCTCCAGGTCCACTGCAGGAAATGAAAGCCAGTCAGAAATTTCTTTGTAAATCAGGGAACCTGTGAATTAACTGACTTAAAAAAGAAGACCCATCGCCAAGTGGTACGATCAGTAATCGCTCCTCCTAGGATCGGACCCAAGACGCTGGAGATGGCAAACGTGGACGAGATGATGGAGATATAGGTCGGGTATTTCTGCGGGGGCACCATGAGCGGCACCATGATGGTCGACAATGAGTAGATGCCCGAGCCACCTACACCCTGGAACGCCCGAAACACGATCCTGTGGCAAAGACAACGATGGTCAGAAACGGGACGTTGTCGAGAATCAAGTTTAGAGGCAGGGCAGCTGCGCACAGGGGGGGCATGGAGTCAGACGCGCCACAAGCCATAGAAAACACGGTGAATATAGTGATTGCGCATAGCAGCATCAGTTTGCATCCGAGGATGTCGCTGAGTTTCGAGTAGATGATCAGGAAGCCTGGCAAGTCCACTCATCAGCAGCCTGGAATCACTGAATTCGAGAAATCCCCAGAGTCACGTACCAGTGTACGTGACCAAGTAAGACGTCACAATCCAGCTGGCTTTGTCGAAGCCGTGGAGAGCATCGACGACAGACACGAGCGCCGTGCTGACGATGGTGGTCTCGAGGGTCGATAGCAGTAAGCTCAGACAAAGCCTTTCACGTCCGATGGGCTGGTCAGCCTGATCCCAAGCCGGAGGGCAGTCGACAAGAAGCGAACATACGCTGCCGTCAGGGCGTGAAGCCTCCAGCCAGTATGGTAGACCTTGGACTTGGGGGTGTGCTCGGCAGTGTTGTCGCCGTTCGGGACTGTGTCGGGTGCTGCATCAGACGCGGCCTCAGTCTTGGTGCCGGGGCTTGCAATCATGCCCGTCTCAGCGGCCGACTGTTTGCCATCGGGGTCTGGGAGGTCAGAGGCAGAGGGTGCCGGGAGGGGAGCATGGCCAGCAGTTGATGGCAACGACATGTCGGATGTGAAATGCGCTAGAGCGACCGCTTGGGGTCGTTGAGGGTGGTCATTTGGTAGAGGAGGCTAGGCGAAAACATGGATTGACGTTCACGCATGGGGTGCTCGCCGGTTTTGTTCAAGACCAACAGAAGAGGACAACATTGGACAAACCATGCTTACGTGGGGTCCAGACGCGGGTGTGTGTCACAACCCGGACCCCATCAGGCCAAGTTAAATCTATGCAGGGACGATATGAATAATCTTGCACTCCCCTGCTTAAATATCGACTCGCTCCTCTCAGAGAAGACTAGTCCGCCCCACCACGGCCCCACCTAACTGCAACCACAAATGCCAAGCCTCTCAGGTACTTAAAGGCACTTCAACCACTTTTTATCGGGGGGTCTGGGGGGGACCCCCCCAGTGGGGGATTGGGGGTGAAGCCCCCATGGTTAGTGTTAGGGTTAGTGGTTAGGGTCAGGGTTAGTGGTTAGGGTTCAGGTTAGTGGTTAGGGTCCTGGAATGTAAAAAAGAAGAGGAAGAAGGTACTTGTAAGTATTTTTCAGGATGTGAAAATTGAAGTCAGATTGACCTTTCTATTTTGGGAGGAGCGAGTCGATATTTAAGCAGGGGAGTGCAAGATTATTCATATCGATGCAGGGAGGGTAAAGTACTGCTTACGTGAGAGCTTGCACGTTTGTAGTCCAGGTACAGTACTAGCCGCACAGATAGTTGCATACTTTAATATACTGCGGCTCGCACGGGCGACCGGCCCGATCGTCAGCCTCGCCCCCTACCCCCAAACCGACTTCTTTAATCAGGTTAACCTATAATAATGACACCCGAAATGCCTGTTGGTCTGACTGAGCATGCATGTGTCGTATAGTCAGTCTACTCTACTTCAGGTCATCAGGCCGGAACAGACTTCGCCAAGTATTATCCAACGCCCAACCAACATTGAAGACAAAGTACAGTACACCAACCCCTGACGCGAAACCACCGTAACCAATCAGGTTGTATCCCACAATCTCGTGCTGCTGTCATTCTGGCGGGCCCGGTTACTAACTTCGGCAATATCATTACTCAATGATGAGAGAACATCCTCGCTTACTGCTGCCTGCGCGGAGCCGACAAGCGACAGGATACGCTCAGTAGCAAAGAAGACGGTGTCGATTTTGCCCGACATAACAGAGAATACTCTCCCGCAGCGCGAGACATGGCAGCTGCGATCATCGTGAGCGCCGGGGAAGTCAGGGGATCCCTCGTAGTAGAGCAGCAGCGTTGGCTCGTACACAACTTGGCTCCCCGGCTTGCAATAGTGGCCCCAGGTGGCGTCAACGGCAAAGTCGAATCGCTCTCCATCGATCAGAACCAAAATAGAAATCTTCGGATAATGTTGGTTCAAGTTATTACAAGACTCGCGTCCGAACCCAGTGTCTAATCTAACTACTGCCAAATTAACGCCGTTATTTACATGCTCTAAACCAACGCAATGCCGGTAAGGTCACCCAACTCCGGGAACAAGACCTTCTTCGTCCGCTTCTTGATATCAATCGCATACACGCCTCCCGCCAGGTCCGTCACATACGCCACGTCCTCATCCCTATCCAACGCCAGCCCAATAGTTTCATGTAGCCGCGTCGCCAAGACCTGCGGCACGCCCCCCATGCCGATAGCAGCACGGTTGAGCGAGTTGCCCCTGGGCGGGTCCCCCCGGTCCGTCCAGTACAGCGTCTGGGACTCGGCGTCCATCTCGAGGTCGATGGGCTCGGGGAGCTTGTCGAACACCGTCTCGACGTCCCAGCGCCTGTCCGGCAGGAACCCCTTCGGCCCGTCGACAGGCGCCCGCAGGATCCGGCCCTGCCCGCCCTTGGGGGCCCCCTTCTGCGTCCAGTAGAAGAACCCGCGCCGCTCGTCGACCGCGATCCCGACGCACCACCTGCGCTGGTCCTGCCTGTCCTCCTCCGTGTCGCCTGTGGAGACGAGCACCTCGGCGTCTGAGCCGTCCATGTTGGCGCGCATCACCTTCATGCCTTCCCGGTCGCACCAGTACAGTTTCCGGCTCTCGCGGGCGATTGTGATTTGTTTGGGTGTGAAGACGCCCACTGACCCTTCGGGCACGATAACCTTGCGGTCGGAGCCGTCGAGGTTGGCTCGTTCGATGGAGCCGCCTTTCGTTTTCAGGCTGCGGCCCATGTTTGTCCAGTACATGTGGTTGTTCTCGTAGTCGATGGTTATGCCATCTGGCATGGTGGTCATGTTATCTATGACCGTTTCCAGGTCGCTGCCGTCTGTGAGGCATGATAGAATGCGACCGCGTCGTGGCTGGGGCTGTGAGAGATCGGTGTCGAGGATGTACAGCTGTCTATAGGCTTGTGATATGGAACCCATGATGATGACTGTATGGTGTATATTGACGGTAGATCAGCCCAAGATGTCCTTGGAAGCAAGTACCTTGGTCAAATGGCTACCACACTTCAGGGCTCAGATTCGTTCAAAATTCGCATGATAGGCGTGCAGGTCAACTGGTCTGCTTTTATTTCGCATGTTGTCTGACATCACAGAGGACCCTTCATTTTCGTCACAGACCCACGCCCAGCCTACTCTTGGTGGGCACACCATTATCTCATTGCACCCAGTTCAGTTGATCTCGCCAGGCGGCGGGATAGCGAAATGGCCGGCTCGAGGGGCGAGTGGCCCACAATTCGCCTTTGTCTCGCTCTTTCGACGGCCGTCAGTTTCTTGACACGGGAGGACCCGCAGCACCATGTCATAATACCGGGCCCTGTCGATCGCGGAATTCGTACCACCCCGTGAGACCACAGCGGAACATGCAGGTCGACAGGCGTCCCTTGTCATGGTACCACGACGTCGGTGATTCCAGTTGGCTGGGACCTGCGACCACCTCGCCATCTTGCGTCCGAGCCACCGTCATGGCGGTGATTTCGTACAGATATAGTTTCGATCGGATTTGATTCCGCGTGAACAGTCTAGACCCTACCTGTTCAGGGTCCTGTCAAATTCAGGTAACCCATGAAAATATCAAATTTTGCCTGATATTCAAGGTTCTCATGTCATGTGCACAGGTACCTAAGTATGTAGAGTGTACCCGATCTCGTGATCGGGATGTATACGGATCAAGAACGAGACCACCATCCATGGATCTCGTGATGCTTTCTATATCGTCTGAACATTTGATATGGACCTCAGGCTAGAGTAGAAAGTTTAATGGCGACTGCCATGTAGTGAACACTACCAAAGGAATTCAAAAAGTAATATTCCTAGCAACTGGAAATGATAGGGTATCGACAATAAATCAATGCAATGTTCATGTTCACCCAGACTTCTTCCTCTCCGCAAAACCATCCCACTCATTCCTAACATTCAACAGCCTCACCAGCTCCTCGTCCCGCTGCCTAGCCAGCTCGCGGTAGTCCCTCCCGCCAACCTCCTCCAAGGTCCCGTCGACCCACTTCCTGCGCAGCGCGTCGTCGACCACGGGGTCCCGGGGCGCGTACCAGCTCATCAGCGGGCCCAGCAGGTGGTCCGCCATGTGCTGGACGCCGCCCTCCCCACCGCCCAGGTGGAACAGCGTGCTGGGGCCCATGACGCCCCACCGCAGCCCGGGCCCGAAGCTAATGGCCGTGTCGAGGTCCGAGACGGTGGCGACGTCCTCCTGCAGCAGGTGCATCACCTCGCGCATCAGCGCCGCCTGCAGCCGGTTGGCCACGTGGCCCACGACCTCCTTCTTGACCTCGACGGGCTTCTTGCCCACGGCGCTGTAGAATGCCATTGTTCTCGAGATTGCGTCTGCGGATGTCTGGCGGCCGCCCACGACCTCGACCAGTGGGATCAGGTGTGGTGGGTTGAAGGGGTGCCCGACTATGCAGCGCTCCGGGTGTGACGAGGCAAGCATGCCCTCCTGGATGCTGGAGCAGGTCAGGCCGCTGCTGCTTGTCGCGATGATGGTGTCCTCTGCGACCGTCTTGGCGATGTTGTCAAACAGCTCCTGCTTGAACTGTAGTCTCTCGGGCCCGTTCTCCTGCACGAATTCCGCGCCCTTGAGCGCGTCTTCCAGGGAGGTTGTGAATAGTATATCTGAGGGCTTGGCATCTGTCTTCTTGAGGAGGCCCAGTGAGGACAACACGGGTAATGCGTCTGAGACTATATTCTCTAAGAATTTCTGGGCGTCAGGGTTGATATCGAAGGCTGACACCGTTAGACCCTGGGCGAGGAACAGGGCCGCCCAGGATGCTCCTATGGAGCCACAACCGATGATGGCAACTGTTTGGATGTTTGACATTATGTTTGTGATAGAAATCGAATTTTTGCGCGGTAATGTTTTATGTGTTGGCGAGGTTGAAATGTTAGATGAACAGTGTGTTTGGCAGAGAGAGTGTGTTGGCGTGTGTAAATGTCTGCATTTAAGTGCTCAAGTGTGTATATATGCACTGCAGGTACGCTTGTCAATACTCCAGAGCCATTTGAATCGCCATTACGTAGGTGCCATGACCATCAAGCTTTCGACCTCCTGTCACTCGGTACAAGTTTCATGCTTCAACCACCGCACGAATGTCCGACTCGCCTCAACCAGCGAGGGCGAGCACCCGAGTCGCTGGAAAACATGGGTACGCAAATCCACACCGGCGACAGCAGATCCGTGGATGCACCCTGGGGAACCAGCAGGTGGGCAGGACAGAAAGGGAACGGGGTTCGAGGAGAAAATCCGTTTGATCGTGGAGGCAAGTTCCGCACGCGGAATGGGATTTTAGAGTGCTGACTCGTGGGCCTCGGCACTGCAACGTCAGTCTGCATCAAGACTCGTCCAGTCTGATAGAATGCCGGGAGCTTCTAGAAAACTTCTCTCGCCCCAGGTGCCCCAAATAACCAATGCGGGACTCCGGAGTAACGTCATACCCGTATGGATAGGGCCCATCTCCTGCAGCGCTGGAACTTCGGGTCTCGCGTCTCGACACTCGGGGTCAGTCGGCTAATCCGGATCTACTGTAATGTTGGTCCTTGACAGACCTCGGTATCCAGCAAGCGACGATATGTCTATCCTGCCAACGTTCTCGAAAATGTGGACAGAGTCAAGCAAGCCCCAATGGCACGCACCACGTTGCATAGACTCGGACGGCCGTATGATGGAGGTCCTTAAAAGGGGCCGTTCCCCTTCGTCGTGGATGTTGATGAAGCCTGGGATGATATGATATACCTCTTGCCCCAGCCTTGTTTCTCGTGTCAAACCATCACTTTACCATATCTGCTCATCCCAGCCATAGGACATAATCACTCCAACACAGCATCGATCATGGCATCTGAGACAATCCCTGACGTCTACGGACCAGGCACCTTCACAGACAAGTCGTTTACACCCGTTCCCCAAGACACAGAACGCATCTTCCGCCTCCTCGCCAGCCAAACTCCCGGCTTCACACAGGATGAGGCCATCCTCTCAAAAGTTCAGTTCACCGGCGAGGAGTACCCCGTCATCCCCGGCCCAATAAAAGCCACGTCTGTCGCCGCGGCACTGCACGGGATGACGGGCGTCTTGGCCGACGAGATCCTCGCCCTGAGGGGAGTCAGGAACGATGAGCGCCGCATCATCGTCAACACGACGCACACCGCCCTCTGGTTCGGCTGCATCGCCACCGCCTACCTGGACGGCGTCGACGTGCTGACACTGGCCATGACCGGCGAGTCCAAGAAGGTCGTCCCGGACTGGGAGAGGGGCTGGACCGACACACCACTCAAGTACCGCTGCACAGGCCTGTACCCAACAAGCAACCCAGAAGTATGGTACTCGCTCCACGGCAGCCTGAACGCCGAGCCGGTCCTGCGTTCCATCGGCATTGACCCGGCGGCACCCATCAAGACAAATGAGGACGCGGCCCGCCTCATCGCCGAGCACACCTCCAAGCTGAGCCCGGAGAAGCTCGAGATGAACAACCTGCTCAACGGCTTCTGCGGGAGCGTCTGCTTCACCCCCAAGCAGTGGCGCGAGTCCGAGATGGGCCGCTCGCTGGCGTCCCACCCGCTCGTCAACGTCAAGGCGCAGGACCATGCCGTTCCTACACCCCCCGTGGCCTTCCCGCCGCTCAACCCAACCGACAGGCGGCCCCTCGCAGGCGTGAAGGTTCTCGAGATGACCCGCGTCATTGCCGGCCCCAAGATCGGCACCATCCTGGCGGCCTATGGCGCAGATGTCATCCGCGTCAACCCACCACACCTGCCTGACGTCTCCCTCCTGCAGCTCACCCTCAACGCGGGCAAGCGCACCATCGCCATCGACCTGCGCAAGGAGGAAGACGCCGCGCTGCTCAAGTCGCTTGTCGGGGAGTGCGACGTCTTCATCCAGGGCTATCGGCTCAACAAGATGCCCAAGTACGGGTTGGGCCTGAACGACCTCCTCAAGGTCGCCGGCGCCCGTGGCAAGGGCATTGTCTACCTCAGCGAGAACTGCTATGGCCCCAACGGGTACTACGCCGAGCGGCCCGGCTGGCAGCAGATCGCCGACGCCGCGGCGGGGTCGGCGTATGTCACGGGCAAGAGCCTGAAGCTGGCCGACAACGAGGCTGTGCTCCCCAGCCTGCCCATCTCGGACATGTCGACCGGTGTGCTGGGTGCCGTGGCTGCGATGCTGGGCCTGAAGAGGAGGGCCATCGAGGGTGGCAGCTACTACGCCCACGCCAGTCTGACGGCCGTCAACGCGTACGCGCTGACCGAGGAGGTCGGCCTCTACCCGGAGAGCACCGTCGCGGAGTGCAAGGAGCGGTTCTCGTGGGGCGAGATGAGGGGCCAGCACCACGTGCTCGACCTGCTCGTGACCGTGTGGAAGGGGTGGAAGCAGGTGCTTGGCGACTACCTGCAGCCCGAGAACGGCTGGTTCCAGCATTTTGAGAACAGCGCATTCGACGGGCGGAGGCTGAGCGTGCTGAAGCCTGTTGTCAAGCTCGAGGGTGACGAGGGCACGACACCGAGTTGGAGCTCTGGCAGCACGCCGTATGCCTACCTGAAGGCGGCGGAGGTGAAGTTCCACTCATGATGCTGTGTGAGGAGGACCCTGATGAGAACATGTAAATAAAATACTTAATAAAGTAAAATCACAAGTAACACTCATGACCCATTCTGCCCACATGTGATATGCTATTGAGATCAATGACATAAGAGTAATTCCAATTTCACATGGAAGACTTCAAATCATATCACACCAATTCAAATCTACTGGCAAACCCGGCTGAAGAAATTGGAAGTGTGTAACTACCTACACCAAATGGCTGCTCTCATTCTCGTAGCCCGCATGGACACTCTATCAACCCTGCCCCAGGGTGGCTACCCTAGGCCATGTCAACTGGTGGTTGTGCAATGTTTTTAACAGTAGTACTAAATGAATTGCAGCCGACAGTTCAGCTTTGCGAGCGCAGTCATTGATCAAGCCACAGGCTCACGTAGCTCCAGTCACATACAATTAGTCCCCAGTGTATAATACGTGAGTATTCTAGAATAATAGGACTCACTCGAGTCTCTTCTAATCCGGCCAAACTACCTCAATTATAGCTTGACTTTACGCAGCCATGCACGTGGAAATTTGTGTAGCTGTCTAGTCATCCGGTCAGTCATTCGGATTCCCTTTAATCATGTGATGGTCTCAGTCACGCCTTTCGACCGGGTCCACAGAAATGATTCATCATAAGTCAATGCTTATCATCTTGCCTTGGATGGCCGAATGCGATGATTCGCAAGGTGAGCAAAATGGGATTCTCATCAAGCATATATATCTCAGCAAGTAATCATTTCAATCCCATCACGTCCAAGACATCATTCCCCAAACATATCGTTCATAGCTTGAATTATTGCTAAGAGAACTGCCTTCAAATTTTCGAATACTGCACATCAAAATTCGATCGTTTGATCTAACTGCTACTATGGGTGCCCTACAAAGTATTTTCGATCCCGGTACCTCGACTGTCATGTCGACCACTCAAACCACTGTCTTCACAGAGCGGTCGACGCCAGAGGAACCTGTAACCACAACCTTGACAGCCTCCGCCCCCGAACCACCTTCGACCACAACTCTCACCACTCCATCGACGACAACGGCTTCGACAACTCTGACCTCAGTGACGACGACTTCGAAACGCTTGAAAACGACCCTCACATCTCCCTCAACCACAACGGCCACGACAACAGTCACCCCGGTGGCCGAGCCCATATCAGAGGTGCTAGAGGACACTTGGACCACGATTCTCACCTTGCCCACAACGACGACCACCACGACAACTCTGACCCCTGCCACCGAGACCACGATTCTTGTCTCGCCGACGACAACTACGGATACCACAACCCTTACCTCCGTTACCACGGCCTCTGTGTCGGTTGATACCCCGGGTAAGCAATTACATGGTTCTAGAGTGGATATCGTTGACGTGCTAACTGCGGGGACTAGTGAGAAACCAATATGGACTGCCCCCAGGTCAGTTCGACTTCGGGATTGCGGCCTTCGCAATACTCATGATCCTGTGCGGTCTAGCAGTTATATACTTCTTTATGTGGCTGTTTGTTGGATTGCTCCGCTCCCGCGACGTCCCTGTCAGGAGGATCATCCCAGAGGAATGTTATGACCAGGGCGGAAGCATTTCCTACGGAAAGTCCTAGTTCTCTCGTCGACGAAGAATAAAAAAGACCGGAAGACCAAGTAGCGGATATACTAGTATATTGTGGGAGACGGAGAAGAAACCATTAAGGGCTCCAATTCAAAGTATTTGTTAGACACAGACAGCTTACTACTCGATGGAGTAGTCTACGAGTACATGAGGAAATCTTTCGTGTGTGATACTGGAGCCCTAATCTAACAAATTGATTCATTCGAGGTCAGCCGTGGGACTTTTGTTTGTGTCGGTTCTTCAAACCATCGGTTTGGCTGTACTCAGACGTATCTGCATCGTACTCTAGGAAGCAAGTGACGAGCAAGCTGTTTCTGCGTTGAGATTCATCCATCGCACGCCAGATTTTCTACAAAACCCAATAACTTGAGACAACCAAAATTTCGCCTACGTCGGCCCCTCTTCAATGAATGGCAAGTCTTCGGGGATACGGTCCATTATTTTGGGTAGCTGGGTCTAGTATAGGTGGCCCATATCCGACTCCAGGCGACTCTCAATCCCGGAAGAGCCCAATTAGGAAACCTAGATCCACGTCTAATCATACGAAAAGAGTCCATAGTTGTTATACCGGCTTGAGGCTCTATAGGTTCTAGCAACACATGTGCAGTTGCTATAAGGCACTTATATATATGATACATCTATCGTATGTTTACCACTGTTATTGACACTGTATGCTTTTTTAAAGGCTGGGTCTTGAGCGTTTGCCACTGAATGAAGGCGCCATGTATGTTCCCGCACGTATGCGGGAAGTTAAAGTCTATAGTCACCAGAACGGTAGTCTTCTATGAGTAGCTCGATGAGGCCCGTCACATACTCCCGGCCAATAAGCTTGGGCGGACAGCAAACAGCCGTCCCCAGATAGTCCCCCCCAGACTGTTCGCAATGCGTCGAACGTGTACAAGAAAGCTCTGCATTGCTCATACTCAATTCGAGATTTTGAACGAGGTTGCAAAGCTCAGCCAGGGGCCGGTGGTAGTCTTCTGCCTCCATCACCGGAAACATGCTTGGAAATTCGGGTGGAAGGTGCCCGCAGGCCTGACCAGGCCTTGCAAGGCCCCTGGTGAAGCTTCCGTACCATTGGTTGAGGCAGAACTGACAACCAAAGCCTTCGAGCCCGTCACCGACTGATCCTTCTGAGGTTGAGAGAAGTGCTGACTGTACTTGTCCCAGGTTTGCCAAGATTTTTGAAACTGCTTGATACCGCAACATAATGATCCTGTCTGAGGGATGGACGGCTATCAGATTGAAAGTCACTATACCCTCTCGGGATCGGACTGGACTCACTCGTGACGACCTTTTCAGCAAGGCGAAATTTGGAGAGATTAAGTGGCTGCCCCGGAGAAAGCTCTTCAGATGGATCCCCCAGCCTGCCCTCGCCGTCATCGTACAACTCGAAAACGGCCCAATTCACAAACACCATGAAATCATCCACGAGACCAATGTGATAACTCAGCCAGAAACAGCAGGCCCTTTGCGTCTTCTCTCTCGTTGTTGACAAGGGCATGGTCTTGAACCATCGCTTCAACACCGAAAAGAAGCGGTCCTGCATTTCGTATTGCACCGCGAAGACAACAGTATCCTGTAATGTTTCAAAATCCATAAGTTCTGGGATCTTCGACATGTTGGCGTGGATGAGGTGTAGCATAGCCGTTTTCGATTTGATTGAAGTGTCTGGCAGCCCGTCAAATTCCCAATTCGGAAAGAGCTTGAGTTCATCATGAGCCGGCGGCCCAGCCGGCCGGACGGCCAGGCACTGCTCATAGAGTTTTGACGATGCTCTCTGGAGTGCCCTGGAATCGACGAGGTAGACCCCGTTCGTACACTTGTCTGTGACCATGAGATCCCCGTTAAAATCGACGGGCACGACATTGAAGCGTATGCAGCGGAGGAGGAAACGCTCATATGGGTCTATGCGGCGGGGGATGGGTGACGCCCTGCTGCTGTTGGGCTTCGGCTTCTTGCTGGCAGGCTCGACGACGCAGTCTGACTCTGCCTCGACACTCGGCTGCGAGCGCTTCGTGCCCGTTTCGCACCCTCCTCCAGATCTGGTCTGCTATTGTGAGAAAGATGCACGGGAAGATAGGATCGCGATGGGGACGTCCATTTTGTGCTGACGCGATGGCTTGGAAGCAACACAGCGGTGAGAGAACTGGAAGGGATGTAGGTGAAGGGCTGCTTCAATATTTGAATAACTAGACAGAATGGGAACAATTTACCTTCATTCTAGTCTCGTTCACGCAAGTCGCAGAGACTTGCAAAGACTCGTTGAGAATTTAACGCAAAATCAAGCTCTTCTTCAAGATCTATACCTAGGTAGATGTCAGTCCTAGTATCAAAGACAATGCGCTTGTATCAAGCAGACCGTTTACGGAGATTAGCTGCCAGATGCCTAGGTACTAAGCCGAGGTAAGCAGGGACTGGAAAGAGCTTTGAAACCAGACGCCAGTTGACCGGCCGGATTGATAGTGGCCCAGCCTTTCGAATGTGGGACCGAGAGACTCGTCAAGAGAAGGGGGAAGCGGCAATGCAAGAGGGAGACGCGACGTGACGCGTATGCGGGGCAGACTGCCGAGCGGCCGGCTAACTCGTTTACATTCCAAGGGACCAAAATGCCGAAAGTAGGAAGGGAACTATCACACATATAAACTTATTAATATAAAACTTAACTTTAATAATTTGAATTATTTAATTTTAGTAATAATATTATAAAGAAGAGTGTATTTAATATTTTAAATTTTTTAATTTTAGTAATAATATTATAAAGAAGAGTGTATTTAATATTTTAAATTTTTTAATTTTTAAGTATAGTAAGGAGAGTTTTTTATATAAAGTATAAAAAACTTTATAAGCGACTAAGTAGTTATATAAATATTGTTAATTGTTATTATTAGTGAGTTTAAGTGAATTCTAGAGTAATAAAAGTTAGAGAGCGATTATAATCTAAGCTAGAAGTATTACTTAAAAGATAAACCTTCCTCACCCCTTTATACTTTTAATATAAAAGATATTAAAAACTTATAATAATTAAAACTTTATAATATTTATATTTATTTATATTTATTATTCTTTTTATAAAAATTTATTTTTTAATTAAAAATTTTTTTTCTTAAATTTTATATAAAAAAGATCTAAATATTTTTAAAACTTTTATTTTTTAAAAATTAATAATAAAATATTTTTAAATTTTTCAAATTAAAGTTTAAATTTTAATCCTTTTAATTAAAACTCTTTAAAATTAATATATTTATTTAAATAAATTTTATTATTAAAAAAATAAAAGTATTAAAATTTTTATATAATTATTTATTTTATATAAATAATATTTTAAAAAAGAATTAAAATTAAAATTATAATAACTTATTTCTTTATAATATTTTTAATATTATAAATATAGGAATAGTAAGCTGCAGTGGATTAGCTACTATAAGGCTAGTGGGTCTATGCGCACGCATAGATTAGGCTTAGTTAGTAGGTCTAGCTAACCTAACTAAGCGCTTCGCTACCTAGCTAGGCAGACCTTTAACTATTACTAATATATACTACTTTACTTAATCCACTACTTCTTATATATAAGCTAAGCTAACTAATATTAATTAATTATTAATTAACTTTATTTATTAGTTTTTAATAATAAGATAAATTATTTAAATTATTTAAATATTAAGTTCTTTTAAAAGATAAATTAATAAAGTTATTTTATTATTATAATTTAAAGAAAAAAATAAGTTAATAATACTATTATTATTATTATAACCTTTTTAAAAGGTAAGTTATTTAAGTTATTTAAATATAAATTTAACTATTAAATAGAACCTCTTTATTAAATAAGTTTTATAACTCTTTTATAATAACTCTCTCTCTCTTTTATAACTAATAATTTAAGCTTATTTATAAAACTTTTAAACTAATATTTAATTATTTATTAGCTAATTTATTTAGTTATCTACTAATTAATTTATTTACTTACCTTATAGTATTTAAGTAATTAATTAAATAAGTAACTTTTATACACTCTCTTAACTTTTCTCTCTCTCTTTTATAATTATTAGTAGAAACACTTTAATATTATAATTATTATAGTCTTAAATCCTTTAAAAATAAAATTATTTATAGTTATTATAAGTATATATTAATACTTTTATTTATATTATAATAAAAGTTTAAATTAAAAATAAAATAAAGAAGTATATTAATAATATTTATAATAAGGAATATATTATTATTAACTTTAATAATAATAAAGTTTAATAGTTTATTAATAATTTTAATTATTATTTTAATAAGAACTTTTAATACTTTTATAAGGTTTTAAAAATTAAATTAAAGAGTGTTTTAAATAAATTAAGTTAGAATTTTTAAAGATTTTATAATACTCTTTATATAAATAATATTTATATTAAGTTAAGTAAGTTATTATTTAAAGTTTTATTTATTTTTATTTAAATTTCATACTTTAATAAAAATAGATATTATAATTATTTATATAGTTAATTAAGGAAAAATAAAACCTTTAATTAAAATAAAAGATTAATAAAGTAAGTAATAGTTTATTATAAAAGGAAAAAACTATTAGAAAGGTTAATTAGTTAATTAATTAAATATTAATAATTAGTAATTATTTAATAATAACTTAATAAGTAATTAGTTAATTAATAATTTAAGTTTAATTTTATTTATTAAAGTAATTTAAATTTTAATAATCTAAGTAATTTATAAAAATATTAATTTAAAGTGCTTTTATAGTATTTAAATTAAGTAAATTATAATTAAATATTTAATAGTAATTTTAAGTGATTTAATAATTTAATTAGAAACTATTTTATTAGTAAATAAAGTTTTTTAATTAGTTAAAAGGAAGAAATAAGTTAGCGCACCCTATAACGCACAACCCCACCAATATATATATATAGATTTTAAATACCTTTTAGATTACTACCTAACTTTAACACTTAATTTCTTAATAACTATAAATATTATTTTAAAGTTAATAATAATAAACTAACAATTAAAATACCTATTATAATATAGTTTAATTTAATAATTTTATCTTTACTTTTTAACCTATTATTATTAAATAACTCTATCTTAACCTCTATATTTTATCTTATTAAAGCCCTCTCCTTTTAAATTACTATAATATTAATAAATACCTTATTTAAGTTTAAAAGGACCCTATAATATTTCTAAGTCTTCTAATAATTTAATATATTAATAAAAATATTTCTCTTACTTTTAATAGTTATTATATATATAGTTAACTTATTAAACCCCTTAATTAGCTTATAGAAGAAAAGTTAGGCTATAAAGGACTTAAAGGTTAACTTTAACCTATATAACTTAAACTTAATTTTTTATACTTAATAAAATAAATAAGGTATCTTTAAACTTATTAAAATTAATTTTTTATTAATAAAAATAGGTTTTCTTTTTTAATTAGTATTAAGGGTAATAAGGTTATTATTCCTATATATTAGCCTTAAGTTAAGGACTTTATTTTAATTTCTAAATTAAATTCTAATCCCTAATTAGCCCTTTTTAATATATTTAACTATTAGAGCGCTATTTTAAGCTATATAATAGGTATATAAAAAGAACTCCTTATAAAAATACTTTATATTATAAATAGTTATTAATATATTTAATTATTAATAATATTAATACTTTAAGTTAGAGAATACCTTAATATTAAATAGCTAAAGGATATAGGAAGTATATATTAAAAGGAAGATAAGTTAAATTTTATATAAATAATACTCCTATATAAAATCCTTAATTATATAAAACCTATAGTTATTAATAATTAGTATTTATTACTATTTAGAGTTATTTAAATAAATAGAGAGTTTATATATAGTTCTTAGCTATTATAAACTAATAAAGTTATTAATTTAACTTATTTTTAATATTATAAAGTATTAGTCTTTAAATTTATTAAGTCTTTTAAAGAAACTACTACTATTAGATTATTTTATTATAAAAATAATTAAAAGGGAATAACTTACTACTATTTATATATACCTTAATTATAGTATATTAAATATAATTAATAACTACTTTTATTATAATAAATCTACTTTTAAAAGACCTAATAATTAAATAATTATTCTTATTACCTTTTAAAAATCTATTTTATTAACATTAATTTAAAACTCCTAAAGTATATTAATAACCTCTAGGATTATTAAATCATTAAAAACTAGCTACTCTTTTAAGTATAATACTATTTACTTATTTATAATTAATTTAAATAACTTTAAGAGTTTTTATTAAAAATTCCTTTTAAAAACTTATATATTTAGTATTTTCCTATAATAATAATAGGAATTTTAATTAGTTAATTTATATTAACAATCTAATTTATAAAGTATTAAAAACTTATATATAAAAAGATAGAATAAGTAACCTTATATAAGGGTTTAATTTACTATTAAACTTTCTTATATAATTAATAACTTTTAATAAATAGAATTAATATCTTTATAAATTAAAATACCTATTAAATAATATTAAAATAAATATTAAAAATATAGTATAATTTATATATTTTATTTTAACTAACACTAGCCTAATACTTAGTAATAGTAGTTAAAATTATAGCTATAATAGTAAAAATATATTATTATATATAGAAGAGAAAAATAAATTAATTAATATAATTTTAAGTTTATATAATTAAAGATACCCTTATAAAGTAGATATATAATTAAGTAACTTTAATTACATTAATATAGATAATTTATATATATTAGTGGGGTTGTGTATTATAGGGTGTGCTGACTTAAGAATGTTAATTTTAAAAGATTAAAAAGTTATTAATATAGAAATAGTAAGTTATAATTAATTAATTATTATAAGGTTAGTAAATTTATATATATATATATATATATATATATATATATAGGCTAGCTTTAGTTAATAGGTTTAGCTAATCTAACTAGATGCTTTACTACCTAGCTAGGTAGACCTCTACCTATTATTAATATATATTACTTTATTTAATTCACTACTTCTTATATATAAGTTAAGCCGACTAATAATAAATCTCTTTTAAACCTTTTATTTTTAATCTTTTAAGAATTAAATTTTAATTTTATAAATATTTTTCTATATAAAAGAATTCTATTAAAACTTTTATAATTTTATATTTTATTATATAATTTATTTAAATAAATATATTAATTTCAAAAACTTTTAATTAAAAACATTTAAATTTTTAACTTTAACTTTAAAAATTTAAAAGTATTTTATTATTAATCTTTAAAAACTAAAAAGTTTAATAATATTTATTTTATTATAATAATAGTTTTATTAAAAATATATATTTAATTAAAAAATAACTTTTTATAAATAAAAATAATAAATATAAATATATATAAATATTATAAAGTTTTAATTATTATAGGTTTTAAATATTTATTCTATTAGGAGTAAGTAAGTAGAAGTTAAGGTCTATAAATATTATTAAACTACTCTACCCCGTTGGCTGTATATTGCAATTCTCAACAATCTATGCTACCTTACTGGGTTCTGATCGGAGAGTGGACTGATGATCATTTACCCTTGTTTACCTCTGGAGTAGCTTTATAATGCATCATACACAATTGGTCAAATATAAATACAGTATGGCCTACGAGAATACCAGGTCCTCGGTCTGTGAGAGTTGCATGATGCTTTTACACGGCCTACTCGACCCATTTTCTAAGAAACAAAAGTTTATAAGACGTTCTTACTCGACGAGACTCGGCGGGAATGAAATATGACTGCATTAACAGGTTTTCATTTGTTTGTTTATCACAAAGATCATCCTGGTTGGTGATCCGAATGTATTCTGTCTAAAACCTGTGTGATCAGCGAGCGTACATCAACGGACACACTTCTTCGCTTAACGCTCTTAGAAATTGCAAAAAGGGAATTATTTCATTCATTTAACGAAAGCCCCTTTGGCACTTTGCCTCAACGATTCAAACTACGAATAGTCTATCTTTCAACTATGGTTGCGCACCATGAACGGCATTCCAAAAACAACGACGCGATTCGCGACATCATCATCGGTTTCGCTGACGGTCTCACCGTACAATTTGCCCTCACAGCGGGTCTATCCTCTCTTGGCAACACTCGATTAGTCCTGATAGGCGGCCTCGCGGAGCTTTTCAGCGGAGCAATCTCTATGGGGCTTGGGGCATACCTGGCAACTGCTACAGAGCGGCCACATTATAAGTCAGAAGAGGCTCGGGAGATGAATGAGGTGCTCGAGAAGCCAGAGGACGAGCGGGCCGAGATATTCGAGATTATGAGCAAGTATAATCTTTCCGCCGAGGCCGTTTCACGACTGGTATACGAGCTGGTACAAGACCGAGAGCAGTGGGTCAGGTTCATGATGGACTTTGAGCTTGGCCTGGAGCTTCCGGAAGCCAGCAGAGCCAGGGTCAGTGCTGTTACCATGGGGCTAAGCTACTTTATTGGGGGCTTGATTCCTATGATTCCTTACTTTATCATGAAGCAAGCAACAAAGGCGTTATTTGTGTCTATTGGAATCACCGTGGTCATCCTCCTGACATTTGGCTACATCAAAAGTTGGGTTACGGTGCGGAACCACCGTGGTAGCATGTGGGGCGTTCTGCAGACACTAACCATTGGTGCAGTGGCAGCAGCAACTAGCTATGGTATAGTGAGGGTGCTGGATTCGCAATCACCAGCAGCTGCAGCTTGATATGAGGGATGTTGGCTTTGAGGCAGTAGGTTTGAAGAGCTTCAACTTCTTCGGCGAGAACGCTGATCGAAAGAGGGCGCAAAACACCAGCACCGGTTAGCGTTAACAAGTGCAGAGAAAAGGAAACTGGCGGTGCGGTTCTTTGCCATCTTCCAGCGGTGCTGGACGAAGGGAAGCTGAACAACCATCCAATAGAGCGGCTAGAAGGTGGGATTGAAAGTGTAGTGGATGGCATATCACTGTTAAAGAGTGGAAGCTTCCAAGGTTGTCAGGTAAAAAGTTACCAGCTATGGTGTAATCTTCGGTGTATTCTCCACATCGTTTCGTGCCCCTCGCCGTCGCACAAATAAGCAAACTGGATCCATTGTCCCGTCTAAATTCTCAATGCCCGAGTTCCTTGCAGTATGTTTCCGTCTCTGAAGCTAAAATACTTTTTTATTATAAAGAATAAAGCTGATCCGGAGATGAGGCAGCTCATGTGACAACGTGTCCAGTTTGGCAGTCAAGTCAACTTGCACCTTCAGAGCCGACTGGGAATGTCCGCGTCGGACTGAGAACCCCCGAGCGCGAGGCCACTCTGTACTTGTTTCAGGGCCCTGTGGATGATCTTTGCGACGGCTAGAACCTTTTCCTCCTCGAACCTTCTAGCCACGATCTGAAGCCCTACTGGGGCGCCGTCGTAGACATCTGGGTCATCTTGGATTTATCAGTACGAGCCTCCAGGTACGCGTCATTGTTTCGAGATCAATAGTAACACTTACAGGCCTCCCAGTTGCTACGATCAGCCTTGCCACGGGGCTTGTAATTTGTATCAATGGGGTCAAGACTTTTGTCAGCCTTGGTGACAGGAATCACCGCCACGCTGTAATTGAGCAGGTTTAGAGACTCGGTGTATGCTGTTGATGGTTTAGTCCATCGAATCTAGGTATGCACACATTTCAGAAGTTGTTGACATACCGATATGACTGAAGGTCCCAGGGATCACCGCTGCATGGGGGGCAGCCGGCATAATGAAAGCATCGACGACTTGACCTAGATATCATGTTAGTTTAGTTTTGGTCATATCCACGATATGTAACACCCACCATCTTTGTCAATGGTGGAGTTCCAGTAATCCGAATACTTCGCCTCAAAGTCCAATCCCCGCAATGTGAGGTCTTGAAAATCTAGCAGGCCAATGGGTGGGCGGAGTCGCATACCGCGACTGGCGAGCTCGTGAATAAGGGGCTCCCCGGACGGCTCTAGGTGCTTGTGAATGTCTGCCGTCCCATCGGACATGATGATTGAGAGCTTGGCAACTCATAGTCAGCGTCTATGATTGGTAGCCAGCAAGGCCGCTTGTATGTGAATGGCCCCAAGAGGATGTATTGTCTTACATGAATGTCCTTGGCGGTCACATGTGACGGTGGATCCCAATTCACAACCTTGAACAATTAGCCAGGCAGTCTTGTCAAGAAGAGTATTCCATACCTTATGGCCGGCCTTTTCTAGGGCATCAGCAACCATGCGGAGGCCTCGCGATATGGGAGGGTGAGGTTGAACGAGACCATCTGTCCACATAATCCCAAGCTTCAGCGGAAGGCGCCCACTGCATGCGGTCCCACTAGGCTGAGCGCGCCTGAGATTCTCATCAAAGATTTCCTGGCGGAAAGGCATCGGAATCACAACTGGATCCTGGATCCAAGGCTGTGTTGATAGAACTGACTTGAGTAGGAGTTCAATGCCGTCGAGCGACGTGCTCAAGAATCCGGTTGTCGCCCTGTACGTGGTCTGGCCGGGGTTTGTTTCGGCCATTCCTCGCGAGGAGAGCCTCCCCGGCGTTGGCTTTAATCCGAATACGCCGTTGAACGCAGCTGGTATCCTTATCGATCCGCCGATATCAGTGCCCACGCCGAGTGTGCTGCCTCGAAGTGCTATCAAGGCCCCTTCGCCCCCGGAGGAGCCTCCGCATGAGAGGTTTTGGTTATTTGGGTTGAGAGTCTGGCCGATGATGTGATTGATGGTCTCTACGTGGAAAAGCGTCTGGGGACAGCTGGTCTTGCAGTAGAGGACAGCTCCCAGGGAAAGTAGCTCTCTGGTCATCTGGCTCTCGACTTTGTGAGCCTGGCAAGGGTCTTTGATACCCATATTGCCCCCTATCCAGCCCACGTAGCCGGTCGTTGTATCGACATCTTTGACGTGAAACTGATCCTTCAAGCTGACTGGTAGCCCGTGAAGCGGTCCCAACGTGGTACCATGCTTCCTGTAATGCTCGTCAAGCTCCTTGGCGCGTTTCAGGGCTTCATCGAAAAAGATCTCATGAAGACAATTGTTCTGCGGATGAATCGGGGTCAGGGGGATTCATAGGCTTAGCTTAGGAAAATGACATGGTCCTGTCAACTCACGATCTGATGCGCAATGGCAGCAGCCTTGCAAAACGCTGTGGTAACCTGGACACTGGTAAGCTGCCCTTCTTTGATTTCTTTGACGATCGGTACGCTGTCCATGGAAACGATAGATATCTCTTGCTGACTGAGAAATCCTTGAATAAATGGTCCTGTGAGGTTTCTCTGCTCGGAAGCACGTTTCACATCCTCAGCGCTGAGTCTCCATTGCAAGCAGATTTTGTTGAGCGTGTCGGCACGTTTAGCAGCAGCTCTAGCTTCCCACGGCTGAGAGGCCATTCTGATGGGTGGTCGATTGGATGAATGCAGGCTGGAGGATCAGTGTATGCGGGCGTGAGTTGAAGGTGGGGAAAGAAAGAGATGGGGATGCATGCACATGTAAGGACTGTTGGGCAAAGACAATTGTGCAGCTGCTGATTCTATTGGTACTACGTCGGGTCCCCTCTCGGCCACCAACGTGCAGCTACACAAGGGTTACCAGGTACCCCTGGCCCTGGAGACACAAAATCCCGAAGTGGCCATACTATGCACCGCTGTGAATAGACATGAGCAAAGCTGAACTGGAGGCTACGTACATACACAACGAGTAGCCGTGAATTTCAATGGACGGAACAACATAGAGAATGTCGTTGCTTCTGGGCTTGGCTCGGTAGTGCCTGAAGCTCATCGGGAACCTGCTTGTCGTAGATGGGGAGGAATAATTCTTCTTCGACCCTGTACCGCGATAGTGTTTGCACGTAAGAATACGTCCATAATAGACATGCGGAACTTGAGCCCACGGACCACAATCATAAGGCTAGGCCTTGGCACAATTATCTCACACTAGTAGGTGTTTTTTACTAGAGTATAGAGAGATAGCTTTAAATAAGAGTAACTTAAACTTAGTTTAATGCTTATTATAAATATAAACTTTATATAGTACTTTTAAAAAAATAAGTATTATTTAATATTATTAAAAAGAATATAATAATAAAAGAATAAATATTTATATACTTATTTTTAATCTTTATATACTCTTTATTAATTAAAAAATATTTTATATAAAAAGCTTTATTTATAAAAGAGCTTATTAAGGTGATAGGAGTGAGCTTTAAAATATAAGTAGAAGGCTATAAATGTTAGGGTTATAGGCTGAACGCCTATAGAACTAATTAATAGGTTTATATATTCTACTTATTTTATTAATCTAAATAGCCTTTATACTTCTTATAATATAGGATTATAGTTTTACTATTTTTTTTATATTATTTTTTAAATAACTTTAATTTTAAATTAATAATTCTTTATAAATAATTTAAACCTTTTTTTATTATAAATTATAAAAATTATTTTAATTTAAAATTACTTAACCTTATAATTTAAAAAGTTATAAAAATATTTATTTTAATTAAATTTTTATTTTTTAATTAATTAATTATAATAATCTATAAAATTATTAATTTTATAAGTAAGAAAGTTTAAAAACTTTAAATAAAAAATTAATACCTTTATAAATATTAAGAATAATAAAAGATAATAATAAATTTAAAGATATTAATAATAAAAATAATAAAGTTATTTTTAAAATACTTTAATATTTAATTTATATTAATAAATTTAATTTAATATTAATTAATTTAAATAAATTCTACTTAACTTTAAAAAGGTTTTATTAATTTATTTAAACTAACTTTTACTTAAAAGTAAGTAAACTTTTTATCTAATATAACCTTTATAACTAATTAAACTTTTAAAAATAATATTAATATTAATATTAAAAATAATAAAATTTAAAAGTTAATTAATTATATTAATATATTTATAGTTAAATAATATATAGTTAATTTTTTTAAATTAATTTTTATTAATAACTTAATATTTAAAAGATTTTATTAATAAAATTAAGTAGCTTAAAATAATTTATTTTATTTATATATTTTAAATCTTTTAATAAAAAGAGTTAATAAATTTTTTATATTTAAATTAATTTTATAAATAATATTTTTAAATTTATATAATAGAATTAAAAATAATATTTAATAAACTTTACTTTTAAAACTATAAACCTAAACTTTTTTATTTAAACTATTAAAATAATATTATTATTTTAAAAGTTAATATTAATTTATTTTATATTAAAAATAAATAGAATATTTTATTTAGTTTATAAAAACTTATTTTCTATTTATAGATATTAAAAATAATATATAAACTATTTTTACCTTTAATTATTTATAAAATTAATTTAAAGTAACTATTAATAAATATAATAAACTTATTATAAATTTAAAAATAAAAATTAAAAACTATAATACTATTAAGGAATATATAGCTATTTTAATTTATTAAAATATAAAGAATTAAAATATAATTACTAACTTTTAATAATAATTAAATAAAGTTAATAAAGTTAACTAAATTAATTTTATAGAGATAAATTTATAAAAAAGTCTATATATTTTAATTTAAAAATATTAAATTATATATATAGATTATTAATTTTATTAATATTTAAAACTCTATTTTATTTAATAAAAATATTTTATTAAAATAAATTCTTTATTTATTTAATATAATAATAAAATTAAAAATAAACTAAACTTTAAGATATAAAAGTATTAATTTTAATATAAGTTAAATATATATATAAATTATTATTTTAATAAATATAATAAAATAATAATAATTAAAAATTAAATAAATAATACTATTATTAATATTATAATTTTTTTAAAGTTTAATTACTTTAATTATATTTTTATAATAAAGGTTTTTATTTAATTAAAAATAAATATAGTAACTTTAATAAAAGTTATAAATAAATATTAACTTTAATATTTTAATTATAAAGTTTAATAATAAATTTTTATTTTTATAATAATTTTATTTAATTAGTTAATATATATTAATTCTTTAAAGGTAAATAAAAGAATAAGATATATAAAAGCTTATTTTAGTTTTTATTTATATAATCTTTTTTAAATTTAAAATATAAATATTATTTTAAAGATTATTATATTTAAATATAAATAATTAATTAAAACTAATAACTTATTAATTAACTATATAAAGTAAAGCTTTTAATAATAATATTAATAATAATAAATAAAATAATAAATAAAACTTTAATTATAATAATTTAAATAGTAAAAGAAAAGTAAAATAATAATTATAATAGTAATAACTTTAAATATAATATTAAAGGTATTAATAATATTAATAAAAACTAAACTAATAATAATAACCTTTTTTATTTATAATTATATTAAATAGAATAATTTAATAAAAATAAATTAATTAAACTTTTATTAAAAATACTTATTTTATTATAAAAGTAAATATATAAGTATTAACTATTTTAAAATTTAAATTATTACTTTAATAATAATATTTATAACTATAATTATAAAACTAATTATTATAATTATATTATTTAAATTAAAATACTTTATAATAAACTTTTATTTAATTTAATTAAATTAAATAATCTATTTAATAAATAATTTAACTTAGGAAATTAATAATTTTAAAGTAAGTAAACTCTTTTTAAAAATATATATATATATTTAAATAAAGTTTATATTAATAAAAGAAATTAAATTTATTTATAAATATTTTGTATAACTTTTTATTAATATAATTAATAAAAACTATAAATAATACTTTATATAATAATTAATAATAAAAATAATATAAATATAAAAAATTTATAAATATAAAAATAAATAAAATAATTTTTATTAATATAAACTTTATATTAAAGTTAATTTAAACCTTTAATATTAGATATATTTTAAGATTTTAACTATATTTAATTAATAAATTTAAAAGGTAAATATTTTAAAAGATTAATATTATTTTAATTATTAACTTAATTATTAATAAATATTATTATTTTAACTACCTATAATAATAATAAATATATATTATAAAATAATTATTAAATATTAATAAATATATAATTATAATATAATTCTTAATATTTAATATAAGAAAATAACTTTTAAAATAAAATATCTACTTTAATATTTTTATCCTTATTTTAAAAGAATTATTAAAATTAATAATTAAAGTTATATATAAAAGGTTATAAAATTTAAAGTTATTATTTATAAATAAAATACCTTATATTATTAAATAGATAATATTTAATAGAGTTTTATTTAATTTTTCTTTTAATAAAACTTAAAAATAAAGGATACCTTATATAGTTATTCCTTTAACCCTTTTAATACTTATACTTATATTATTCTTTAAAAATAAAAATTTTATTAATAATAATAATAAAACTATTAAGATAATTAAAATTATTTAAATAGTTATAATATTAATAGTATATATATATTATATAAAGAAGGTATTAATTAGGTAAAACATTATAAAATAAAAATTAATAAAATTTAAATAAAAACTCTCTTTATCTTAATTAACTATAAGGATTTATTTATTTTTATTATATCCTTTATAAAATTAATTAATATATTTATAATAAATAAGTTAATATAATAAAAATATACCTTATAATAATAAAAATTATATTAAAAGTTTTAATAAAAATATTAAAATAATATTATTATTTATTATAAACTTTTAATAAAATAAACTTAAACTATTTAACTTTATATTAATTATATAATTTAAAAATTAAATTACTATTTAAAGTAAATCTTATATTTATAATTAAATATAAACCCTCTATAAAATATTATTTAAAAAGTTAAAATAATTAAAATATATATTATTAAAAACTTATAAAAGGGTTTATTAAACCTATAATTATACTTTAAATATTATTTATCTTTATAGCTATTAAATTTAATAATAACTTTTAATTTTATATAAATTTTAAAAAGCTTAATACTATTATTAAAAAGAATTATAACTTAATTTTATTAATAAATAAAATATTAAACTAACTTAATTAAGTTAATATCTTTATAAAAATTAATATTTATAAAACGTTTTATAAAATATACCTTATAAAGAAAATTAATTATATAATAACCTTTTATATAAAATAAAGGTTATTTAAGTATAAAGTTATATTATTTAATTTATTTAATAATTTATTTACCTTTTAATAATATATTAATAATATACTTTAAAAATCCTTTAATTAATTTTATTATATATATATTAATAATATTGTTATTTACTTTAAAATAGAAAATAAATATATTTAATATATTATTACTATATTTAAGTACCTATATAAAGTAAACTTATAAGTAAACTTAAAGAAATATAAGTTTTATATTTAAAGTATTAAATTCTAAAATTATATTATAGAAGTTAATAATATTTTTATAAACTTTAAAAATTAAAGTTATTTATAATTAATAGATATCTATAATATTAAAAGTATAAAATCTTTTTTAGTTTTTATAATTTTTATTAAAAGTTTATCTCTTTATATAATAAAATTATTAAACCTTTAATATAATTTATATATAAAAGTAAAGGGTTTTAATAAATCTTAAAATATTAAACTTTCTTTAACTACTTTAAAAGTATATAATTAATATTTTAATATTATTATATTTTATATTTAAACTCCTTATATATTTAAAAATAAATATATTTAATAATATTATAATTAATATTCTCTTTTAATAATATAATAATAATAAATAGTATTTAATTAAATATTTTTCAAAATAATATTAAATATATAAATAAACTATTTAATTTATAATAAGAAGCTTTTAATTATAATATATTCCTTAAAGTTTTAAAAGTTAAAACTAATTAACCTTTAATTTATTTTATTTAAAATTATTATTAACTATTATACCTTAAAGTTTTATAATATAAAGTAATTATTAAATTTTTAATAAATTAAATAAATAATTTTTAACTTATTTTAATTTTAAACTATTATATTACTTAAATACTTAAAATATATTAATTAATATATTATTTTAATATTTTAAAGAGTTTAAAACTTAAAAAATAACTAAATATTTATTAAACTATTTAAACTTTTTATAAAGTTAATAAAATATTAAATTAAAAATATATAATATTTTTATTTTTAAATTCATAATTAATGAAACATTATTTTACTTAATACTAAAAGTATATATCTAAACTTAAAGTTAATATTTATAAATATAAGAAACCTTATTAATAATAATATAATTTAAAATAATTTTAACTATTAATTAATAGTTATACCTTTTATTCCTTTTAAATAATTTAAACTTAAATTACTAAATATTTTACTATATATTAATTATAATTATTTAACTTTTAAATATTATTATAATTTAGTAAGGTAAAATATAAATAATTAAAAGTTTATTAATAATTAATATATAACTTTTATAATAAACTAATAATTCTAAATTATAATAAACTTTATATTAAAATTATTAATAATATCTATTCTTATACTATAATTATATATTTAAAATAAAATAAAACTATTAAATTAATATAATATAAATATTAATAACTTAATTTATAAATAAATATTATATAATTTATAAGTAATTATTTATATTAATCTTTTAAATACCTTTATAATAAAATATTAAATTTACTTAAACTACTATCTATATTTTATTAATTATAATAGTATTTAATAATTAATTTTAAAATATATTAAAAATAAAACTAATTTAAATAACTTATTAATAATAATAAACTATTTATTTAAAATTATATAATATATCTCTTATATAAATATCTATACTATAATATAAATAGTTTATTTCTATTATAAAAACCTTTTATATATTTAGCCTTTTAAATTTATTATTTCCAATTATAGCCTTTAATTTATTTTATTCTTTATTAATAAACTCTATTATATTATAAATATTTAATAAAAGTTATTTATTATAAGTTACTTTTAATCTTAAAAGTAAATTAAAACCTTCTTTAATAAATTAATTAATATTTATATATATTTATAAACTACTATTAAAATAATTAAATTAAAATAATACTAATTTTAAACTTTATTTAAATTTACTTATTATATAACTCTCTTTATAAACTCTTACCCTTTAAAATTTAAATAAAATTTACTTTAAATTTTCCTTTTAATTAAAAATATTAAATATAATAATAAAATATTAATTCTATATAAAGTAACTATTATAAAATAAAATTTAATATATAATTTATATTTTATAAAGTTATATTAATAAAGTTTAAATAATAATATAATAAACTTAAAAGTATATAATAAAATAAATAAATTAATATTATTATAAACTTAATTTTAATATTAATAATTATATTTTATTATTAAAAATATAAATAATTAACTATTTATATAATAAACTTAAATACCCTTTTATCTAATAATCTTATTATATTATAAATAATAATTTTATTACTCTTTTAAACTTAAAGTTTCTCTAATTTAATATAGCTATAAAATATTTATATTTAACTAATTATAACTTAACTTATAAAACCTCCTTTTAAAGTAGCTCCTCTTTAACTTAAAAGTAAGGTTATTAATAAAAAGAAAAATAAAAGGTAAATAAAATCCTAATATTTAAAGTTTTATATAAAATATCACTCTATTAAATCTATTAAAAAGGTTAAAACTTAAATTTAAAATAATACCTAACTAATAACTTTAAATATATACTAACTATATTAAAAGTATACTATAATACTTACCTAATAATATTAAACTTTTATATTAATTATAAAAGTAACTATATACTTAATTATAAAAGAAAAAGTTTTAAATTATAATAATAATAATAAACTAATATAACTTAACTAATAATAATAATATATTAAATAAAAATATAAAATAAATATATTTTAATTAAAATATTAATAATAAATAAAAATATTATTTTATAATATATAATATAAAAAAGTAAATAATACTATTAATTATAATATACTTTATAATTAAAGTAATTATAACTTTAATATTAAAGGATATTAAAAGGTAATATTATAATAAAATAATAATAAAATATAAATTACCTTATAAAATAAAAAATTAATTATAAAGTACTTATTTAAAGTATTAATTATTTTAATTATTATATAATATAAAAACTATTATAACTTAAGGTTTTAAAGCCTTTAATATAATAATAAATCTTAAAGGTTATTTCTATAAAGATTTAAAAATATTATTTAAATAATTATTAATAAAGTTATAAGTTTAACTTTAATTAATAATATAGTTAATTATTTTTTAAAAGGAAATTATTAAAGTTATAAGTTAAATACCTATAAAATTAACTAATAAGTTTATATACTCTACTTATCTTATTAGCCTAAATAGTCTCTATACCTCTTATAATATAAAATTATAGCTTTACTACCTCCTTTATACTATTCCTTAAATAACTCTAATTTTAAATTAATAATTCTTTATAAATAATTTAAGCCTTCTTTTACTATAAGTTATAAGGATTATCTTAATAAATAGAGTTAGTAATTATAACTTTAATTTTTAAAGAATTAACTTACTCTCTTTATATTCCTTAAAATTATAAAAAAATATTTATTAAAGTTCTTATAGTTTAAGAATTCTATACTCTAATTAATTAAAAGTAAATTAAATAAAAAAAAGTAAATAGAAATATAAATAATTAATTCTAATATTAATATTAATAATTATAACATAATAAATACTTATAATCTTAACCTTATAATATATAAATAAAGCTAAGAGGTACTATCTTAAGAATAATATTAATGTTATAATGAAGTTATATAGCGAGACTAGGTGTTAAGATAGTTGCTATATAAATAAATTATCTAGGGAGAATCCTGGCTAAAAAGTCGGCCCTTTGAACACACACACACATAACTTTAACACAACATAGGTTGAGGAAACTCTTTTCATTGAAAGGCTAAGAGAATAAAGCAGTAGCTTAGCTGAGGTTGGTCGCGATTTTACTTCTAAATATTTAATGAGGCTATGTTTGGAACCACTCAAGTGCTGTCTCAACACTGAAATGAAGTGGCCCAGCATTGAGCATTGCATAACGAAGAAAACAGTGGTAAACTGACAGGGCCGGGGCTCCTCTTTGGCTACTACCATCAGCACATATGAAATCAGAGATTGATTTCGTGGAGATGAATAAAAGTTTGCAAGCTATTTGTTCGATAGCAGTTTGCCTGCCTGCCTCCCTTCTCCTTCTTCCTCCTTTTTTTTTGTGGGGGGGGGATGTGAATGAGTAAAGACTGTGTCCATGTAAAACGACGAGAAAGCACTTTTGATGAGTCCGGCAGGCGGTTGAATGCGGCTGCTAAGAATCTACGCCTTGCCGTGTCGAAAACCTGCGCTGCACTGCCCATCGCAAAATCAAGACCGCAACACCTTCAGAGCTGTCTCCAGACTCTCCACCTCCCTCTTCAAGACATACCGCTGATGCTTCGACTCCACGTCCTCCCCTGCGATATGCTCAAGCTGTTCGTCGTCCAGGTTCATGATCAGCTCCGGGTCAAAAACCTTGAGCGGGCTCCCGTCGCCTTCAAGCAGGAGGTGGAAGACGACTTGCTGGCAGACGACGTCGACAAAGCGCTTCCGGGAGACCTTGTAATAACTCATCAGAGTATCAACGATGTCCTCGCACACCTGCTGCTCATTGTCCTTGTCAACAGAATGCTTGCCAATCTTACTCATGGGCACGTATCGCTCGCAAATTTCTTCGTCGTCGTCGTTCCAAGGGGCACGGATTGCCATAGCTTCGAAGGTCTTGAACGTGCGCTCGCTGCGCTTTTTCTGGAGGTTTGCGTTGAAGTAGTGGTTGAAAGTGTTGGGCGTACCTCCACGCTCGATATCCAGAAGGAATTGAGTGTGGCTCATCGCTCGTTGGTACGTATCTATCAACTTGTCTAGCAAAAGAGCGTTCCAGAGGTTGTCCCGGACCTGCCTCTCGGGGCACAGCTCAGTGAGGAGCTCGAAGATGTATTCATGAACAAGTGCGATTGTGTTGCTCACGTGAGAAAACGCGAGCGGCTCCCACTTTTCTGATTGCTCTTCAAAGACCACGGCAAGAACCGTTCCGCCAAACTATATCAACCGTGTTAATAATTTCCTACAGCAATGTTTAAATGTTAGAGGGCGAGGAAACCTTACTGTTCCAAGCTCGGGTCCGCGGCTTGAATCAAACACTTCCTCGACATGGCCCATGATCGGCCCCTCCGAGGGCTCGGGACATTGGTAGCCATCGGTGCGGACAATAGCCCCAATCTCGGGATATTTGTCAAGAGGGATGGAAAAAGGCAGCTGGTCCACATTGCGCCCGAATGAGCTCTCTCCCTCATCATCCCACGTGGGCCCAAAGTGCTGCTTGTGGCCTCTCTTCCAGAAGACGTTGGAGAAAACCTGGTTCAGCTTCATGATCTTCGTGATCAGCTTCAAGTCTGGCATCTTCTCGAAGATGCCTTCTCCGGCGTAGTGCCCATTCAGGGCAGCTTGAGTGATGGCTAGGAACCTTGAAGCCAGTTTCCCCAGATACATCCTCTGGGAATTCGAGTCGGCTCGGGACGGACCCATGGTCTCCAGATCGACCCTCAATTGACGCAGGCGCTGCTCGGCTTCGGCCTTGACATGGGGGAACTCCTGCTTAGAGACATGCATGAGCAACTCACAGACTTTGTGCCTGAGGGCTGTGGTGCCGCAGCGCTCCTTAATGGATGACCAACAAGGCGCTTTGAAGAATGCTTCTTCGGCGGCGGCACGGTCGGAAAGTGTTGAGGTGTTGTCATCTGCACTGCGATTCTTGACCACGTAGTACCCAAGTTTGAGTGGGTTTCGTTTTCCAAGAACCAGGTCGATGATTGCGCTCCTGGTAGCCGTCTCTGTAACGAGATCCGGTTTTGTGAGCACACCCATTGTTCTCACGCCCATGGGATCAGCACCCTCAGCAAGCTTGAGAATCTCCTGGGTGGCAATGTCGACGGTGCAAGAAATGACTGCAAGAATGCTTCTTTGCGTCAGCAAATCGAGTTCACATACAATACATATAATTACTCACATAGTTCTTGGATTCGCCATGTATGACTTCACCATGTTCTCGACGAGAACGATATCACTTTCTGTAGTGAGCCCTGCCGAACTCGTCAATCAATCAGTGCACAATCTGAGTGAATTAGCTGTATCATACCTGGTGTAGAGACGCGGAAAATACCCGGAACATCAATCACAGTGAGATGTTCTTGCTGTTCAAGAGGTTAGTCATGTGCAAGGCCACCAGACTGGAGGAGAACTCACTTCAGGTCCACTGATCTCAATCTTGAGGATGTCTTGACTAAAGGCCGCAAGCCCAACGTCCTTGTCATCTTCACCCATCCGGATGCCCATGGAAATGTTGGCCTACAAGGACATTATTAGTGCCAAAACATGAATACGGCTACCCTAGGGTAGGGTGTCTTAAACCTCTTCGAAAACTTTGACGAGCTCATCGTTGTCAATGCTTGACAAGTGACGCTGAAATTGAAGAAGTTTGGCCTTGAGCGTCTCATCCGCGTCTGGTCGAGGAATGATCGAGACGACAATGCCCTCTTCGGCTTCACGGCAGCATGTTATCTGGGTCGCATAACGAGTACAGAGGCCAGCAGCGCGAGGGAAAGAGAAGCCCGTCAGACTCTCCAGAACAGAACTCTTGCCGGAAGACTGGTCTCCGACAACGACAAGCTATCGAAGCATCAGTGATCTGCAGAGTGATATACTTCCGGGACTTACCTGGGGCAGCGGGATGATGGCGCCGACATTCAGCTCCCTCAGCTTGTCGATCTTGGCCAATATGGCCTGGTTTCCCAGACCAGTCCCATTGGGTAGCATGGTGGATGCCGTGAGAGCTGTATGACGCTGGGAGGAAATTTCGAGAGAAGATAGTCACGCTGATTCAATGTGAGAAGGACGAGTTAGCCTGGGGGACATCTCTAGTGATATTGAGTGCTATCTGAAATAAGACGGTAGGGAAGCTGAGATTTATATTAAAGAGGAAACTGGTTGTAACCAAACGAACTGGTTTCTCTTTTATTACGCCGACATCCGGGGACATACATGGCGCTTTCATACGGTGGTAAACCAACCGGCCGACCGTCCCAGAAATCGGTCGTTCATGCATCAGCAAGCCTCGTTTTTCCCTCCTTAATTTACGCATACAAACAGAATAGCCTGTGTGATATCCAGCCACCCTCATGAAAGAACAAAGCAATATCACTGCGTCTATTAGATGCTGTCATGTCATCGGGGTACAGAGCAATATCAATTTTCACCGACTTTTCCAGCGGGAACCTGACACTGACATTGCCCGGGGACCCACAGGACTCCCGTCAGCAAGGCAAAGTTAGGAAAAAGCACTGACGGCAGTACTGGTTGCGATGGCTGGGCGAGACGGATGGGATGCAGCTCCCTTGCACCGACAGTGGTGTGGTTGGTATCACACCTCGATGTCGTAGACTCACCACTTGGAACTGTCCCACCTGCGACACCCACGGGACGTCCAGAGCGGTAGGGTCACAATCTATGAAGTTCTTTCAGGTGGAAAAAGGGCTGTGGAAATTGACGGTCGCGGAATCTCAGACATCAGTGTTGACTTGGTCGAGTGGTGGAAGTCGGGAGTGGCCCCCCTCATAGCCGTCCATAGAGAGCCTTGGGAGGTTGTGGCCGAATTGCGTCTCCGTCTCAACTTCAAGGATTAAATTCCCGAGGTCTGGAATCGGTGGGGGCGTTTTGCGCTGTGCAAGTTCCCGCTTCTGCGCCACGTCGACCTGCCGCCACCGGGTGCTAACGTCCTCTCCTCAATCGAATATCAGCGCCGCCCGGTTGACTCCAGTCTTACCCGCCCGCCCATGCCACTATGCTCGAGTTGAAGTGGCCATCTGCGAGCAAACGGAGAACCGACCGTCGGCAATACACTGTCCTCTCTCTACTTGTTTTGACGCCACATACGTCTGTACCCTAGGGTAGGTACTTGAGGCCCCAATCCGTTTGCTATTGACTGGTCCTCAGCAGGAGCTGCTGGCAGTACCCTCAAAGATCTTCTTGGTTGTCGGTAGATGATGTGATGGCTGCCATCTTGATGCCCAGTTGCTGTAACATCCCGAGCAACGCCCAAACAGTGACGTGCCCGTAAGTACCTAGGTACTTAGGTACCTGTCGACGATCAAAGCACGATTCGCCGTCTTGCCAGACAGCATCACGGTGTCAAGCTGCAAGCTACGGCACATGGGTATCTTTCAAAATCCCCAAAGTGTGTCTTTGGAAATAGACCACTTAGCACCTAGCCCTCACCTGGGCAAGCAACTAGCATGCTACACATTGGCCGCCCCGGTCTTGTGATGCGTGGACGGAACATATCCAGCAAGACAGAGAGCTGTGGTGTCAGTCTGCCCAGGCGAGGCCGTCGCGCCTCGTCCGCAAGCTGCCGGGGTTACGTCACCCCCTTCAAACGGCCGACGGCCGACGGCACAGGCTGAGACATCCATTTGAATATGAGATTTCGAAAGTTGTCATTGAATGGGGACGGCTTGGTGCTGTTGCCGCCGGCTGGACCTCCCATCTCACGCGTCACATCAGAAACTTGCAGATATGGTCTCTCGCGCCTCCCGGCCAGATGCCAAAAGACAAACGGAACCAGCAAGCTGGGAGTTCATCAGACTCGCCTGGGCACACGTGGACACGACGGCAAGGCGGTTACGAGGTTCCAATGAAAAAATCATAGAGACTGGATTCTGTTCGGGCAGATGGAGATGGGCTTTTGTCGCCTGGGATGAGATGAATAGACCTCGGGATGGGGCGCTGTAGACTCAAGGGTCAAAGCAAGTCATCATCACACCGAGACCACCCCCAAGGAGCTTCAAGTTCAAGGAGCCAACGGCAGGGCGCTGGCTGACACGAACAAGATGGATCTACAGTGATTTGATTTGTTTTTCTACTACTAATCCTCGAATTCTATACTCACGTTAGCCCGCCTCAGGCTGCCCCTAACAGCCGCCTCGACGTCCCGCAGCTCGTCGCGGATGAAGTCCTCGAGCTCGAGCCTGAAGCCCGCGGCGGCGTCCTCCACCCTGAGGTCGACCCTGCTCTCGATGTCGTCGCTGACGACCTGGATCTCCTCGGACAGCTTCTCCAGCTCCTCGGCCATGATCCCGTTGTGCTCGCCGACCTGCTGCTTTAGCCCGTCGACCTGGGTCCGCAGCTCGCCGAACCTCGAGTTCAGCTCGGCCGACAGCTTGTCCCTAGCCTGCTCGTCCTCTTCTCGCAGGCGCTCGTACCTGCTGTCCAGGTGCGCGGTTAGCCTGTCCTCTAGGGCCCGCAGCGACTGCTCCGTCTTGGCTTGCTGCTCGGCCATGAGCTTCCTGCATATGTCCTCGACGGCTAGCAGGGACGCGGTTGGGTCGGCGGCGGGGCTGCTCAGCCGTCGCTTCTTGCTGGACGGGCCTGGGTCTGACGCTGCTTCATGTCAGCCTTTGGCGCAGGTAAGCCTGGGAGGTGAGGAGCCATTCGTCTTACCATGGAAAAGGGGTGCCATTGGCGGCGGCCCCTCCACCTCGTCGTAAGACGGAGGCGCTTCTATCCCATCATCAGGCGTGGAGGTCCCGTCAGGATCCCTTGCCACGAGCTGTTTGCCCCCAAGACCACCATACAAGGAGGCAAGGTCCAGACGCCCAGTGCTGGAGTACTCGTGGTAAACAGCCGTGCAAATTGCCTTGTACTGAGATTCTGATAGCAAGCCATCTTGGATACGGATTGAGAAGTCGCGCCTGGCTGCCAGTGCTCTTGCATGGTTTATCACATTGACTCGAGCCTTATTGGATGGGCGCAGCCGAAACGGAGGACCGATCAAAGCCACGGGTCTTCTTAGCCTGACGTCGAAGGAAGTATGTGCGGAAGTAGGCTGATCCTGGTTGGTCTGATCTTGTATAGAGTCTGGGCAGGCAAGTGTGTTGATGTCATCGGGCCCGATGTGAAGGTAAAGAGGCGTTTGTTTGTTCGAGTCGCGGTGGACCTGGGCGCCGATGCGAAGTCTCAGGAACGTGGTCTTGGCCGTGGGATTGAATTCCAGGTCGAGCGACACTGGAGAGGCGGACAGCGAGTCGCCGAGACGGATGACTTGGTCATCGGGCCCTGTCCATTCGATGAGTGCGGGAACAGCATCGAGACGGACAACGGCGTCGTCGGGGCCGCCCTCGACGGAAGCAGAAGTGGAGGCTTGTGACATTGTATTCGACTTTATGAATCCCTGCTGAGAAAGACGAAAGAAAGTTAGCAACCAGTAGCGACACGATCAGTTCAACAGCGGGTGTCTAAAAGTTGAACCCCTGTGTCGGCAGTGACCTGTGCGCGCGCTCGACACAGGATCCCACCCGCCCAGGCTTTTCTTCGAGCGTCGAAGGAGCAGCCTTGACTCTGCGCAACAAAAAGAGGAATTGTATCAACGAATTGCGTCGAGGGAAGCCCGTCCACGCCGCCTTGGCCTGGAGGACACCCCCAAGAGACACGGGCTTCGCAGTTCCAGCAGAAGCTTCCCACCCCCCGAAAGAGGAGAGAAGAGACGTTGTCCCTAAGCCCAGGTAGCCGACCCACGACCAAAAAGGAGATGGAAAGGGTTTGCAACCACTTTCCACCACCCTGGCAATGTGGGCAGCAACACCTGTAGCCTGGCAAAGGGTGCGAGGTGCCTGTGAACCCCTCGAGGGTGCGTACCGCCGGGGTGCGATGCGGTATTTTGACCTCTGGCTATACGCAGCACAGCAGCCTAGAGGATTTAGGCGCTTGTGGATGAGATCCCAAGAGGTATGCGACGGTTGACGATTGCAGGTGTGATGGTGGGTCGATGCGTTGATGGCGCGTGGTGATGGAGAGGAGGTTGGATGGAGCGATGATCGATACGCGTTGAGCTTGGGAGGTGGACCAAGGTGGGAGTGGAGCGGTGTCACGTGGTTGGCAAAGTCACCTTGTAGTGGGGCCGCCCGAAAAAGTGGGTGGCTGGGTACCTGTGACTGCTTGACCCTAACCCAGGGATCTGCAGACCTACCCTCCCCTGACCCCTGCTGTCCGGGCAGGGGAGGAGGTGCATCAGGCCTCAGACATTTGGCCACTCTCTCGCAGCTCAAGCACGTCAGCAGAACTCACTGCCTGCCTGCAGCAGCTGGCTCAGGACTGTCCACTCGTATTTCTGATTTGCCGAAAGATTTGATCGAATCAATTATACATGCAGTGAGGGTGTGCTAGAAGCTGAATTAGAATTAGACTTTCGACCCCTGGACCGCATTTGTTTTGGAGTCTGGAGTCTGATCATTGATACATCAGCTGCTACACCAGAATCCGGACGAACCGAGACACCATATGTAGAGGCCTCAAAACGGACCCGACAAACCTTGGAACCGCTGGCGGACTAACAGAGCACTCGATAAAATCAGAAATCAAAGCGGAGATGGTGGCGGAACGTCTTGTCCTGGTCGTCGGCGCAACAGGGAAGCAGGGCAGGAGTACGGTCAAGCACCTCCTCGATGAGCCCGATCAGCCCGCATCAGGAGACTGCAGGTACAAAGTCCTCGCCCTGACACGAGACAAATCATCGGAATCGGCACGCCAGCTGCTGGAAAGGAACAAACAGCACGCGGCACGGGGTGACTTCGACCTGGTGCAGGGCGACCTCGACAAGCCCGACAGCATCAGGAAGATCTTCCAGGAAGCCTCGTCAAGCGGCGGCGGCGGGATATGGGGCGTCTTCGTTGCGCTGGCCTATCCCGGCCTCGGCGAGAGCACAGACGGGGAGGTCAAGCAAGCAAAGGTGATGCTCATGATCTCTCACTTGCGTCGCAGGTGCCCAGGCGCGAATATTTGCTGACTCCGCTTGCTGCAGTTGATGGCCGACCTTGCACTCGAGTCCAAGGTTGAGGTCTTCATATATTCGGGTGCGATCCAAGTCGGCGCTGATGCGGACGACGCCCTCGACCAGTCTCAGCGTTCCAAGCCACAGATTGAGAGCTACTGCAAGGAGCTGGGCTCAAAAGGGCTGAACTGGATGTAAGCGGGACATTGATCTCTCGTCCCTGTCCAGCCGAGTCGTTCAAAGCTGCTGAACACAAGTTGCAGTATTCTTCGGCCCGGCTTCTTCATGGAGAACTTTGACGGGTTCATCGGGACCATCGCCGTTAGCGGTATGCGGGCAGGACTGGACAAGGACACCACCATCAACCTCATTGTGAGTTCCACGCTGGTTTTGAAGGGCTTCTCTGAACCGCTAACTCTCGCAAGGCATCGGAAGACATCGGCCGAGTTGCAGCTGGTGTGCTGCGGGTGAGTGCCTAACTACTTATTTACGGTTGCAAAAACGATCACCCTGGGGCATCCTCGCTAATAGGGACATAGCAACATGAGAAGTACATGCACAAAACCCTGACGCTCTCATCCGAAGCGGCCACCATGGAGCAGATATCCGAGTCGTACAAGAAGGCCACGGGCCGCCAGATCCCTGCTGCTCCTACTCTGGCGGGCAAGGCGTTGGTAAAGTTCAACTCTGCCCTCCAGAACTTGTATGTCTCCCCGATGAGCGGTCCAGATTTGCCCCCTGAAAAAAGTTCACCAAACGCTAACAGTGCATGGCTAGAGTGGATGATCTCAAGAGAACACATCATGCCCGAACCAGTGGACAGATGACTGGGATGGAATCCGGGATCGAGCTGGCCAAGTCGGTCTGCAAGCTGCGGACGTACTACGAGTGGAAGTCTGAGGTCACGGACGGGACTGCGGATAAGGACTGGAATAAGATATCGCTTTTCAAGCTCATGACCGGCCGTTCGTGACAACGGGCGCTTGTTCGGTCGGCCTTGTGTCACGAGCTGACGTTGGCTACGGGAGGGGATTTTATTAAGGCGACTTAACTTATCCGGGAGCAGTATTATTATCTTGAACGAATATTTGAGGCTACTGCATGCCACAAACAAACCCTTAGAGGAGAAAAAACATTCATTGTGTGTATTATAGCTTCTCCTTTTACAGATCTGTCGTGTACGTTATAGGATTAATAATAAAGGAAAATGCCATCTAGTAACCATTGTTATTCCCGGTCGTAACCCTGACCCTGACCCACTCTTGTCATCACCAACGGGTGCACAACGACCCTTGGGCCATTGTTGTTGCCTGGCGTCACCTGCGATTGTTCCTAGGACAAACATGTCCCGCAGGGTCTCTGTTCACTGACTGTGGATCGCTCACATTCCGTCAATTACTTGATCCCTACAGCACTTTCGACGCTTTGATCACTTCTAAGCTCGAGATGCCGTCGTCTGTGCCATCGGAGGCCCTGGAGACGATCGTCTCCTCGGAGGACTTGGTTCATTGCGTCGCCAGATATGTGAGTTTCGCTACGGTGCGTCTTTTTCCCTTCTCTGGTAGACCTAACACTGAATAGGTGCCATCTCGAGCAGCACTGCAAAGTCTTTGCCTCGTCTCGAAACTCTTCAATCAGGCATTCTCACAGTTCCTCTACTCCAGCATTGTCTTTCATGACGGAAATGCTCACATCCTCCGAGATCCAGAGGAACTCATCAAGTTCACCTCGAATCCCAATCTCATTTACTGCAAATCTTTGGTGGTCAAGCTGATTGAAGGTTCTTGGGCTATTGGTAACCACCGTGAAGTCGGTCGCCTGGTCGACGCTCCTGGATATGGCCGACTGGGGGACATCAGACATTGGGCGGGCAGATACAATGAGAGCATCGTAAAGATCTTGTCTTTGACTCCCAATATCTACAGATTCGAGTGAGTCCAGAATTCTGAAGATGAAGGGATATAACTGACATCCTGACAGATGGGAGAACTGGCCGATATCTGAATCCGTGCTTGAGATGCTTGAAGAACAATGCCCATCCTTGCGGGATGTCTCAATCGTCTACCCGAACCTGTCGAAGTTTTCCCGGACGGAGAGATTCTATCGAGATGGAAGGAGCACCTTCAACGATGAGAAGCCCAAGATGATACCGCTACCAAAACCTGAGCTGCAAAACCTCCGCAAGCTCTACTTGTACGATATCAGTGGTGATGTCAATTTGTGGATTCCCAAGATCGCCACCATGCTGGGAAGGTCGCGTTTCCTCGAGGAGCTTGGCCTGTCTTTATCATCGGAGTGTGAAAGACAGCATGCGCTGGCCGGGCAGTCCAGGGCATTTCTGGACTTCTTCCCGTCTCTCGTACAGCGATACCGGGACCAAGGGGACGAGCCGCTGAGGCTGCGCGTCCTCAAGCTGGGCTACGGGGTGCTCCTGAACATGCCGAAGGGGAGCCTCGAGGACAATGACTCAGACCAGGGCGAGTACCTCTCTTCCTTCACTCATCGGGAATACCTTGAGGAACTGTACATGGACAACGACCTAGACGTGGGCTGCCCACTGAAGATCCGCAGCTCCGCGGGCCGCATCGCATGGTCCTGGATCACGCCGTCCTTCCTGCCGAACCTCAAGCGCTTCACCTTCACCAGCCTGTCCGTCCAGAGCCAGGGCTGGCTCGGCCAGCACCCGGACCCGACCTTCGCCAGCGGCCTGGCCATGGGGATCGGCACGGAGAAGCTCGCGTTCAGCTACGTCGACGACAGCGGCGCCCTGCACAGCGTGCGCGACAACAACATCCGCCGGCACATCGGCCAGATAGGCGAGAGGACTTTCTTCCTGCACAAGTACCTGAACCACCCGAACCTGCCCCTCAAGAGCCCCGTCGTGTCGATCCTGAAGCCCTGCCACAAGGACCTCCTCTGCCTCGGCAGCTGCACCTGGATCAGGACGCTGGCCATCTGCCTCCAGAAGCAGACCATGATCTGGGGGTGGAAGAAGATCACGCAGACCCTGCCGCAGACCGAACACCTCTGGGTCCGCATCGGGATGGACTACCCGCTCCTGGACAGCCGGAGCGAAGGCAACCACAGGGGCAACGCGGTCCGGATGCAGGACGGGGCGCTGGTCGAAGAGCAGCACTTCCTGCATTCCTTCTGGAGGCGCAAGTGGGCGGAGATGGCGGCCGCCATGGCTGAGGCCAAGTCGTGTCCGACCAAGTACCTCAAGATTGGGCACATGGCATGGCGGGTACTTCCGCGGCCGAAAGGGGCCAGGAAGGCTGTTTTGGAACCACTTGATCGATGGGAGGATGAAATAGAGGGCCCGGATGTCTTCCGGTACAACAATCCTGTGCGGCAAGATCATCCATACTGAGGGTCGGCAGGGCATTGGCTACGTCAATGTATCTAAATTTGACATGCGACCTATAAAGAGACCCAGATACCTCCCTAAAAGTTTATGTGATTACCTTAGCAATCGACGGGAAATATTACAAATACGTGCTTGAGGCGCCCAAGTGGCTCTTGTTTCTCACGGCTGTGGTAGCGTTGGTTTGAAAGATGCTTAGCTACGACGCCTATGGTTTGAAAATATCTCCATTACCGCGTTGCCATTATTGCAATTTTCGATTCCGAATTGCGTTTAGAGCCAGCCCACGGTCTCATAATCTGATATCCCGTAGTCATTATCCTAACCCATCTTACAAAAGGTTCTTATAGCCTTCTGGTTGTCCTCGAGTGATGAGCCGGCCAGCGTAGTCCACTCCCAGTGCTCCGACAGCCCATCCCACTGCACTCTGACCCAGTCGGGCTGCTGCTGTTGAGACGCCGTCTGCCGCCCGCTGCCACCGCCACTAGCCTCCCTCTCGGTGACGGGACGAGGCAGATACGCCACGTCTTTCCGCGTGTCGCGGTTCAGGGACCATCCTGATCGGCTGGACAGAACTTTCGTATTCGATTGTGACGGCATGCCCAGCTCCGCGGGCCAGAAGACCGGGCAGAACTTGTCGTGGACCCACTCCTCCATATATGTCGCAGACGACGACGCAGTGGAGCTGCGAGATTCCGTCGCGCACAGCCGCGGGTACACGCCCATCTCGACAAGATCCATGACCATTCTGAACTGTGAGGAGCTCCTCCCCGAGTCGCGATTGTTCCACATCTTTTCAAGAGTTGATAAGCTCTGCTGTCGTGGAGCGGTACCGCCCCCCATGGCGAGGAAGTCGAGCAGGCTAGAACACCGCTCCCGACTCTCCGAGGTGTCGTATCGCAATGAGGCGAGGAAGTCCCAGATCTCTTGACTCATTCCGAGGCAGTACAGCCCCACGAAGGTATTGGCTAGTATCCACGCGCGGTACCGAGGGCTGCGGCCCACAAGTTCGTTGGTTTCCCTCGTTGGGCCGTTGCACTTTTGTGCGAGAGCCACTGAGATGAACCAGGAGCCGCGTCCGAAGAGCGGTGGATAGAATTGGGCATCTTTCTTGTTGTAGTCTTCCTTTGGGGTGATGTAGCGCTTGCAAAATGCCTCAAGCGCCTGAGGGTTATCGAGAGATGACAGCTGAAGGGCGGGCCAAAGGAGCGGGAGGAACTGGAGCTGAGACAACTTCATCCCATGCTGCCACATGACCTTCATAACCCGCCAGGCACGGTCGTGTGTGAATGGAAGAGTCTGCCTTTGTAGTCGATCTATCTCCATTGACTCTGCGAGCGCCAAATGTTAGCATATCCTGTCCCTGGTAAACTCTCAGATCGATCGAGCATACTGGTCTGCTCGCTGAGAAGAGCGAGGCCCATCATGAGGTCCTGTCGCTTCTCAGCGTTGGCGGAGAGCTTCTGCCCTGCCTTGAACATAAGATCGTGCTGAATATCGTTGGCCAAGTGTGAGTCGGCCGTTTTAAGTTGAATCTCGATCATCAAACCCGCCAACTTTGGCTTGGCCCTGACCAAAGTTGGCCCAAGGGATACGCGAAAATGCTGGGCCGTGTAGGTCTTGAACATGGGCTTGTGCTCCTTGTAGACGCTTGGGTTTCCATTCCAGTACTTTCGTGCCTTGCGCTCAGGAAGTTGCTCCCGACCCATGTAGTGATCTTTTCCCAGTCCTCCGGACGTGTGGTAGCGATCATGACGCCGGCTAGGTCATCCAGCTCATTGACAACGTCTTGAAGGGTTGGAAAGTGCTTGTTATCCTTGGATACCTTCTTTTCCAGTGTCTTCACGGCTGAATCCAGGGTCTTGGTACCATCTTTACGCGGAACGACGAGGCCGCGGATACCCTGCTCAGCCAGCATATTTGTGCAGAGCTGTCCGACGTAGGTCGTAAGGTCCTTGTAATTTCCCCTCATCGAGGGCCAATCCTCTTTAAACTTGACGATGCCACGTTCCTATCCGCTCGACCCCTGCGAGCGACCCAGAGAGCTCATCTTTCGAGTGAATTGGTGATTTGTGTGATGTGTTTGTGTGGTGCTAGAGGCAAGGTCAAAGGGATGAATCCTAAGAGAACTGCAATTATTCCGTAAAGTATTGACTTCCAACTGTATTGAATGAATTCCGATGGTTCTTGCACAAGAAACCTGAACTATTTACGTTCGTTACTCAAGGCTTCTGCGGCCTTCTTATAGTCCCGCTTTTCCAAATGCGCAGGCTCCACCAGACCTGGGTGGTTCTATCGACGGCTTCTGCTCTATTTTGCCCTCATTGGGGCCCCTCTCCAAGTCTTTCGGGGGGCTTCGCTAGAATCTCTTTTTTTGGTAAACGGAAGATGGTTATTTTTGGTGAGCCTAGTCTAGGTGGAACGAACTCACCCTGGATCCCAATAAAACATTGGGTGCACCACATCAACCCAACCGGTCGGAAACGTGGTCAACAGGGGCAAAGGTCCCTAGGTATTATTCCTTTTAACTGAGGCTTACGGTAAGACAGGAACCGAGTAAGGATTCACAGTCTCTAATCTAAAAATTCTCAAGGGCTAACCATAAGTGCAGTGTGGGGCACTGAAACGGTCGCTGGGTCTCTCGCTTCGATGCCAAACAGGATCAAATGCCAGCCGCTTACGTGGATTCCGTAGAATATCGCTCCTTCCAGAACCCTTATCTCCAGCCTCTGATAGATGGATTCAATAATGGGTAGCAGTCGGAAACAGTCGGATTAGGCCAATTTATTTCTGGATTGACTGTGTTAAGACCAATCCGGATGACACGCCTCGGACCAAAATTACTTCCGAGGCAGTGCGGGCTCGCAAACTTGAATCAAGTAGCGTAACAAGTCACCGCACTTTATGATAGTGTCTCAATGTCGGCGAGTCTTTAAATTGGAAGATATCATTAATCGACAAGAATGATATAATTGAACTCATCTCGAACCTCGATGTTTACCCATGGCGATCTAGTCAACGCCGCCGTCAAGACGGTGCCCTTAGCCTTGTCTGTGCGTCGCAAGGCGGAGACCACATACACCTATCTTTTAAACGCTCGGTCTTCATCGTTTACTATCACATAATGGGGGCATGTATGTCCCCGGAAATTTGCGGAATAGAAGCGAAACCAGTTACCCATGTTCTTCGCACAGTCATATGCTGACAGGCTTCGGCGACGGGGAGGCTGCGCCAGCACCTCCTTCATTATCATTACTTCTATCGAGTCTCACCTGCCGCGTATTTGTTCACATCAACTACCTGAAACTAACGATTGCACGAGACTGAACCAAACAGACCTCAGGGTTTATAAGTACAACAGCCCAGGTCCCGTTCCAAGTGGAACATGATGTCTACCTTCTCTTTTGGGTGACGTCCAAACTGCTATCGTGCGGGGCTGCTGCTCTATACCACCCAGACGCTTTCACGAATGGTCTGGCGTTAGAACCCGTTGTAAACCGCAGATGTTTGGGTGCCAAGTATTGTTGTACCTACCACGTAAATCGGGGTCAATGGGATTGGTTCAGGCCTGGTGAACACACTAAAACACAGTTATTCCTCTAGCAGCCAGCACTGTATCCCTTTCTCTTGCCGCACGTATAAATGACAATTTGCTGCTATGTAAAGAAATCAGATGGATTTGAACGTTTCCCCTTCAACCCAACGACCGCCGATACCCTCCTTCCCTGTCCAAAGCAAACAAAATGTCACTTAAGTGGTGTCCCTGGTATGGGCGTTCCTCTAAACGCCGCACCGATGCCTCTGCACATTCAGACCTACATAACAATCTGCCGCCATTGAAACCTCACAACATAAAACCAGCCAATTGTGTGCACGTTATTTGTATTCCATCTGCAAACATTCCGCTCCAAAAAGGCGATCTGAAGGCTAGAATTTTGGCCGCTGCGGCCGCTTGCACCACATCAGCTACGGCTATCACCGCTCGCGCCCTTGCTGAAAACCCAGACGCCGCGACCGCCATGGCCGTCGCATTGGAACGAATTAAGAAGACAACCACAACGATCCTTACCTCGCGCGGTATACCACCCAATACACCAACAGCAAATTCTATCTGGGCTGCCGTTCTTGAGGAGGCGGCTTGTGAAGCTGGTGTGATTGCTGGCCGGCCGGACGAGCCGGAGTTTGCCAGCCAAGAGGCGGCTCGATACGAAAGATCAGTGGTAAATGGCGTAGCCGATGAAATAGCAATCGCATCACGCTAGCTAGCCGCGGTTGCAGTCCCTCACTGCTAGTATTACCTCTTTTCTCAGAAGGAACACGTTCTCCCCCTCGGCTCTCAGTCCATAGACTATGCGGCCACGCTCACCCTGACAACACTTGGTAAACATCTAGTATTTTGGCACTACAATGAAACCGCTTTACTTCGACTCTGTTAAATTCGGTCGACTCTGTTATATTCGGGGTGCCATATTGACTCTTCAACAGCTTGTTATACTCGCGTACTGCATGTATTTAAAGAGAACGGAAATTTGCGCACCTAGAATTGGAAGGCGCGCACCCTCCCTACTATTTAGCCAATTAGAGTATAGAACTTTAAAGTCTTTACGACTTTAATAAATAAGTGTTCTTTGCGATTTTAGAGGCTACAAACAGGGCGGGTTGGTCCTCTGGGAACTCGGGTCGTACCTACCGGCCCTACTCACGGCCCTCCGCTATGCTTTGCGCTTCGGGGCTCGCCCCCTTCACCCCAGCCGGCCCTTTTATAGAAGAAGTCTATATAGAGTACTTCTTAGTCAGTAGATAGGTGCGCGCCTTCCGATTCTAGGTGTGCGAATTTCCGTTCTCTATTTAAAACCTCTCCGACTTCTGAGAGTTTCATCATATTCCAGGCTCTCTCAGCAACTGCTTAGGAAGGCTGGCACAGGAGGGCCGTTGGGTTGAGACGTTGAGTCGGGATAATGTTGGTACACATTAGTTGACCTTTGAACATGACAGTAACATCTGTGAGATTCTCAATTGCGCCGCTGAAATCTCAGACTACTCATACACATAACACAAAGGACTTCCTCCAAGAGTATTAAGCACCTCGTCGATGACGACGCTCGGGGCGTTCACACCCAGGTCAATGACATCCGCTGTGGTTGTGTTCCGACTAGGGGGCTGATTCAAAATAGTGATGGTGCCTGCAATCGTGTCGGCTTGGTCGAGGTGTAGAGCTTGCCATAGCCAGTATGTGTAGTCAACCATAGCATGGTGGAACCAGAAGCTAGGGTCGTTGATCGAGGAAAACAAATCAGACGCCTCGCCACCAACGGCCATGTGTCCGCTGGCATGCATACCCAGGAATTGATCTCCGAAGCGACCTTGCAGCTCGTTCTGGAAGAGCTCGATGCTGCCGGAAGCATCTCCGACAGTGACGTTGAGCAGGTTCTCGGGTGTGAACCACGTTGAAGCAGTGTAACTTGTGAGGTCCCTGCGGAGGCAGCGCGGGTTATAGCCCAGCGGGCCATCTGAGCTGTTGCTCGCCGGAAGGCCGTTCATGCCTGGAAACACGGGGCCGAGATTGACAGTCATACTGATAGCAATGATGGTCAGCCTCCGGAAAAGGGTATCCATAGATGTGTTCTGTGCTTACTTGACGAAAGGACCGTTCTTGACGCATCCACCGCCGTTTCCGGAGGGAAGAAAGATGTTCCCAGACCCAGAAACACTCCCGTTATGGGCGAAATATGCTCCATCACCACTCATGCTTGTGTCGCTGCCGTCAAATAGGGGTGATTTGGTCAGATCGTCGGTATAGTCGAACCAGTTCCAGTATGGTTGGTAGCCCTGGTAACCACATTCTTCCCGAAGTGCTGTCTCGTAGGCATAAGTGACGTATCGGTGCCAGGTGAGGAAGTTGCCCTGATTAATGGAACTTAGAATCATAACTATGTCTGAATGAAGGAGCTTTTAGATTTTAAGTAGGCAATCACTTACAGTTCCATGGATCGAGAGCGTCTGGTTGATGTGGACGGCAACAAAGTCGTCGTATCCTGCAAGATCAGGTCAGTATCAGCTCCATGCATGATGGGTAGTAGAATGGTTTCATCGAAGTATTCCAGGAAATAAGCCACCGGACTAGCACAGTATTTAAGTTGGAGACTTACTACTTCTTGCTCCTGGAGCAAATGTCGGGTCGGACTTGGATGGCGAGTTCAGCAGACACTGCACCGCGCTGATATACTCCCTCTTCTCGTCCGCACTGAGAGCAACCCTGCCCAATGTCCGTCGTCAGCGATAATTACATTATGGATTTTTCGAGTGCCAATGCGTCATCGTGAACAGGCATACCAGTCTTTGCGCACTGCAGCATTGGAGACACTGCAGCCACCCGGGCTTGTCGAGTTGCCCTCAGCGGCCTTGAGAGCTGCGAGAGCATGTCTCTGCAGTGTAGCCAAGGTACTGCTGTTTTTCTGGAGATTGAAGGCCGACGCACCAAGTGCGCTCCCCAGTAGAGCGACCAAACCAACGAGGCCGGAGGAATGCATCATGGAGCAAAGTGAGTCCAGGGGGCAGTGGCTATTGACATGCGATTTCAGAAAGAACTATCTCCCAGAACACGTAAACACTCAACAGAAAACTTCCATCAAACCCATATATGCACCCAAGCCGTGACCCGACCACGAGGTTTCTCAGCACATGCAAACTAACAAATTAGTGGCGCCAAAGCCAAGACGCGTGCACGGAAGGGTTGCCGTCTTCCACTCGCCAGAGTTACCACTAATACCCCAGCACGAACAGTAGTGCTTATTGTGGGTGAACCGTAGCGCCGAAGCCCAAGGTCTAGGCTGCCAGATAATGTGCTTATAGACCCGGAAAATTATCCATTTGCATACCCTATGGAAGTCCTGGTTGGTAGCCGTCGACATCGCCCTAGTGAACCTAGCCATGCTTCTGTTAGGCTAAAACACGTAAATGCGGGTAAGACTGATCCTTCTCAATTCGATGGCTGTGATTGCCGGGGGCTGTGGAAATGTCGGTCGAGTATGCGGTGGGCCTGCGGTGGAGACGGGCAGGTAGGCAGATTTTTTCATTTCATTTTGAACCAGGTATCCGACTGGATAGCGGCTTCGGGTAGATATCTCGCGGAACTAGACTCTCATGACCTGGTTGATCCTAGTATAACTACTAGTAGGATTGATGTCCAGGGCCGTTGCAAGGTGTCAGTCAACTGGTGGCAAATATTCGCAAAATATTAAGGGGTGGAGTATCATAGCTCAAGCCCTCGCCTGCAAAATCTCGGCCAAGTTGTTTCTAATGGCTCCTTGCCGCCTGCTGACGAGACCTCCATCCCATTCTCTCACGAGAGTTCTGACCGCGGAATGCATGAGGTTAATGTAGGCGAGTTCTGCTCAGTCGTCGATTCTGCAGTCACTGCATTAGCTTCTAACCTTCTACAAGATACCCCATACATAGATTTTATATGTATGTGGATAAAAAACGAATCCACCCTGCAGACAGATCCACTACTTTAGAATCTGTAGGTAAAAAGTAACCTGGTGTAAAGCGATGTTGTATAGTAGGTCTTGAGCGGTTACCACTGTATGAAGGCACCACCTACATTTTATATGTATGAGGATTTAAAACGAAACCACCCCGTTGTATAATACTACCTCTTGTAGGCTAATCTCTTAAGTATCATTGAAAACCTCCTCTGCCAGTGTACTCTCGGGACATCCTGGGGTAGAGTTATACTAGTACATGACATCTTACCATGATAGGATCCAGTGATTTCGTTTCTAACCCCCATACATATAAAGTGTATGTCGCGCCTTCATAGACTGGTAAACGCTTAAGCCCTAGCGTTTAAAAAAAAACAAAGTGCCTGATAGGATCAAACCCCGGGCCGGCGAGCTATTGGCATAGTACTATGACATCTTGGAATTATTTACGGCCGCGACATTGTTGCGATATCCCTACACTTGATATTCACATTTCTATTCTGGATCGTATTTGCTGGTAATACTCTTCATGCAGAGTCCTACTTGCTTAGTTACGCCTCTTTCACAACTCCCGAGCAATGGGGCATGTCATGCATGGCCACGGGTATGACACATCATCGAACTAGAAGTTGACAAGAGAAGCTAGGGCATGGTACATATATAACTAGACGGCAGATACGACTTTTAATGCCCAGTAGAACTTTCTTTCACAGCGGCGGATAGGAAGACTCTGATCCTCGTCGGCGACATGTACGACTGTTTCGAACTAATTGTACCAGGCGATGACGTGAAGTACCCTCAGTGTAGATCAATATAGGTAAATATGTAGAATGCAGCATAGGGGTATTTCTGAAAGTCCAGTCGCTTAAACGTATATAAGCAAGGAAGGTTTCAGTTTCCTTGATATCCTTTCATAACTCTTCATTGACCAAAAACCCTCTACTCCCTGTCGTCCCCTATGCGACTAAGGGAAAACGGTCATGTTCGTGGGGATATAGATGTCTCTTAAAATGTCTTGAGTGATATCAAAGGGAACTAGGAACTAACCAGCACTTATGGGTAGGCAGGTGTGAGGGCGGATGGGCTCCAAGACAGGCCAATGAGATTGTTTTCTTGTTGCTGCGCAGGACGGATTGGAAGGAGCTCGAGAGGAATCAATGTGAAGCCCACTCTAAGACACTAGTCAGAGTATCCGTTCCTACTTCTGATTTGCTTTTACTTTGAAGGGTATGGTGCAATTGTCTTCATGTTGAGGGGGACGCTCAGAAGGATTGAGTCAGCTTCCTTCAATGGCCTCCGATGATTCCGAACAACGCTGTTCAAATTCCAAAGCCACCCGCGGGCTTGCGCCCCTCCGCCTTGGATGGCGGGTGGAGAACATTTATTCATGCTTACGGAGTCTCGTCCGTGCTCGTCCGTACTCGTCCGTACGGAGCGTGTTAACACCCGCGTGTAGCACATGACTCCACGTCTAAAGTGGGTCTACACCAATCCTTCCGCCTACCTAGGTATCCTATTGTCGCATGGCAAAGATCTATAAATACGAGGCGCCCACAACTACACGTCAGCGCAAGAGACACTTCGCAAGCACTTTACTTACACTCACATCCTCTCATCAAACCTCACAAAAGCATCTTCAAATCAGTCACCATGGCGGCCACACTCACCGTCATGTACCCCAACGAGGCCGACGCGAAGTACGACATCGAATACTACAAGACACAACACATGCCTCTTATGGAGAGACTTCTGGGGAAATACGGCGTCAAAAGTTGGACCGTCACGACCTACCTACCCAGCGCGGATGGATCGGCTGCACCTTATGTCTTCAGCTCAACTGTGACCTGGACCAGCGCTCAAGCCATCAAGGAGGCATTCGCGGACGAGTCTGCGCCGCAGATTTTGGCGGACGTGGCCAACTTCAGCAACAAGCAGCCGGTATTCCTGGTTGGTGAAATCACAGGCTCGTCAGCTTGAACGCCAGAGGACAGAAATAGCAGAGGAATGCGCTGGGAGATGGTGACATGGGTTAACAACGGCAATATCGCCAGTCAATCGGGATTCAAGTTGGGGCCTCTGTAGCACATGGGTGTACAACTGTTCCTGCGCAATGCATGACTCTCTGTGTCATCAAGTTTCGTCAAGCAAGTGGTTCTACGATGGAAAACAGATCTGCTTCAAATTGTTATACTTATAATTAGAGAGCGACCCGGCCTGGTCAGAAAGTGCGGAACTCGAGCAACTGCTGAGTATCTAGGTAATGGTACTAGTCTTCCAAGGTTTTTTTATCAACACGGCCATTACAAACTTCGACGCGCTATTACACATGCAGACATCAACAACTAGTGCGAATATTCAAGCCGACCATCAACGGGTTGCTTGTGTAGTTTGCCAAACCTGGGCAGCTTTATTACATCCGATGACTACGCGAGATACCGTGGCCTGACAAATTGGGAGGTGCCGGGAAAGACCAACTACGAAGTGGACACTTTGCATTCATTCTGTCATGCATGTGAGACCAACGTGGATGGCGCCAAGTGGTCAGATCGGCTTTAAGAGAAGGCCGATACACAAATACGCGGATCTCGTCGGAAGCTGTATTTGTAAACTGCAACAGCATAGCCCCGCGGCAGACAAAGCCTGTTTCGTCGTGGAGCCTTTCTTGAAATGACTCGCGCCCTTGTGGATTCCTTAATCAGGAGATTCACTAGGGGCACACTAGAGCTCGCTAAGGGTATAAAAGCTAGTAAGAGGTATAACGTTTGAAAAACACTGGTAAGAAGCTACAACTACAGTAAGTACTATATATTATTTTTAATATATAAATTATTAAAAAAACTAAATGCTTCTTTTTAATTTTAAACTATTATTTATACTTATAATATTAAAAATATAAACTTATTTATTATAATTTACTTAATGTAATATAAATATAAATATAAATATATATCTAAGTATATAAAAATATTAGGTTAAATAATTAGTAGGACCACTATATATTTAATATAGATTAGCTGAAAGACTTTAATAATTAATCTAGCCACTACTTATCTCGAGTAGCCACTAGTAGTCTTTATCTATTCTAAGTTAAGACTCCAGTAACTGTGGAATCTTTATACTCCTAGTGAGCATATTCCATTGATCAGGACTCGATTAGATATTTGAACAGACATTATGTTAAAATGAGTCTGGTTCAACAGGTATAGAAAACGCCGCATCTACCAGTATTTATACTGGAGTACTGTAAGAAGGCGCCACATAAGTTTGGTATGTATGGGGATTAGAAACGAAACCACCTGTCTGTAGTGAATCTTTTTGATGCTGGATAATGTTTAGCTGGCTGGGCTGGAAAATTGATTCCCCACCCGCACACGCTGGACTTTCTCACCTTCACACATCCCACTTCCTCCGTCCATTCTTGTGTCCGGTCTGATTTGTATCTCTTGAAATGTGTTTTATTACTACCGCAATGTGCCAAGCAACTAGCATGATGGCCCAGACTGAACTGTAACGTTAAGTTATAACATGTGGTCGAATCGGGATACACGCCAAGGGGGCCGAAAGCGGTGGTGCGGGACTTATTCCTCATTTGAGACACCAGGAAGAGTGCAAGCAGGAAAAGTACCCGTCTTCCTTATTTACATGTTGTTTGGTGAGTGCGATATTCAACGTGGAAGAACACGCCCACGTTACCCTGAGATGGATTGCGCTGTCGTCCTGCATGAACTTGACATACCCCAAACCCTCTGACAAAATATCGTGGATTTGTTGTTAAATGCTGGGTCTTCGAGCGTTTGCCACTCTATGAAGGGATCGTACGCCTTCGGAATGCGTACAGATTTAAGAACGAAACCACCTAATACTGGACATCATGTATGAACTGCCCCACGAGCACAGCGGCCTTCAAACTGGGATTGAAGTTGGCGGTTCTTTCCATCATTTGCCATCTCCTCGCCCTCGGCGTCTGCGAAAACAGCATTCAACTTCTCCGCGCTCATAAGTTCAATGACCCAGTAGAAGATATGCGGAAGCAATTATCCGCCCGCATCTACGAGCAGAAATTTGGAGACGCGCCGCAGCTTGAGCCCATACCTAGGTACTCGGTTGAGCGCTGCTGCACCCGGGGCCTGACCCGCACGTACAGAATCGTATCAAGTGATTTCGTTTGCAATCCGTACACACCACCATGAAGTCGTTCAGCGGCAGCTTCCACTCACCCACTGCCGGCGTCAGGCAAACGGGCCAAACCAAGGTCTGGTCGACCGATAGATTGCTTAACTTTAATGAGGCGCTAATTGGTGAACAATTCATCTACCGAGATCACCAAACCTCATCTGCCGCCACATTCTTGGTTAACGCCCGTCTTTTAGGTAAAGTCGAAGCTTTCAGATTAGGATTGGACCTGGCAGGGGATGTCATAGTGCTGGTCTTGGCAAGAGGCTCTCAACTCGAAACATCTGAAACAGTGGTAGGGCATCGGCCAGCCTCCAATGTTGCACTGGCGGTACGGAACCCGGGATGTTCAGTATTGTGTTCCCTGTTTACGCCTGGGACGTTCAATTCCTCGCCGGCAGTCTTGAGCGTCGGGTGACGTGAGAGTTCTCAGTGGTCACACATCCTGTAGGCTCTCAGCTCCATCTGCTAGCACATTACCTACAACCACAGGAACACATTTATGCTGACCTCAGGTTAAGACGACACATCCTACACGCAACGCGGCGATACACAGCAAGAAATAGTCGTTGCAAGCTGTTGGGGGGGGGGGGTTGTTGCTGACAGTGAGTGTTATGTGAACGAGGTAAGTGCTCCAGATCCAAACATTGGAGCATTCTTCCCGGGTCAAGAAGAGACACTTGAGAGACTGCAGAGTGGATCTTGACATCAATGAGCATGTGTGGAGCACTTGAGATGCAAAGACATTACAACCCCGCTTGATTTTGATTCCTTCATTGGGGACAATCTAATGCCTGATCTAACTAGATACCTGCCAGGTCCAGACCCGTAGTTAGTGGTTGTGGTTTCGTTTTTAATCCCTATATATATAAAATATATATAGCGCCTTTATATAGTAGTAAATACTTAAAATTTAGTGTTTAAAGAAATATAATATTAATAATAATAGAAAGAAAATATAATATATAAATATATAATTAAGCTTTATATTATATAGATAAGGTTAGAAGGTATTATTTTTAATACTACTATATTAAAATTATTAATATAAGTAATTTAAGAGTTAATTTACTATAATATTAGAGTTAAAGTTAGTAAAGTAATTATATAGTAAAATTAGAATAATCTTAAAATAGTTTTTATAAAAGAAGTTATAATTTTATAATATAAAATTTACTAAGCTAGCTCTTCCTTATTAATATATTTATTATATAGCTATTTAAATCTATCTTTATTAGGTAAATTAGATATACTATAATCTCTATCTTAAGTATATAGTTATTAATAAAATAATAATATTATAATAGTAAACCTATTTAAAAGCTTTTTATATAAATTTTATAAATAAATTAAAATCTTTTAAAAAGTTAAGTAAAGTTTATTTATTATATATTAGATAAATATTATATAAGGAAAATAAAAGTTTAGGTATTTAAAAATTAAATCTTTCTTTTAAGTATATTATTTTATTATTAAGGATTTATTTACTTTTATATAATATATAAGGAATATAGTAGAAGAGGGAGTTTTATAGAGGAAGTTAGTAACTTTATATATAGATAAGTTTAAGGGTATATATTGAGTAATTATTGACTTTATATTTAAGGTATAAACTAATAATTAGTTTAAAAGTTGAGAAGATAATGAATAGATAAATAGTTGAATAAAAAATATAATATGGTTGAAGCCGACCTGTAGTTAATTCTACAATTCTAGTTCAGGCATCCAAGTCAAGGAAGCTGTCAAAGCTCGGCAATTCTTTCAACAGGTTTTGAATGGGCAGGAACAGCTCGTCTGATCTCGCCTCCCTGATCTCATCAAAGGTCTTCCACACCCAAGACTCGCATTTCTCAGGTTCAAGCAGCTGTGGCATTCTGTTGTCAGTAAAAGACCCTGCCAGTCAGGTTGTGAGTGCAACGGTGAGTGCAACGGCGGACTGACCTCGGGCTGTGCTCCCTTGTCGAGCATCTCGCAAATCACAAAGATTGTGATGTAATGCTTGCCAAGATCCGAGAAGACGTCATTAGTGACATGAGCAACCTTGCGGCCCTTGACTCTCAGCCCGGTCTCCTCGAGTGTTTCTCGCTCAGCACACTGCTTGAAGTCCTCGCCGTACTCGAGGTGTCCGCCTGGGAAGGCCCATTGTCCTAGACAAAGCGAAGAGAAGAGTCAGTTGGTTGATGAGTGATAAGTGATGTGCCAACCATTGCCCAAGACATGCCAGGGTTGGCCAAGTCATCTGCCCTTGTTCCAAGGTTCAGACACGGCGACCTCGGCACTTGCGGCACCGGCGGATACGGCGCATGAAGGGAAAGGTTGGGGGGGGGGGGAGGCAAAGATCAATACAGACCTGCTCCATGGCTCGACTTCCGACGCCCAAAGACGACCTTGCCATCTGGGCCTTGGATAACAGCTGCAACTCCAACCCTCGGGTTGCTGGCTGATGATGTGGCCATTGCTGATTGCGTAAGAGGGAGGGCGTAGTGACACTGCAGATGCTGACTGGACGGACCCTGAGCATGTGGTAAACTTTGCCGAGTCGGGCACAAAAAGGGAGGGCCACCCACAGCAGATATCGGGTAGAGGTGGCAGGGTTAGGGGAGTGCTCCTTGTTCATGGGTCTTGACCATTACGAGTGGCGATTCTCAATGCAATGCAACGGAATATTCCATCTCGTAAGAGAGCCTCGGGAGACACTCTGACCTGTCCTTGATGGTACTCGAAGGGCATGTAGACATCAAATATTATCTACTGATCTCAATGAGCGACCGAGTATTCATACTGCCATCGCGCCACAAGACGAGACAAGACACGGATAACGGCGACAAGATTCAGGTTTATAGTCGGCCTTCTTGGCATCTGACCGCAAGTCTTCGGGTCCCGTGATTCAGCCGGCTGCATTTGGTTTTGGGGGAGGGGGGATGGCATTGGAGAGTGGTGATCCACACTAATCATAACAAGCCTCGCCTGTAAAATCCCTTCGTCATAGTCCCGTATCACCTAGGGCATTAACCTTAGTGGCTGGTCGGTCTTGTATCTATCTTTTGAAATTTCCCATCATTCACCGTGGTCCCGTTTCATGCCTTTACCATCCTCTGCATTGCATTCCACTTGACTGCACCGCATTGCACTGCACTCTATCCACCTTTTTAAGCCCGGCTATTCGGAGATTGAGGTAGAGCGGGAAAGTGCTCGGGCGCGTCGTGGCTTCCGCCGGAACTTTAGAAGCATGTGGCAGTCCAAAGAAGGAACTTTCTTTCTCATCTTACCCCAAGGATTACTCACATGCCACTAGTAGCCTGCCTCCTGCCTCCCTCCTGCCTCCCTGCCTCCTGCCACAATAACAAGTGCCCACCTTCGCTGCACCCAACCAGATACCTACACATTACATTGCACGCGTGGGCACTTGCCAACTGCCAACTGCACACAACAACAGCATTCACCAACGAGGAACAAGTTACTGCACCCATCCTGAACCGTTTACCTTTCCCGTCATTCACCCGAAAAAACAGTTATTTACTGCAATAACGCGTGTTAAACGCTACATCGGGTCGGTGAGAAATTTGTCACTTGGGCTCCACAGCCTAGTTTGACCTCGCCCGACCCACTTCAACCACATTACCGCATCAACCAGGCGCTCTGCGTTGCTCCTACTTGACCGTCAACTGCGTCTGCTGTTGTTGGCAACGACTTCACCTAAACCTCCTACGTTGGTACCCTTATTAGGTTGGTTCTGCCGTCACGTGGCACCAACCTGTACCACCGCCTTGACCTTACCACCTAAGTCTTTCACCCATCGACCAGTTGACGACTCGTAACGTAGCCAACAACATTGCGAGCATCAGCATCTCCTTGGTCGTCATCCCCAAGCTACCTTAACAGAGATCTTAGTTATCAAGTAAACAGCTTGATCAGCATTTCCCGACCGGCTGTTTGCGAAAGCCAGCAGGCCGTAGTCAGAGGCCATCAATGATGTCGCTCTCAAATCCCCGACATGCAGGTGGCGATGGCGCTGATGGTCGATCGACTACAAACACCCCGACCGAGCGTTTCATCGCTGCGACTTTGAGAGACGCACGCATGCGAATGGAGGAGATCAACAAGAGGCGTGAGCAGCTGCGAACACATACCAGTCAGCCCATGGAGGACGCATGGCACTCCGTCGAGGTTCAATACTGGCAGGACTCTAAGGCACGACTGCAAAAGATCATGAGTGAGAACCCAACAGGGTCCATACGAGGTTGGGGCCGCGCATTCGCAACCGAGGAGAAGCAGTTCCTGGCCGACACACTGGCACAAGGAACTCAACAAGCCTTTCACCAGCACGGGCGACCTCAGCAGGAGGAGATGATGGCTTCCGATCGCGAGTTCTGGGGCATCTGGCGTAAGCAACTGGATTTCCTGGGCGACTTGCCACCTGTGCCTGAGGCTGCGCGCCAGCCTACAAACACAAACGCTGCGATATCGAGCAGCTCAACTACCACAAAGAAGCGCAAGGCCTCCACTCGACCCGTGTCGAACCTGATGCTCACGCTGGACAACCCCGCATCAGAGGCCGTGGATGCCCAAGGTCACAGCCTCAGCCCGGCCAGCACCACGCAGGCGCTCAACCTGAAGTCCATCGCGGCTCAGCCACCTCGCAGCCCGGGCCCCTTCGGCGCACCATCCCCCGTCTCTCTCGCGTCATCACCTGACCCGACCATTCCTCCTCCCTCCGGCGTGTTCAGCAAGCCGCGATACCCAGCGTCCAAGCGACGCAAGACTACAGCGGCAGCAGCAGCAGCTGGACGAGCCGCTGAGCCCGCCATCAAGGCGGCGTTTACCCCCATCAACAGCCCCAAGCCTTCACCGCAGCCCCAGCCCCTCCCGGCAGGGCAGGCCATGGCTACTACTACCACAGAGGGCAGCAAGCACGACACTGGTTTCCAGGGGGTCACGGACCTCGTCGTGGGTGAGATCTACCAGGCATACTACAAGGACGCCACTCAGGAGGGATGGTGGATGTGCACCCCGCTGCCCTGGGACGACTGGGACCGGGAGATCGGCATCGACCTGGACTTCACGCGGGCGGACATGTGGAGGGACCTGCCGAGGCAGCAGTACAAGACGGGTAAAGGCCGTAGGAAGAAGGCCATCCTCGGCTGGAAGGGGCAGTTTGTCGACGGCGGGGCCAAGGTCACCCAGCGCGTGTTTCCCGTCCTGTTCCTCGACGACGAGGTCGGCGGCCCCGGCAACCTCCAGTTTGGCGGGGAGGGCGGCGCAGACCCCATGGCGACGTACACGTTCCCTGAGACGGCGATGCGGGCCCTTCCTACTGAGTGGGTCGCTGCCAAGAACATCAGGAGGGCCGGTGCGGACGTGGCTGGTGGGCTGGTGCACGGGGTTGACACGGCGCGGCGGTTTAGGGAGAGGTTTCGGGCGAGGAGGGCGCTGAAGGGGCAGGGTAGATAGGTAGTGTGGACAGGACCTGCTGGATCCTATCAATGAAAGCGCTCACGGCATTGCTTAGATATCAGCCCTTGCCAACTTCGTGTGTGACACCCTGCCGCGTGAAAACCTCACAGTCTCCTGAGCCAGCCTGTCAGGAGGCTATTTGCTTCCCTTCTGTGGCATAGCCTCGGATGGGACAACCTCCCATGGCACAGTTTCCCATGGGATAGCATCCCGATGTTCCACAGATTCACCTCCTGAAAGACACAATCCTGACCTCCGGCGGAATCATCTCACATAACAGAACCATCTAGCCTTCTGCAGGATAAACTGATACAAGGTAGCCTTCCAATGAACTATGGGATAAAATGATGATTCGCCAAAAGAAATACTTTTATAGGAGAGCATCTTCCAAAATGACCTCCTATAAGATAACTGATTAATCCCCTAAAAGAGAGGTTCCTGACCTTCTAGAGGATGAGCTCCTGTAGACAACCTCTTATACGACATGTCTACAGGCGTACCTTTTGGAAGAGAATCCCCTAGAAGACAAAATTCCACAAAGTAGCTTCCATAGAACCACCTGCTGTAGTATGAGCATGTATAGGCTAATCTCTGAGAACAAATATCTTCATGGCATGATCTCCTTCCCCTCCCACAAGCCAGCTTCCCAAGGTATGGATTGTTTGAGAAGACATTTACCAAGGTGAATAGGATATTGCTAAAATAATGAATCAGCGGCAAGCCTTGCACAGAAGCTCAAACACGACGGTGTCTATCGTATGGTCCCAGGATCTCTTTGGTCTGGGCATTTAGAATCAGTCCCTCCAGGTCAACTTGCGTTGCGGCCTGGCAAAGACCACAATTAAAAATTGAACCATCTCCATGATATTCATCCTAGAAAGGGGGAGGGAGTTGTTTTTGGACGCGGCGTTGGGGTCACTATCACTATCAGCGTAAGACTGCTTCACTGTTTTCGTTCTCGCATTCGGATGGCAGACCACCCATTCATACAGTGCTAAGCTCTCGAATATCTACCCTAGGCAGCGTCAGAAAGGCCATGAAAGAACAGAGTCATAGGCATGTGGCCTCCGACTCTTGACGCACATGCGGGCTACATAGCCCCCCCCCCCCCCCCCGGGATAGCTCCTAATGGCCCCACCCACTAGAGCAAGACTGCTTTAGACAGAGACGATGGCCCATGATCAATCAGATGAAACACCTCACGCGCGTTGAACACGGTGTTACTACGCTCAATCTCTCCTAGGAGTGCACGATCGAGAGATGCTTCAAATGCTGCAGGATGCGAGGCGATGACAACAGTCAGTTCTATACCAACTTTTAGGAGTTTATCAGGGACCCTATGCCGAAAGAGCTTTCAAAACTACTTACTTACAGAAGAACCCGTTCTCTCGACACATGGAAAATAGCTCATTGGAAAACGGCAAATTTGTAGTCGCCCTTTTCCATACATTCTCCGCTGTTGATGTGTAGCGACTTTCCATTGCAACCGACGTCCTTGTTAGCTGTGATTCAAGGCAGATAAATCATAAACCCTATTTCAGTGGGAACATGAGTGCAGATACAATAATCGAGACTCACGACAGGCGTGCAGAAAGCCAGCGGTATTATAGGAAAATGCGCCAGTCTGACCGTCGAGGTCATAGCAGTGGCCAGGTGATGGGACCGCGTGGCACAGGATGTCGCGATCCTTTTTGCGACAGCAACATGCTAGGCTTGGTGGTGGGAGGATTGATTTCCTTACCGGTCATCAGAGGTTCGGTATTTGGCTCAACTTGCGCAGCGGGTCCCCGCCGGCGACTACCTAGGTATGTTGCGGTCGTAGCCGGGTTGGGTTGGCGAAGTAATGACAAAAGAGACCGAGGAGGATGGGTGCAGCCGCGGCAAGAACGAGCCTCATGTGGAATGACGGGTTCTTGTTACGAGCTGATGGGAGGCCTACCAGGGGCCTTCGAGATTGTATATCAAGACTTGGGCACTCGATAGTGAGGATGGCCGGCCTTCATTCAAATCGGACGAGCAAAGTGCGCCATTCCCTTTTCATTTGATCGACCAAGCTGGCTCACGGCACTCTGTGGTTCTACTAGCGCTCTGATCACTGAAAGCACATGCATTTCCACATCAGGGGCATAATCAGATTGATCACAGCTAGGCTGCCGAATTGTGGTAATAGAACACCATGTACACTGAACAATGCAAATGACGTGAGTCGAGGATCCTGCACACTGGGCATGTAGAGTCTAGGGAGGCATTCATCTAAGCCAATATATTGAAGATGGATTTGTAGTAAAAGAAAAAGCTCTTGTGGTAGCCTGGGGAAAGCGGGGAATATATGTATATCGATTGGGAATTTGGTAGAATCTGACTCCACCAGCTGAGGATGATCTGCGCGCAGCGGCCGCTGCCATCCCATTACTGGCAAGAAGATTGCTAACGTAAAGTAAGCTTATGCCTCTTGTACTCGTTTGAACATGCCCAATATGGAAGAGCGACGGTCAAGATCCCCGAAGGACTATGTAACAGCCAAAGCCAGGCTTTCTGTCGATCTACACCGTTCCAAAATGTAATTCGAGCGGAATGGTCGATGAATCATTTGGAAGCCACGGAGGGCTCGACTCAGACGATGTGGTCTATGCCGCTGGGCTTATACCGGACCTACAACGCCTTCAACCTCGCCGATCTCTCCAGGCAGCATGATTGATGGAGGAAAGTTGGACAAACCACAGAAGTGAGAAGTGCTTTTGACTATGATATGATCTTTTTTCCAGCTTTTGCTACTCATTACGAGTATTATATATAGAAGGCATAAACAGGAGCTTTAGGAATGGATTTGTCTCGATTCAAGCCATCGTCTCATCAACATTCCATCCTAGTAGGTCCTCATAAATATACACCGCTACAATTTGTGTCTCTGTCCACTATCAGCCTTCTCGAAAAACTTTAAAGCGACGGGGAGGTTCATTCTGCCAGCCGCTACCTTCACCATCTCAGCCTTCGCGTTCCCGGAGCACGCATCAGGAGCCACTATGCTGGCGCAGGACCATGTCAAGCTGAACCGGTACCACACGCTCAGCGACTGGCACGTCACGGTGATACTGAAACTGCGGAAGTAGAGTGTCTAACAAAATCTATTACTCAGTGAGAACGATAGAGATATTCTATATCACGGTGCCCCAGTGTCTGGGAAGTGCTACGAACTAAACGACCAGGCCGGCCCTTTAGTTACAATAACAGAGGTTTCTGGCAGTCTTGCTGTAAACACAAGTTTTAGGCCGGATGTAAAATGCATCAGTGAATATGGAATGACACGTAGTAGACTACGACAAACACGGGTGTGATGGTACTTGACGCAAGTCCCAACGTTATGGGCTCCCAGAAATCGGTGAAGTTCACTTAGGAATGTGATATAGACAGTGTCATCGATTGGCATAGACCTGTTCCTAGTAACTCGGTCTTTTTTGTGTTGTTCAGTCGCAAGATTCGTTTTAAGCGTCGTACTTCACCCCGAAACGCTGGATATGTACCCCAAACGATATGCCTTTTACCTATTATCACTCACATCCCCTACTCATACCAAATTGCAACACCACGCATCTCAAGGCTCGCACGCGGTTCTTGTTCTTCTGGACACGATGGGTCATCAAACGCACCATGGGCAACGGCGTGCGCGACCCCCTCCTCGGTATCATTCGTCTTGAAGACAAGCACCTCGTCAGTCCGCATGTCCGAGTAATACCACCACCTCTGGCCCGCACCCTGCCGGACAACAAGGCCCTCAAACGAGTGCAGGATCCTCCCGCTGCCGTCAGGGTCGTCGAACATGGCGTCTGCGAGATGCAGGTCCCCCGGCGCCAGGCTCCGCGCGTCACACACGGCCAGCGGGACGTCCTGCGGCGGCGGGGTCAGCACGCGCCAGACGTTGAGGTGCGCGGCGCGCCTGAGCCGCCTCCCCTCGGGCACCGGCAGCCCCGCGTTCCACGCTGCCGCCGTCGAATCCGAGATGTCGACGTGCACGAACCGTGCCGGGCGGGAGTTGTTCAGCGCGCCCGAGTCGCTGCTCCGCTCCCCGAAGCGGAGCACGCCCGCGCCGCGGACCTCGACCTCGTCGGCGCCCGTGAGGCCTAGGAGGAGGTCGCGGATCTCGGGGACGTGCACGCGCCTGATCTCATCTTGGTCGCGGAAGGTTTGGACTACGCTCTTGTGGCTCACGAGGGTGAAGCCCTCGACGTCGAGGGAGGGAGGCGGGTCGAGGGCCCTTGCGTCGGAGATGGTTTGTTTGCGTTGTGTGATGTTCATCACGTCGAGGGACGTGTTGTTTGCGTGGTACTTGAAGCGGACATCTGGGAGAGGATCGCTGAAGCCGAGGGCTCCGGTGACTGAAGCCATTATCACGGCGTCGGTCAACAGTAACGCTCTAATGTCAGGGCAAAAGGCTGAAGGGATGCTTGTGTTCCGTGTGAATGAAGACGCTTGCTCGGATGGCTCGTCGTCTACTGTGTGCCGAGTCTTGTGGTGCTGTCCTCCACCCCGGCCCCGCATCGGAATGCAACATGTGAGCAGCCTCTAAGAATTGTTCGTATACTCCAATATGAGCTTAAACAGGTATGATGATATCGGTCCCAGGTGGCGAGAATTAGTCAGAGAGGATATTAATATTTACATTAAACTTTGAGGTATTAATTCTATTAATAACTAAATAAAATATAATTATTAATATAATTTTATTTTATCGTTATTTTTAATATAGTATTTAATAATATCAATAGTATAACACTCTTACTCTTAATAATGAATTATTAAGGTTATAATTTAAGTGTATGTGGCCTAGGGGTTGTGGTTAAATCGACTTAGGAATCCCCTCACTTCGGTTAAGGGTGAAGGAAACGTCTCCTTAGATCACCTTATGAAGATAAAGATAAATTAGAGTTCTCAAATGTACCGTAGGCAGCCAGTACAATATCTGAGGTGCTGGCTTTGGTTGGCTCAAAACAATCACCGCCGTGTTGGTGACGTCCTAACATTCTCCATCCTTGACCATTGTGCCCACGCCTCAGTCACACGAATCTCAGTTGCTGCTGGGGGTACCAACTGCAGGAAAGCGAGTGAGTAGTTACTCGCCAAATGGCACCCTCAAAATGCCTTCTTTTTCTGACGATTCCTGTTTCCGCAACTGTTATCACTGTATTTGCGTTTCCAAGCACCGGTTTAGCTAGAGTCGTCCAGCAACTAGCAATTGCTCGTCTACCGCAATTCAATGTTCAGCCCAGCCATCCTAATTTTGTTTGGCGTGCAGTCGGTAAAACCCGATCTAAGAAAGATCTTCTGAATGCCTTGCATAGGTGTTAGGAGTGGGACATGCAGTTGACGGCTCTCGCCGACTCCATTATTTGCAGGTGCATATGCAGTACACGTCACGGTGTGAAGTGGAATAATAGAAACTGAGCCTCGGCTTACACCTGCATCAACAAGCGCCAGCTGTGTGTGTGTGCATTTCCTGGGCTGTCCCGCGGATGGGCCATGACTATAAGATATGCCTCCGGTGCCAGTCTGAAAACTCTTGTTCATTTACTCATCATCATACAATTCATTACCGGCCGGCACAGTCGCACACAGGCCTACCTCTTACTGATCTAGCACCATTACATTCTGTCTCATCATGAACATGAACACCATGGCCAACTCTCGCCTGCCTCATTCACACCAAAAACGACATCTACCCGGCTGTCGTGTAAGCACAATAGCATGGGATGAGTGCCAGCTAGACCTTCAAAGAAATGACAGCAATGAAGGAGTCATAGTCTCCTTATGCTTTGCCGATACAGACTGGAAATGGCATGTGCAGCTGGAAACAAGCGGCGGAGAGCTTAAATGCAACCTCCAACAGCTCGAGATCTTGAGGTGGATTGTGAAGGGACATACAAAAGATACTACCATCCCCCTCAGCGACTACTACATACAGTACGTGCCGCAGAGACGATATGCTTGCCTCTTTCCGCACCAGGCTCATGAAGCGCACGATGTTTCGGAGATCATCCAAGGGATGACTACTGTGGAGCTGAAGGAACTAGGTGAAGAAGCGAACAGAGATTCCCTCATGCTTCTCTGCCCAGTGCCGGCCTCTCACTGCGCGAAGCTGTCACATGCAGATGTCGAAGAGGAGGTGCACAGCCTAGCCATGCATTGGCCATCAAGACAAGTCATTTGCGATATAGCCGTGAACGGCATGGTCGACATTAGCCCAGTTGCTATTTGCCAAAACAGCCATAGACGACATGGGTGTACGGTCCTCGAGAAGGGTCCGACAGCAGCTGGAAGCCCACGGGCGGAGATCAAACTACATTCACTGTTGGCTAAAATGGACGATCAAGTTGACCGTATAATCTACAAAGGAAGGAACCCCCAGACGAACCCCCAGCTGGCTCTGCATGAGTCTTGGTGCAGCGATATCCGCTCAGCAGCCCAAGACGTAGTGCTCCAGTGTCAGCATAGAGTTGCCAGCTCTCATCCAACCAGACTATATGATGCCCACGATGGATCCATCAAATCTGGTATCCAGCCAAAGCACTATCTAGCCTTGTCGTACTGCTGGGAAGAGTGGCCAGAGAACAGCGGCCTGAAAATGAAGCTTCGGAAGCTGTCCCAGAGGCTCGGCGTCCGATACTTCTGGGTCGACAGACTGTGCATAGTCCAAAGGAATGATGCGGATAAAGAATTGGAGATCCCTCGAATGCGGGAGTACTACACAGGAGCGAGTGGTTGCGTGGTTCTGTGTGGACCTGGCGTTCAAACGTTCGAGTGTCTGCCCCAACACAGTGGCGCGATCCTGTCTGCATACCAGCAGGTGCAACAGAACTCGGCAGCTCTGAAATCGCTATTCAGCTGCAAGTGGGCCACCAGAGTATGGACTCTTCAGGAAGCATTACTCTCACGCCAGGTCGTGTACGCCATCGAGGATCAATTGGTCGATGGAGACTATATATCGGAGTTGGTTTCATTCGTGGAGACATTTTCTGAGAGATATACGGGTGATCCCACAGACCCCGAATGGGTAGGTGGATGGGGGTCTTACCGTTGGAACGCGAGAGCTCCGACGGTCGTTCCCCCTCGGCAGTTCAGAAGGCAAGACGGGGAAAACGGAACGGAGATTTTCAGCATCTTAAGGACCGTCTTCGGTGGCGAACAGCAGTACCAGGAGCTAGATTCGGCTGGCGAGATCCTCATGCCCTTTGAGCAGGCCTTGACCATGATCACGGACAGGCATGCTTCAAGGGATGAGGACCATATATACGGTCTCCTCGGACTATGCGACAGAGGGGACAGTATTAATGTCGAGTACAACATCAGCTGGCGCACAATGCTGGAGAAACTGAGGAGGGCTGGGATGATCACTGAGCGACAACTTGCCTCATCCACAATCAATGATCTCCCCGGACTGAGCTGGCTTCCCAAATGCGACTCTGGATACGGCCCCTTCAAGAACTTGGAAAGGATCTCCGCATTTGTCCGTGGAAGGGAGCTTTCATGGTCAGAAGAGGGGGCGACAGTTTTTGGAGCCGTGTTTGAATGGAAGAACTACAAGTGCAAAGAGTGGGATATTCTCAATGTGCATGGCATGACTTGTTTTCTTGTCTACGGTACAATAGAGTTCCCAGACACGCCGGGACTTGTCATCCAAGTTGGCGGGACGAGCTCTGTCAAGTTCACGGAGGAGAGAATGCGTGGTACGCATGTGATTCTCTGTCGCGACGTTATTGACACCACTCGTGAGGTCGTGGCTATTAAGGTTGGGGGTGATATTGAGACGGGGCATGTGTATAAGGTGGATGGCTACGTATTGGAGCTCCATGAATGGGTTATGGGTGATCCGAGCATGTTGGATGGGAGGCAGTGGATTGTGGGCAGCGTACCTGGGGATGGGACTCACCAGCAAACGCTCTATACAGCTCGATAATTCTCCTGACCTGGCCTTGTCCTCATAGTTTTCAGCTAATCCAGAAGTCAATAGATCAGTGCAGGTGATGTGCACCGCTTGCATGTGAATCCGTCCGCCACAATCCATATCGTAATTGTGTACATCTCGGGAGTTTGACGTCAGTGTCTGGTGACGTCGATGTCTCTGCAGTCATGGGCCCTCGGCGCCTTCATCCCAAATAGAATACGAATACTTGCGGGTGTGCGCTCGTGTTCGTTCAGCATCGGCCTGACGTGTTCTGCCGTCTTGTCGGCCCGTCATTGCCACCAATTTTTGATCATCCCGACGAGAAGGTTTGAAATTGCCGTATGTGCTATCTTGTCGGCCGTTAGTATGTCGCGGCGTTTATGCCAGCTTTTGTGAGCTCATAAGAAAGCTGTATGGTGGCGAGTAGTATGTCGTGATGTACATCATCACCCACGTAGAACAGCGAGGCTTTCGTAGAATGACTACGAACGCCGAATTAGTTTGAATTTGTTGATCAGACGTCAGAGGCCCGTCAGTCAAACGATGTCGTCAACATCTGCGATACTGCGATACTAGCATTATGGTCGAGTTCCGTACAAGCCGATTGCACGTATCACTTGGCCTTCAGTGTTCGCTCGGTCGTTGTACTAGTAGTCTGGGATCCCTCGAAGAAAGCTTTACTGAAATCTGCGTTGGGTAGCACGTAGAATGAGAACCCTTTTGGTGCATATGTGGTATCTAGGTAGAGACGTGTCAGTGTTTGACTCCTTTTTTCGTACAGCTGGGTGCGCTTACCATTCGTGCCAACACTGTGCTGTGAATTTGGCCGCCGAGTATGCCCCTTCTTCTGGCTCTCTGTCATCTCTGCTCGGTTTGAGGCCAATATTGACCGCAATTTACTAATTTGTAACGCCCAAACGCCCAAGTCATTAACCAGCCTTGGAATTTCTACGCCGCCGAGCCACAACAGACTCGTCCAATCGCATTTCATGCAGCCAAAACACATCATGGATGTCGGGATCCTCGATAAAGCCATTGAATGGGCTCCACAGTGAAAACTACAAGGTGTCTACAGATGCAATTAGATCTATCCCGACTGTGAAGCTGAATTAATAGACATGTCCTCGTGGACTGTCTTGACGACGGATAATATGAGTTAGGATGAGCACATTCTAAAAGACATAGACTGCCGCCATACTCGTTAAGGTAAAATCGGACGACAACCATCCGCTCTCTGCCCAAGAATTTTGCTTCTCAAAGCGTGAATAGTCACTCCATCATCGTGGCTGCATCGTCAGTGAGACAGGAGGAGCAATATTGCGCCACCAGCCCAAAGAGAAATTGCCGAGGTCCAACTGATGTCCTCTTGGGATGTAAGACAAGAGGCGCATAGATAGGTGGATCCCAAGCCAAGCGGGTGGGGCAAGTATATGCCGTCAGGTAGTTTCCATGCACCGACATGTGCCCAAATCGCAACCCTCCCATCCACAGCTGCCAGGACCCCGTTCTGTATGATCACCATTGTGGAGTCGGCAGCCGTGTTCTTCACCCGTGCCGCTACTACTAGACTTGGCGCCGCCGTCAGCCCACGTTCTTTTTTTTGCCCTCCAAGCTCCCCTCCAGTGCGCAGCCTGGGCTTAGCACGTTTCGAGGCTGCCCCGGGACCCGCCCGGCTGGGCCGCTGGTGGTCGCACGCATGGGAATTCTTCTTTGATGCTCTGCGCTAGGAGGCAACCGGTCTAGTTGGGTTATGTGGAGCCCCCCGGATCACCAGCTTGCATGGGGGAATGCGGAGCGAGGGCCCGCAGACCTCAGACTTGCTAGTATTATTCTCCGCAGGCCTGTTGGTGCAGGCCTGGGGTTTTGGCTAGCAACAAGGGCCGCTCGATCAATACATGAGTATGTGTAGTGGTCGATCGAAGTGTGTCTGGTGCCAGATTCATGCCTTGTGCCGCCTCTACACCCTCAACTGCCATTTATGAGGTCATTAATGTGTCTGGATCTATGGGGATGGAGGGGCGGGTTGTGATCAGAGATCTAGCCGTTATCCGTTCGCGCAAGTGCTCTAAACCATTCGAACTGTTAAAGCACCAATGAGAGAACTGACGGAAAGGGTGGGAATGGTGTCATTGAGACTTGAGACGAGGAGGATACGTCAGTGGATAGCAGCCCGCGTCAAAAGTGACATTGTATTGCCAGTTGCGTGTGTAGCGCTGTTTCCTTTACACGGCTGTGGGGTTGGACGGCTTCTAGGCCGTGCTGTCGAAGGAATGTCTGCCGAGCAGGTTTATTCTTGGTGTGCCCTTGAGGAACACGCCAAGGCACCTCAAGTGCGAGGCTGGATCGTCCTCGCGATGGCCGAATAGTCCAAGGAACCGTTTCGTTTCGACAGCCAGGCTGGTAGGACGGCACCAGCCACTCGTGACATCTTCTGGATCGGGACAAGTTAGCGGCTTTTGCATAGTTCGGCTGGATCTTGGCACCTCTCCGACTTTCTGGGACAATGCCGGGCTTCGTCTTCGTCTTTTTCGTGGTGGCACTGGTGGTGGTATCCACACGTGTCAAGTAGGGGGGCGTCAGGAGTGCGTGCGATGTTTCGGGTCGGGACATTGTCCAAATTCGGTTTTCGTCCCAACATTTTCTCACCAGTCAAACCGATTGGTCTTGCGAGCATGTCTACATGAACCGACTGTCAACTTGGTCATCTGAAGTCTTGTAGAACATCTTTAGAACGAACATGTCTGCTGGCGGTATAAAGGGTAGCGAACGCCACCCGCCGTTACTCAAATGGAAGATTCTTCGGATCACTGACGAGCAGAATACTCATTGAACTATATATTGGCCGGGCCCTTTTCACTTCATCTTCAATCTATACATTGGCCGGACCCCTTTCACTTCATATTCAGAAGCAGCCCTCCCCAATCTGGCAATCATAACCAAATATCACGACCAACCACGTACACAATGAAGTGCACCGTCCTGAGCGTTCTTGTCGGCGTCACCGCCGTTGCCGCAGCCCCCAGGGACTATTCCAGCCTCGAGGCTCGTCAACTTGGAATAGTTGCCAACGACGTCAAGGATGGTAACTGCAAACCGGTCACTTTCATCATGGCCCGTGGCTCCACCGAGACCTCGAACATGGTAAGACACATTCCTCTCGGGAGACTGGCGGGGCATGGTGACGATGGCTAACGCAGGCACTTCACAGGGCACCATCGTCGGCCCACCAACATGCGCAGCACTCAAGGCCAACCTCGGCGCCGACCAGGTGGCCTGCCAGGGCATAGGCACAGAGGACGGCTACGCAGCCGGCCTGGCGCCCAACTTCCAGCCCAAGAACACCGACGCCCAGTCCATCAAGGCCGCGCTCGACATCATGGACCTCACCATGTCCAAGTGCCCGGACACGACCGTCGTCATGGGCGGCTACAGCCAGGGCTCCGCCGTCATCGACAACGCCATCCAGGCGATGCCCGCCGCGCAGCAGGCCAAGGTCGCCGGCGTCGTCGTCTGGGGCTTCACCCGCGCCGCGCAGGACAACCGCCAGATCCCCGGGTACCCCGCCGCCCAGACCAAGGTCTTTTGCGCCCCGGGCGATCTCGTCTGCAACAACACCCTCACCATCACCGCGGCCCACCTGTCGTACGGCGTCAACGCCCCCGAGTCCGGGGCCTTCCTCGCCCAGATGGCCAAGAAGGCCATGGCTAGCGGAGGAGCTGCCGCGGGTGCCGCCGCGGGCGGTGCGGCCGGGGCTGCCGCAGGTGGTGCTGCCGGAGGGGCTGCCGGGGCCGCGGCCGGAGGGGCTGCCGGGGCTGCGGGCGGTGCGGCTGGAGGGGCTGCAGGCGGTGCGGCCCCTGGCTTCGGTGGCCTCTTTGGCGGACTCTTCGGCAAGTAAGCTGGAGGGGGAGGCATTGAGATGCAAGACACGGGCAAGGGGCCATTCTCTTTTGTCGAACAATACGATCACCGCACTTGATGTGCGATACGCTTCACATGCACATGTTCCGAAGGTTGCACATATATCCATCTCGTTGTTCAATTCTTTGTTGATACCTACGTATTACGATCCTGTATGTATCATGGCATTTTCAGCGAAGCGGAATCAGTATTTGCCTTTTTAGACGCGAAAAATAGGAAGGATTAATATCGATGACAAAGTCCTCATTGCTAACTATGTTAACTGGATTCTGCCTACATCGTTTGTCATAACACCGTGTGTAACCGATGGCAGGCCATGAATTTGCCAGTCAATTTATCCGAGGTTGTCTCTTTCGCACTGACAAAATGGACCAATAATAGAGTAGTGTTACAGCCTAGAGCCGCCCGAACCTGTCAGGTCATCTTCTTGGGATAAGAACCAGTTGATGCGTCAGTCAGGGTCCTGTCTGGCTCTGCTGCCGCAGGGTTTCATCCGAATCGCCTCCTCGAAAGGAGGCTAGCCGTCTCGGGGCCTGGTACGACACAAGGTCGTCAGTGCCGCAGAGTAACATTTTGCGGTAAGACCCGTCGACATGTTGAATGAGGCCAGCATGGGACCACCGTTCGTTTCGCCTGTCCTCGCTTGTGGGCCCCCCCTGCATCGCGCGTGTTGAGGGCATGACGTCTGGCAGGGTCGCATTACGCCCAACGAACTTGAGATGGGCGTGCATGATGTCCTGCAGCGTAAATCGGAAAACGTTGATTGCCGCTGCCGATGCTTTCTTTCCTGGTTGAGTCGCCTGCACGCTGTGTCGATCATAAAATAAGATGCTAAGGCCAAGGTGTAGATGGTTTTGGCTTGTGTCGTCAAGCTCACCGATAGGTCGCGGCAATCTGAAACGTGGGAGCGTAAACTCAACTGAACAAACATTTCGCTGCACAACATGCTGCAAGGCGTCTCTGGTGGAATGTTCGACTCAGTGCGACGCTATCCTTCAATTTTATGTTTTAGAAATGTTGGAAGGCTGCATCATCGTGGGGTGACCCTTGTTACTGACAATGTCTCTGCCGCGCGGAAAACTTTGACTGCCGACCCGGATGCTGACGATGGATATAGCAGTATTGCGAGGCACGGGCATTAGGCATCACGGCTGGGCTGCCTTCAGCCCTGGGCAAAGTAAATATGCGTACCCGTCGTTAAAGACCGCCGCGAGGACGCTGTACGCATGGAGTGCTTGTCCATCAGTTGCCGAACAGACTTGGCGGACGGATAACTTCAACGCCGTCACGTACTGTAGAAGAAGGCTCCGTCCTGGACCCTGCCACCTTAGACTTTCGCTCCCTCTAGGCGGGCAGCCCACAGAAGCTCAAGTCGTTGCCCGTCAAGAACCCCTGCGGCGATCAAAGGGCAGTGCTACGGTCCAAAGCGTGTGGGCCCATCCTGGCGGACATCAAAAATGCCGCTTTGGGAATTGGTGCAATGCGCCGGTCTGTGAAGATCATTGATGATCTCACTTACCCAATCTCTTGGTTCTATAATCACCCAGCCGGAGGCCACGAACGGTCGGCTGTTTATTGCTTTGCTTTGTCGTCGCGTACTTAGCCAGTAAGAACACCAAGGAAGATCTGTCTCTTATTATCCAGGAAGCCAAGTGATAGTATCCCGTAGGCCATCATATCCGTGTGTCACGGTTTTCTAGGTCTTCAGGAAGCCTCATTTTTCTGTGCATTTTCCATTATGCTAGATATACTGTTGCAAGACAGAGAACTCCACACCAATCCATGTCCGAGTCGTTTATTAAAATCCCACCCAAAGCCTCTATCCCAAACATAGGAGGCCACTGTTCCAGCAAGTACTAACAAAAGCACATTCCATGTGACTTCATTCTTCATAATAAGGCTGGCTCTCTTGCCCCACCTAGGCCTTCCTCCGCGTAAAGACAAGATCTAGCTTAGGCACACCCCTCGTGAAATGGTCCAGCATCCCCCCGGTAAAGTCCTCAGGCTTCTGCCCTGGCGCAAAAGCAACATCATACCCGTGAGCAATCAGCGCCGCCACACGCCTCAGGTTCATCAGCGCGAGCTGCTTCCCGGGGCACGAGAAACGCCCCGCCGAGAACGGCATGTGCGCGGACGCGTCGACGACCAGCTCGCCGCGCCGCGTCGTCCAGCGCTCCGGGATGAACTCGTCCGGCCTCACGAACGCGCGCGGGTCCCGCATGATGAGGTTGTTCGCCGTCCGCACGTTCACGTCGCCCGGGATCCAGCGCCCGCCGACCCAGAGGCCCTCGGGGGGCGTCTGGCGCGGGAGCCCGGACGGGTTGGGGTTGATGTACCGGAGGGACTCGTCGATGCAGGCTTGCAGGTACTCAAGCTTGGACAGCGCGGAGTTCTCCACGGCGTCGGGGGATGGGGCGCCTTGCTGCCGCATGAAGGTGTCCACCTCCTCTTGGAGCTTTCGGTAGGTGGGTGGGTGGCAGGCAAAGTTGTAGAAGAGGATCGTCAGGCTCAGCCGTGTTGTCTCGCTCCCGGCGACGACTATCAAGCCCACGTCGGACTTGGCGTTGGTTGTCTCCTGTTCTGTAGGGTTCGTGATCTTGCGGTAGTCTTGCACGATCCACTCAAAGATATCGGGCTCTTTTGGTTCGCTCCGGAACCGCTTCCAGAACATCCCAGCCTGAAACTCGTCAAATTCGTTCGACTCCCTGTTCAGGATCGGGATGCGCTTGATAATTGGGAACAGCCACGGTATGGGGCCGAAGATTGATATCATCGGCAGGAACCGGGCTGTTGTCTTGTAATAGTAGTCCTCCTCGTTCCTGTCCATCAGCTTGAAGCCCTCGCCAAAGGCCAATTCGCCCATGAGATCGAATCCCCAAAAGCCAAACCATTGCGATACATTGAATGGCCGGTCCTGGTTGTTTTTGATGCCCCCCATCAGTTGTGCGACGAGGCGGTTTACTCGGTCCTCGTAGCGGCTAAGAGCTGTAGTGACAAGTCAGTATATCGAATCAGGCATTACCTAGGTAGATGGATTCCGTGCAGAAATTCGACTCCTAACCTTTGCTGCTAAAAGCTTGGTCCCAGGGCTTGCGCCGTAGCGAATAAACTTGGCGGTCCCTCTCCGTTTGCAGGCTGACTCCGGGATATAGCATGTCATACCAAACTGATTTCGTACACGCCGTCCGCTTCGTGTTGGTACCATGAATTGCCACCATTGCCCTAGGATCTGCGACCGATAACTCCTGAGGGCCTATCCTCACTATATCACCATATTTCTTGTGCAGAACCTCGATCTCGTCACTGATCCGCAGGTTTTTGGCAGCGAGGGAGGTCTGGTAGAATTGAGAAAGCCGAGCCACAAAGGGGCCCGAAAATCCTTGCCGAGTAAGGCGGTGGAAGAACGCGCGATAGACAAGCATGCTTGACCATACTCCGGACACGAGGCCTGCTACCAGGCAGGAGGCAGCGCTCGCATCTTGAGCCCACCCTTTCCCAGGAATAGTGAGATGTACACCGACAACGATGAGCAGTAGGACGGCCAGTATATGGATGAACTTGAACTTGTAAACAAACAGGTGCCATTCCCCGTGTCGGAAGAGCACCACATGTAGCCCGATGCCAACAATCACCGAGGCCAGTCCCAGTTGGAGATCCATTTTCGTGTCGGGTTCCTGTATGTGGCGGTCATGAGGTAATTCTTCAAATACTACCTATATGTGTAGTTAGGTATAGAATTTCCGACTTTGGGACTGGTCCGGACCCTATCAAAAAAGCTGCAAGTCTAAATAATAAATCGGTCGAGACCGACTGGAATCCAAGGGACCCGGAACGGCCGGCCACGTGGGATTGTGCGAGCTATGAGCTTCATCAGGGACTTGTAAGACCTAGTGATTCAAGGAATCGTTGGACACGCTAGATCTACCCAACAAGATACGATCTGCCCCGGTTGGTTCTGAGGCTTTCTCCGTGCATATGTATGTGCGGTCTTTCTGAGATTCCGTACATTATGCAGCCAATCTTCTCCCTGTCTGCCCAGGTGGACCAACTGGAATTCCGACGCCCGGAGTCGCTTCTCACCTTAAATTGAGGTGGATCTGATCTTGCTCGCTGCGGTGAAGTTGCTGACCAACTGACAAGCCAATGCTTACTCGCAGCTGCCACATTTCCTTGCCAAGTAATTGTGGCATTTCCCCTTTTCGTGTACCAGCACTCAGCTGACTAGAGGGATATCGCCAAGTTCGTGAGCAAGGGGCTGGGACCCTCATCTCACAGGGAACCTTGCGTTTGATAAACCAGTGGGGTTAGATCTGGGAAAGCCTTAGACGCCCTTCGGCGCACATATGTAGTATCTCACTGCACAACACAACACGCCTCGCTTCTTGGGTACCAAGGTAGTCAAGTCCTGCCAGTGTGACCCGAAGTTTTGCAGCGCCAGGCCATTTAGAAACACTTCAGACACCTAAGCAGTTAAAGTAGGCGTCCCCGCCAGTTTCCAAGGTTCTCAGATCAACTGTTCCCACTCTTGAGACGGATTCTGCCGTAGCACCCACCAAAAATTGACACACCAGCTGCGATTAGAAGTTAAACCAACCATATGCTCTCGTCCATAACTACCGCAGTCTTCTTGTTTAGTAGCACGGTGACCTTCTCTTTCCTCGACCCGGGTACCACACGAGCATCTTATTACCTGTACCGTCATCGAGTCACCATATGATAACGCAACCAACATGACCTAATCTGTCTGAATCGGAGTCGATAGCAGCCGCCGTGTCACCCTGCCTCGTCGAGAGCTGCCGCACAGCCGACGTGCTTCAAACCCAACGGCACGCGTCAGTCGCGTGCGGCGCCCCGTCACGCGGCGGTTCGAGGTTGCCATGTGGACCATTTCCCCGTTCTCGCTGGTGTCCGTCCAGGTGCCCCGCCTCGTATCGCGGACGCCGTACTTTGGCGGCCGGCTGGGCTGGGACGAGTGGTCGGTCCTCGTCCTTGGGGGTCTGTTGGTGTTACCGCTCGATATCACAAGTCCACTACCTGGTCCGGTCCGGTATGGGCTAAGTCGGGATAATCTGGATGCTGGAGGAGCATCTGTTTCTTTGAGTACATGCTCACCAGTCATGCTAATATGTGTCAGCTGTACTTGGCGGGCGAGCTGCTCTATCTGCTGGCGGTTCTAGGTATATTTCCTCATTGCGCTGTCGGCCGGGTACGGAGCCTCCTTTATCATAGCAGCATTGGCCCGCCTGCCAACCCAAAACCCATGTCGTACCAGTTTCACAGGTGCCAAGCGGAAGCAGACTGGACTTGCATCGACATCACCAAAGAAGTCTTCGCATCAGCCGTCATCAACATCGTTCTTGACGGTGCCATCACGCCTTTTCCCAAAGTACAGATGTAGAGATCCCCGTTGTTTACCCCCAACCCCCCCAGGGGCACCACCAGCTCTATTGTTAAGCGTAGCGAGGAGTTGTCCTGGAGAGAAGCGGAAGGGCAACGACGAGCGGAGCTTTCTCTATTACTGTACAATCCAACAAAATATTGCTCGAATGGGGATTAGTTAGAATTTGAATCTCATATACGGATTGGTTAATTAATGTATCTTTATATATACTATACATTAAGTACCTAAGTTATAGTGTTAAGGAAGGAGCAGCTCCCACTCCCACCCAGCTCCCTTCCGCTTCACCCCAGGACAACTCCTCGCTACACTTATTCCTTAGCCAAGCAAAGCATTCGGGTACACGTATTTTAAACTTTTCCCATTCCTATTTTGACGAACGGATATAGTTCGAAGCTGACATGACCCAGACGAGGTAGCTGCTGGCCAGCTCCATGTGTCTCGCCGGCCTCACGGGGACCCGCATCGCGTGCTTCGTCGTCTTTCACGACACCTCGGAGGACAACTTCACATGTGAATGGCCGCGGTGACTTTCTGCGTTTATCCGATCCAAAAGCGTCTACCTAGGTACCTAGTATAGGCCAACCACACCTACTAGCCCTCCCCCCTCCGTACCAAGAAAGAGGAAGAGAAAATAAGGACAACAGATACGCGCCTCAGTCCAAGCAATACCTCCCTCCTCCGTCGGCTAACAGCACGAGGGGGGTGGATATACCGGCAGGGCGATGTAATCAGTTGGTGGACCTCGAATTACTTTACGGCATGATCACATATATCTTTATCAGTCAGATCTTGGCAGACAGATTAGTGCATGGTGGCTTCTCCTATGACACGCAAGACCTTGACCACGGCCGGAACCAGTTAGTTGGTTAAATACCTACCTACATTGATGAACCCAACGCGCTTAATCATGCACCCAGCCCTGCGAACGGCCCGTCGCTTCCAAGTGAAACCCCAGATCAAGTTATACAGCGGCTTCTAAACAGAGTATGCAAAAAAAGAAAAAATGCTAGGGTATATATGTGCAAAACTATTGACACTGTTCCACCCTCCCCCCGAATCCCGCGGTCATGAAGCCACAGATGGTTGTCCCTCCCCCTTTACCTGCCCAACCCCAGCTTCTCCGTGCTGCCCGGGGCCCAGCGCCGCGCCGTTGCCCTTCGCACCAACCGCCGGCGTCTTCCCAGCCCCAGCCCCAGCCGCCTCCCCCTTCTTCTCCCCAACAAGCCAGACAGCAGCAGCATACGCCAGCCCGATACCGACAGTAACAAGGTCGAGCGCGTGGATGCCCCACCAGACGTACTGCGTCCCCAGCGCGCAGTTGTCAAACTCGAACCGCCACCCCCACTCGTCCTCGTCGAACCACGCGCTCAGCAGGCCCGCGTTGCCGCCGTAGCCGCCCATCATGCTGCGGACGGTGAGCTCCCGGAGCCCGGGGAGCCGCGGGTGGGAGGGGAGCCCTGCGGCGGCGGCCTCGGGGAAGCGGCGGACCTCCCACTCTGCCGGGTGGTGGTCGGCGGTCTGGTTGATGAAGTGGTACGTGTCGCAGCCCTCGTGGTCGTGGCCGTTGAGCACGACCCCGCGCCTCCCCATGCCGCCGCCCGGGGCGCCCGGGTCGCCGCTCAGGCCGAAGACGCCCTCGACGATGCCGCGCGAGGCGTCGGCGGACAGCTGGTTCTGCTCGCGCAGGGAGCCGTCGCCCTCGTGGAAGGTGAAGAGCGGGGCGTCGGCGCAGACGCCCTCGGGCTTGTACAGCGGGACGTGGGTCAGCAGCACCGTGGCGTGGCCCCTGAACTCGACGGCCGTGGCGGTGTCGATGATGCCGTTGACGAAGCGGTAGGTCTGGTCCTGCAGGTCAGCCGAGACGGCGGGCGTGTCGAGGTTCATGTCGTTGAGGACGACCACGCGCAGCTCGGGGACCAGGCGGTCCGCCTGGCCGTTGTCGGTGTCGTTGCGGATGGTGCCCGCGCCGGCGGGGGACAGCAGCGCGGCGGGCAGCTCGAAGCGCAGCTCGTAGTTTGCCCTCCCGAAGGCGCGCTCGAAGCGGTCCATGCGCTCGGGGGTCAGGTCGCCCGCGTAGCCGATGTCGTGGTTGCCGGCGACGTTGAGGAGGCGCCGCCGCCACGTCTCGTCGTAGAGGGCCTTGCCCAGGTGCCCGTCCAGGTCGTACTCGGCGGCCGGCCACGTTGCGCTCTCGTCGGGCACGCGCTGGGCGCCGCTGAAGGCACGGTTCCAGTAGCGCCATGCCCTGCGCTCGAACTCGGCGTCCGAGATCCACTGGCTCCCGACCAGGTCGCCCAGGACGGCGGTGTGTGTTGGGACGGCCCACCAGCTGAGGGTTCGGTACATGTGCGCGAGGTAGAGGTCGTTGCCCCACAGGTCGATCCTCTTGCGCACGCTCTCGAAGGTGTTGGGGATGTCGTCGAACCAGAAGTCGACGAGGTCGTGGAAGGCCTGTTTCTTGCTCGACCGGAAGGAAGGGTGGTCGTCGGTGCGGGAGACGAGGAGGGAGTAGAAGCTCTTGAGGTGTGGGAACGAGGACTCGGCGTAGTAGTTGGGGATGGACGTGTCGCCCTCGAGCTGCGGGTCGCCGAGCGCCAGCAGCCGGAAGGGGGCTACTCGCAGCGGTCTGATGTGGCCGTTGGCATCTTCGACTCGTGTCGTCGTGGCAGACTCGGCGAAGGGTAGGTGGAGCTTTGCCGTCTCGAGGAACGCAGCCAGCCGGCCATTGCCACCGATGGGTGAGCTCGACGCACTGGATTGCGGCAGTGGGAAGGCGCAGGTGAGAAAGGCAGGATACAAGTACAGGTAGGTGGTCAGGAGCAGGCTCAGGGCCAGCGAGGCGTGGAAGGCGAGTCGCAGGCCATTGCGAAGTAGCGCCAGCTGAAACGAGGATAACATCAAGTTCGGATCGAACGCCACCGCGACATGGAGAAGAAGGAGAAGGACAAGAACAACAACAACAAGAATAGAAGGACCAAGAAGTGGTGGTTTGGATCGGGATCAAGGTCGACAAAGACAGGCCGTGGAGCCGAGGGAAAATGGAAAAGGGAAAATAATCGAGGCTCCTTTTTGTCGCATGCCCGACGCTTTGGTTGGTGTCGCTCGGCTGTCCTGACAGGCAGGGGCCAGTGCGCCCATGACAGGGATCCTGCCGACGGGTAGGGCCCCCCTGGTACCTGCAGCCCGGTACTGAGTACTGTACTGACTAAGTACCTAGGTACCGAGGTACTGTGTAGATGCAGTACCGGACCCCTTTCTTTGTGCAGCAAGCCTTCGTCGTGCTCCTGATCTTCTGTATTAGTTGAATGACTGCTACCGAGACTTGATACGGCCACTGTGTGTGGTCTGCTACTAATACCTACAAAAAGCACTTCCATATATCGACCACCCAAATCTGCTTCACAAGATTATTTACTCGTGTGACGTCGAGACATCCGGGGAAAAAGCATCTTCACAATTGCATCCTTACCACCATCTACATTCTCCTGTTCTCTTGGATCTATCTAATCACGAACCTTCCAAGCTGGACTTGTCTTGTCAGCCAGCCGCTAGGTGACCTTCAAGGTTTGCCAACTTCCCCAATTGCACCTCCAAATTAATCACTAGGTCATGATATAAGTGCGCCCTAGAGCCCACCTGCAAGAGCTGGATAATTCGGAGCCAGCGTCCACACACCCAGCAAGTCAGTCCACACACCCAGCATTTTCCGTTAACATACCCAGTACCTAGTTTTAAGCGTAGAGCCTATATAAAACTATATACCTAATTAGGATTCTCTAAATTTTCAGTACTTTAAATATAAGCCCCTTTTAAACCCCTTCTAGTACACCTTCTAGCACACCTTCTAGCATGCCTTCTAGCACACCTTTTAACACGCCTTCTAATATACCTTCTAGCCCTCTAGCCCACCTTCTAGCGCCCCTTTACCTTTAGGTATTAACTCTCTATTTAGGTACTAACTAAATATTTAAATACTAATTAAACGTTAAAAAGCTAGAAGTTTAAAAGGTTAGAAGGTTAAAAGAAGTATTAAAAAGTTAGAAAGAATATATTCTTTACTTTTATTTTCTTACTCTTTAATATTTAATTAATATTTAATTAATATTTAAATACTTAGTTAACACTTAAATAAGAAGTTAATACCTAAAAGTATATAAGTTAAAAGGGGTGCTAGAAGGAGTATTAAAAGGGGTGTTAAAAAGAGTGTTAAAAGGTATATTAAAAAGGGTGTAGAAGAAGCTTATATTTAAAATATTAAAAATTAGAGAAAAAGCTTATATTATAAGGTTACTTAGTGCTAACTTAGAAGGTACTTATAAATATAAAGGAGTTATTAAGAAAAGTAGGTACTAAGTGTGTAGAAAGAAATTACTAGGTATGTAGACTAACTTACTGGGTGTGTGGACGTTGGCTTGATAATTCGGAACTCGGTGTGTGTTGTTCGATGTTTCGACAGGGCGGGCGTAGTTAGATGAGCCTCCTTGGCTCTTGCCGGGCCCGTCTTCCTCTTCCCAACTCGAATAATCATGTCTCAACAGACTTCTGCTTCAGTCTAGAGCACTAGTCTCAAGTATGAGGCAAACTGCCTAGTGTTGCAGTTGAGTCAGCACGGGTATGCACATGTAATTACAGCGCACAAGCATCCCGAAGTTTTCCCTGTCCTTGAGAAGTTGATTGGCCCTGGTTAGCTATGAGGTAGTTGCCACCCAGCCTCTCTGCTAAAAGTACTTTCGAGCAAACAGTGGGTGCTCTCCAGGATTCTTGTAGATCTGTAGACGACGGCCAAATTAGAAGGAGAGATACTGCTGACTAACTCCATGCACTTGCAAGGAAAACTTCGGGATGCTTGTGCGCTGTATCGGTGGGGGATCGCCGGTGACATCATGGCCAGACGCGTCAATGTCTAAGTACACACGTATAGAACCACGGCGGCCCGTATATATACATCATCGCCTCATCATGATTGGTATGGCCAGAGTGTTAGCATTTGTTACTGTAACTATGATCCTCCATTTGTAAGACATAGTATATTCTCGCCACCTCGCACCTGCTACAACATTTACCACATGCGTGCGTGGTCGTGGTCATGGTTATCTAACTGCTCCTCTTCACGCATTACTAGTATCTACCATGTGTCCAACATCATATCGGAACAAATTCAACCACCATAATAAGCTATATTTTCACACGCCTACATACCTAGGCACATACTTGACATATATACGGATTACACCAACACACCAACACGATACCCAATAGGAACAGACAGGTGCAACACACTAGACTGCAACATACTTAACTTATAACTTAAAAGCATCACTTACCACACACACACACACACAATGGCAACACACACCCCACAACCAACCCCCCTCGACGTCGACCCCTCCAGCCTGCCCCTCTCCCTGGCCACCTGCTCGATCGGGCTGCCCAGGCACACCCTGCACCAGAAGCTCGAGGCCATCTCGCACGCCGGGTTCGGCGGCATCGAGCTCTCCCTCCCGGACCTCGTCACCCACGCCGAGGAGCTCGTCAGGCTGGGGCGGATCAAGCAGGGAGACACCACCACCACCAGCAGCAGCAGCGACAAAGACAAGGACAAGACCGTCCGCGTCGCACAAGACGACTGGCCCGCCCTCCGCGAGGCAGCAACCTCGGCAGCCCACCTCTGCGCAACCCACAACCTGCGCATCATCCTCCTGCAGCCCTTCGCCAACCTAGAGGGCTGGCCCCGCGGCAGCCCGCAGCGCGACGCGGCGTTCGCCCGCGCGCGCGGGTGGCTCGGCATCATGGAGGCGGCGGGGTGCGACACGCTGCAGGTGGGCAGCACCGACGCCGCGGCGCCATCGACCACGGCGGACCGCGGGCTCCTCGCCGCCGACCTCGCCGAGCTCGCCGACCTGCTGCGGCCCGCGGGCCGCCGCGTCGCCTACGAGAACTGGTGCTGGGCCACGCGCGCCCCCGGGTGGCGCGACGCGTGGGAGCTCGTGCGCCTCGCGGGGAGGGACAACGTCGGCCTGTGCCTGGACACGTTCCAGTCTGCCGGCGGGGAGTGGGGGGACCCGACGGCGGCGTCCGGGCGGCGGCTGGGGGGTGACGAGGTGGGCGAGGGCGATGCCGAGGCCGCGTGGCAGGCCGGCCTGCGCGAGCTGGCGGCGACCGTCCCCGCGGACAAGATCTACCTCCTGCAGGTGAGCGACGCGTACCGCGCGGACCCGCCCCTCTCGCCCGACGACGACGACGACGACGACAACAAGACGGGGCTGCGGCCCCGGGCCCGGTGGAGCCACGACTGCCGGCCGCTGCCGTACGACGACGGCGGCTACCTCCCCGTCGCGGACTTCACGCGCGCCGTGCTGGGGACGGGGTTCCGCGGGTGGCTGAGCGTGGAGGTGTTTGACGGGCGGTTCGGGGAGAAATACGGCGACGACCTGCGGGGGTTCGCGGAGAGGGCGCGGGGGGCGGCGCTGCAACTCGTCCGCGAGGCGGCTGGCTTGTGAGACGTAGTGAGGAGCAGCAGCCCGGCCGGGAGGCCCGGCCAGCCCTGTTCCATGCAGGCGCAGCGGCTGCAGCGGATCCGGGGCAACTACCAGGGCGAGACGAGGGCGCTGCCGAGCGGGCAGGATTGGCCGAGGAGCCACAGCGCCGTGGAGGAGAGGGACGAGGTCGTCCAGGCGAGGGCCAGCATCCCCCAGGAGACGGGCGGCGGCAGCTGAGCGTGTGTGTCGACGTCTCGTGCATTTGTTGTGTATTTGTTCACATATATTCAGAGTCCACCGTATGAAGGCGCCATGTATGTCCTCGGACGTATACGGAATAGAAGCGAAGCCCGATATTCATAATCATCAAAGAATGTGGTTTCGTTTTTAATCCCCACACATATAAAATATATGTGGCACCTTTATACAGTGGTCAACGCTCAAGACCCAGCGTTTAAAGAAATACAGTTCCAATAACAGTAGAAAGAGAAAGCAGTACTTAAGTACGTCTGTGGGCACGTGTCATTCAAGCATATATACATACTTCAGCCTGGGAATGAAAGATTGGTCATCGAAATGTAGGTCCGAATTATGAAATAAAAGTAACGCTGCATGCATTATCTAGGCCAGTTTCCCCCATCACCACAGAGATATCTGGAAGACTCCCCCTCACGCATTCGCAACACCAGGGGCAGCAGCAGCCAGCAGCTTGTCAAAGAGGGGCGTCCCGAGCCCCGTGACGGGGTCCCAGCCGGCGGTGCAGTTCCACCGCGCCCCGGACGCGGGCAGGCCGCCGCCGGCGTTCTGGCAGCCGCTCGAGAAGCCGGAAGTAATATCCAGGAGCGCGGCCGAGTTCTCGTACAGCCAGGGGTTGAGGAACCCCAAGGGGGCGCTGCCCTGCGACCTGCGGGCGGCGTTGAGCAGGGCCACGACCCCGGCGAACGCGGGCGACGACGCCGACGTGCCCGACAGCGACGCCTTGCGGCCCTTGTCGTACACGACAAACGACTGGCCCAGCGCCGCGACGTCGGGGATCCCGCGGCCCGACGCGTTGTACAGCCCCGCGTAGGTGCGGCCGATGGAGCCCAGGTAGGCCGGGACGGCGGCCGCCTGCCAGGCCGGCTGGGCGTGGTAGATGCTGAAGCCGCCCGACGAGAAGGACACGCCGCGCTCGGGCGCCGAGCCCGTCGTGGCGCCCACGGCCGTCACGTAGGGGCAGCCCGCGGGGAAGGTCGGCTGGAAGGTCGTGGTCTTGTTGTCGGCGTTGGACTTGCACGCGCCGCCCGGGCCCGAGTCGCCGCTGCTGAAGAGCACCGACACGCCGCGGGCGCCCAGCTGCATGAACATGTTGCACACCTTGAGGGCGTAGTCCCGCGGCACCGACTGCTCCTCCTCGCCGTACGACGTCGTCAGCGTCTGCGGGAGGTCCGCGTCGTCCTGGGCCAGGACGTAGGTCAGGAACTCCAGGTAGGGCTCGTTGGTGGACGGGAACTTGTTGTTGAGCGTGGGGATCAGGGGCCCACGGCCGCCGGTGCTGTACTCCAGGATTGGGATCGGGTGGCTCGTCGCCAGGACGTACTGCAGGTCCAGGTTTGCCTCGCCTGTCATGGGGGGTCAGTATTTCGTGCAGGAAATGAGACATTGGCTTGTGAGGATGAAATGAAATGATCATGAGAAGAAACTTACCAGAGTCGTCGGCGCTGTTCTGGTCGTTGAGACCGCCGTTGATGGTGGTGACTGAGAAGTTCTGGCCGGCAGCCTCGGGGAGCTGCTGGGCCGTGAACGTCTCGAGGTCGGCGTACCGGGCGTACTCCTCGAGGTACGACGCGAAGGCGATCAGGTTGCCCTGCGCCTCGGGCGTGTAACCGATGTTGTACTGCGACCTGAGACAAGCTGGCGTGACGCTGGTGCCACAAGCAGCGGCCGCCGCGGCAGGGGTCGCCGCCACGGACTCCTTGAGGGCGGCCACGTCGTCATCCTCGTCGTCGTCGTCGAGGATGACAAGGTCGAAGATGGTCGACCTCTTGTCGCCCAGCTGGCCGAACCTGGTCGTGGGCTGGATCAGGTCGACGTGCTGCGCGATCTCGTCCGGCACGCCGTAGCTGAGCGTGCGCAGCTTGAGGCCGCCGCCCTTCTCGTACTCGTACCAGCCGAACTCGGCGTCGAGCATGGCGTCGGCCGTCTTGACGTCCGTGGAGATGGTGATCCAGTCGTTGTCCACGGCAGGGACGACGCCGTGCTTGGCGAGCCAGGCGGTGACGTCGGCGACGGACTGCTCCGTGGGGGCCACGTAGGAACGCAGCTCCTCGCGGGTCAGGTGCTTGCCGTAGCTTGGGTGGCCCGGCGAGGAGACGGCCAGCACGGCCTGCTCGAGGGCGGCGGCATGCTGCTGCTTGAGGCCGATCTTGAGGGCGAGCTTGTCGGTGGGCAGGGCGGCCGAGACCTTGGTCCATCCGATGGGGACGTCGGGGACGCTGTCGAGCACGCGAGCCGACACTGCGGCCGCAGCTGTCAGGACGGCCAGGCAGAGCATCGTGACCGAGCCGGGTTGCCTAGAGGAAAGTGGTGGCGGTGATGGGAGGGGGGAGGAGAGAGCGAGGGGTGGGCAGGGAGAGGAGAGAAGGCATTGGAGGGGGAGGGGAGCACCACGCTCCCTTTATCATTTACATTATATCACACCTCCAGCCAAGCAGAGTCAGAGCGGGTTCGCTGTCGATCCATTGGACTGTCGACGGCCTCGGGAGAGCACCCTTGAGAAGGGGCTGGCCGGCTGGTGATGGGAAATGGAGGTGGCCCTCAGTTACATTGACTGCCTGCCTCGTACCGGTTCCTGGTTCCCCACGTACGTAGTTTCCTCTAGCCCTGCATGGGGATCGGCAATCGGCCGGGTACCTGGTGTGGTTGGTCTCGACCTAACAGTTCTGCAGCTGTTGTTGACGGTGTTGCCGTTTGACCATGACACGATCACGCCTCCCCTTTTGTGGTCACTTTGTGACGACCCTGCTCGCAGATAGCATACACTCCGTAGTGGCGGGATGGATATCCCAGCCAGCAGTGAGCTTAGAACCCACTGTTATAACGGATGATAGCTGCGGGTTGCCCCAAACTCAAAACTAAGGACGAGATTGCACTTGACTGACTCTCCCGAAGCAAGCTTGCGGATCTATTCCAAGCGCCGCCCTCTGCTGATCTCCATAAAGACCTACGTCGACTGGTGCTCTGCATGTGCTTTTTTGGAAACCCATCAAGCCCATCTCAGCCCGCTGTCTCTGTCTTGTTTTGTTTCCCTCTGTCCCCAATTCCTCGGGATCTTGCCCATCACCCTGCTCTGCTGATCCAGCTGCTGCATTGACAGATCGCCCAAGTAATATCCGTGATAAATATCGGCAGCTCGGTAGGCCAGCCTAGGCCGGAACTGGCAGGCCACAGCACCCCTCGCCTCCGCCCAGCCAAGCAATTCGCCCCCATCCCCATCGCCAGTACCACCTGGCACGCTTGGGCTAGTCCGGCTGTGCGGTCTGCCAGTCTGCACGCGCCTCGCGCCATCCACACCCAGCGGCCAGGCTGGATCAAGCATTGCCAGCTGCCTCTATCCAGCCTAGTCGTCCTGGGCGATAAGAGCTTGTAGAGCTTATTTCGACTGCCCTCGCCGGGGCAGCTGCAGCTCGGACACGAGGGCCCTGAGCTCCTACTTATCTATATCGCTCGGCTCATGTCACCATCTGAAAACGGGGTCGCATCATAGGCACTTGATAGGCGGGCGCGGGACATCAAGGTGTCATTTACGGTGCATGTAACGACACGTGCACACATCCGTACAATGCACACCCTACACAAAGTGCACACACGCGCCTGACCGACCCAGAGGATATGATTGACCTTGGCATTTTTTTTTTTTTCGAAGGGAGGCTGATAGGTGGTCTGGATTGCATCACACCCGTCAATCCGAAGCGGCCACGAGCAAGCAGACGTCAACGTCGAGGCTGGGCAATGCCTGTGGCTCCCGGCGGCTCTTAAACCAAAACAGGCTGGTCCTTTGTTTAATTGTATGCATAAAAACCCCCCTCACCATCGCGCCCGTTTAGACTTCCATCAGCCGACCGGCTAAAATCCTAGCCAATCGCGCCGCCCGTCCCGTATCTGTGTCACCTCACTCGGCCATACGCTTCGGTCGGCCGTTTCTGCCTGCTCTCTCCTCTTCTTGGCCTCGGGCTGTCATATGAGCACTGGAACATTGTCAAGAGGGGGGGCGGGGGAGCCACCCTGCCCAAAGGCTCCCCAGACATTATAACATTGTCTGACAAGTGCCCAGTTGATGACCATATTCAAGACAATAAGTGTGGCCGAGCCAATGAGGAACACACCTCAATTGGGACAGCTTGGCCTGGCGCAAAGGCAATAAGCAAGGCGTAACTGGTCAGTGATTTTCGCACAGCAACCAATCGCAACGAAACAAACGCCCAGCCTTCTCTAGCTGTTGGTACTACCTGTGCACAATTCAGCGAGTTCTTTTTTTCTTCTGTCTTGTTTTAGTTGCCAACTGAGTGTTGTGCAGCATTGGAGTCTGGATTCCGACTGAACCCGGAGCGGCAAGAAACTTGGATGGTTCCGTCACGGTGGCAGCGAGATGAGGAACAATATGAAGCGGAATGTCCCTTCTTCGACGGACAAGTTCATCCAAGGCTATACTCGGCAACCTCGGTCCGGGCGCATTTCAATAGTGCGCTCGTTTTATTCAGGGGTCTGTAGCGGACAAAGACTTCAATGTTGAGACCATGAGATTGTGGAGACGGCTGGTCATAATTATTCCAAGGTTCAAACATTATATGGTTTCACTTCTATTCCGTATACGTCCGAGGACATACATAGCGCCTTCATACAATAGTAAGCACTCAAGACCCAGCGCTTAGAAAGAACACAATACCGATAACAATAGTTATAATACAATAGATGCTTATAGCCTCAGCCTTACAACGCACAGACAAGGCTAAAGGGCACCATCTTAACGACGACGTTAACTAGAATCATAGACAGAAGTAGCCCACAGTCTAGTCGCTCAAACGTTATATCGAAGTTACATTTTTAGGAAACGCCCTTTACAATGCCTCACAGCTTGTGGGGCAACATCTGCCTTTGTTGGCTTTTCTCAAGGCTGTTAGTTAGAAATGCAGTTCGGACCCCTGGAGTGGCACCTGAAAAGTACAGTGGGGCCAAAAAAGTCTTGGGACACTTTAAAATCCTAACCCTCACATTCTAGATATACTTTAAATAACTAACCCTATAATAATAATATAATAATACTTATATTTATACCTATTAATTTACTTATTATTCTATATATAAAGATTTTTAAAAATTAAAAAATAAAATCTTTTTAAATTATTATATTAAATTTAAATATTAATATACTTTTTAAATACCTTTATTTTAAACTTAATTTTTAAAATATTAAAAAATATATAGAATTTTAAATTAAATTTATAAATAATATATAATAGTAATTATTAAGATTATTAAAAAAAGATTATTAATAATTAATTTCTTTATAAAAATATAAAAGTTTAAAAAAAGAAGTTCTTTTTTTTCTTTTTTTACTTAAAAGTAACTTAAGTTATTAGCGCCTTTACAGGGGGTCTTAGGGCCTAAATTCCTTAACAATTTTAAAATTCTTTAATTTTATTATTTTTAAAGTTTAATAAAAACTTTAAATAACTATTTTAAATATTTTAAAAAATATTATAATATACTAAATATACTATATTTATATTTATAAAAAGATTGAATTTTTAACTATTTTATAATGTATTAAAATTTTAAGTTAAAGTTAGTAACTTTAGGTGTGGAAATAAGAAGTGTCCCAAGACTTTTTCGGCCCCACTGTAGTTACCTAAGCCCCTGACAGTCATAAATGCGTTGTTCTCACGAACAGAGCCCTTATTTCTGGAAACCAACCGAGACTCCCATTTTGGATATCCGAAAGTCCTCTCTATTTACCCCACAGAATCCGTCACGCTGCCGATGCACATGTCACCGGTGTGCTCATTACAATTCTTCAAAACCGATAGTCCTGGACAATTCAGCTATGAGCACATATCTAGGCACGCTCTGCATCTTTATCCCCCCCCCCGGTGTAAGTAGGCCATGAGACAAGCTTCATAACACCAAGCATTCCTGCGTCTGAGATCAGGCCGGCCGATCGATTGCTATTGAATCAAGGACCCTCAAAGTTCTCTAGCCATTTCCACCTACAGCATGTGGCACATGTTTACACAATCGAGACCACTCAATTATAAGATAGGTAAAGGCGAGCTCAAATTGCCCGGACGTGGCCTTGGCTGTCATTAGCAAGGGACATGCACGGAACGCCATAACTTGAAGAGATCAGATTTAGACTCCAACCCAGCCATGGAGGAGTTTGACACCAGTCGCTCGCTATACAAGAGTTTTCAGATCGTCCGATCCTCCTTGTTACCAGTGGCACCGATGTTACGTCCCAGGTTGTTTGATGCAGCTCAACGCTTTATGCAAACACTTTAAATGTTAGGAACCTGTTGTCTGGGAGGGGAGTGGAAAGCTTGGGCCACATCGGCGTTTGTCTCTCCCGGCCATGTTGCTTTTGCTGCCCTTTTGAGAAAATGTTAAAGTTTGGCCCAGTTTTTTCTCCGCAGCGCACGCCAAGCATCAACCACGACGAACAGGACAACTTCATCGCCAGTGAGAAGCAAAACAGAATTCAGAAGCTTGGTGGCTTTCGTCATGTTGCCCGAATCACTCAAGAGCAGCTATGCTCAGTACAAGGACGACACGGACCGATTCGCGACGTGGCTCCTCCACGCGGCGGAGAAATGCGGCTATCAGGCCACCGGGCTTGCCGGCGTCGTCGACAGCACGGCCAACGGCAAGGGCAAGGCGAAATCAAAATCAAAATCCACACCTGTGCTGCCCCTGAAATACAAGGCCACCATCTCTGAGCTCCGAACCATCGGCCAGGTCGTGGCCGAGTCCTCCATGAGGGTCCCAAGCGCCATCCTCGCCGTGGCCCGCCGAGCCGTTACTCTGAGGAAAGACGCCGCCTCCTGGTTCGTCGGCAAAGGCAACACTGCCTCCGACAAACGACATGCTCACTTTGTATCCGTCCTTGAGGAGATTTGCGAGTCTCTGGAGTGGCGCAAAACCGAATCTCCCAAACAGGATTCGGCCGCCCGTTCCTCTGCAGCTGCTCCCGCCAACGGAACCACAGACGCAAAGGCTGCCAGTGAGGCCTGGGTCAACCAGTTCGCGACTCTGACGGTCGAAGAGCCCGAGGAGGTACCGGAGTCTGGTGATTCCTCCAAGCAGCTGGTCCACGTCGAACTGGTCGAGGACGCCGGCGTGAACGACGAGGAGCAAGACCTGAAATACCTGTCTCATGCATACTTCCAGATCTTCTGTCTTTTCCGGGACCTGCAGAACATGCGCTCCTTTATTCGGCAGACCTGGGAGGAGTATCGCGACAACAAGCTCGATATCATGACCGCCTCTGTGGTCACGGATACCGCCATGCAGCTCGCGCGGGCCGCGGCCGACGAGCTCAAGAAGGACACATCAGTGCTCCCACACGAGCAGTTCCGCGAGCACGATATGCAGGCCCAGATGATGTTGTATGAAATGGCTTGCTTCGCCCGCGGAAACGAAGCAGTTTCGTCAATGGAGCTCGGTCTGACGTTCAACGTCGGAATGGCGCAGGAGGCTGAGTGGTGTTTTATTCCAACAGGCACCCTGCTGATGTCATTCGCGCCCGTGATACAGAAGTCCTCCGTCCCTGACTTCAAAAGCGGACACTTTGGCGTCTACGACCCAAAGTCTGATAGGTCCCGCATGTCCGTGGTTGAGCGGTTCAACGAAGACAAAATTCTTTTGCTAGAGCTCTTGCCAGAGTTCTGCCTGATACAGACTATGGGCGGCAACTGGCCCGTCCGCGACGAGTTCACCCACGGCTTCTGCGAGTTCGCCAGGACCAGGAAAGTCACGCTATGGCTGTCCTTCGCGGCCCAGGTAATGCTCGACATCCACCACACCTTGAGGTCGAGCCCGGACAGCCCCTGGAACGATCTCCGCATGACCGGACTGCGCATCTCCAAGACCATTGCCGACTTCAAGAAGCTCTCTGCCACGCACCCCAAGCCTGCATTTTGGCCCAAGGAAGGAGACCAGGAGATCGAGAACATTCAACACACCGTCGACAGCAGTGTCAAGTTCGACCCACAGCATGCTGTGTGGCAACTAGTAGGCACCAGCCAGAGGCACGAGGAGCACTTCTTCCTGAAGAGAAACCCCGTTCTCGCCGGATTGTTGACTTTCCACCTCACACTTCGCATGCAAGTCATCGGCCAGGGTCTAGTGACCCAGTGGTACGACGTGCAGCAGATGGCGTTCCTGTACAACCTGGTAAACACAATCCCCGAGTCGAAGCTCGTTTGGCCTGACATCGAGGCTTTCATCAAGATACACGGCGAAAAGCACATCTTCGTCGGCAACAGGCCCAAGGACGCGGCCGAGTCGCTCAACAGGCTCGAAACCGCAACGGGTATATCCTCCGTCACCAGATTTGCCCGCGACTCCCGGAGGACTGGTCAATGGCACCGCCCAGATGGGAAGTCAAACCGAGTGATTACGCCCACGACCAAGGTCGCCAACATGTTCCGAGACAACTACATCAAGCCCGAGCAGACCCGCAACATCGCCAACGCCGACATCGGCAGGCTTCTGGACGACCTGGCGGGCACCTCCGCCGACACGAGAAAGAAGAACACCAACAAGCGGGGCAAGAAGAGCAGTAGCAGCCAAGCCATGACCACCAACCCCGAGAGGCTCCTGCTGGACAAGTGGTCCCAGAAGCACAGCCTGGGCGCGCTGCAGTTCCTCGCCCTGGTGCGCACCAAGCTGCACGAGGAGGAGCCAGTCCTCATGTTCAACTACTTCGGCATGCACCAGCGGTGCATCGAGATGCTGCGGCGCATCAAGGCCAAGGAGCACCACAAGTTCGCGCAGTACTTCACCGAGGGCTACATGCCCGACGAGTCCATGATCTCCAACCTCGTCATCCTCGTGCACCACGTCGCGCGGGGCTCGGCCGCCTCGTCGCAGGCCCTGGGCCTCAACGTGAAGCCCGGAGGCGGCAGCCAGGCCGTCAGCCGCATCGTCATGAGCTGCGGGGACGTGATGCGCGAGTACCTCCGGGCCAAGGGGGACGTGGCGTGCAAGGAGCTGCGGGCCTTTTGCAAGAACAAGACGCCGCTGTATGTCGAGGCTGCGGAGGTGGACGGGCAGGCGGACAAGGACTTTGCGTATTGGTTTGGCCTGGAGGAGGTCATCGATCCCAAGGCGATGGCTTCTTTGATGACGGGGATACCTGTGCGGTGAAGGGGGGATACAGGTCCGTCATGGCTGCCTAGGTAGCTTCGCAGGAGTCTTCCTATGAGGGTTATCGAGAGGTGGGCATAAATACCACACAGGCTCAAGCTTCTTGCTTTCACGGAGAGGCCACGTCTGCGGTCCTCACCTGCTAGGACAATGTAATATAGTCCCCAGAGAAATTGGGCACAGTCAGAACGCAGACGTATCATTGAATCGTGCACACAGCCTGTAGGCGGAAATGTGTGTTGCCACAGAATCATCAACAGTGAACATTGGCAATGGATGTTAGTAGTGAATATCATACGAGAATATTACAACTTAATAACTGGATGTCCTGTTAATAGCTAAATAGCTATAAACTCTGGCCACGGTACTAATAGACGTCGCTATGGCTCGATAACATGCTCTCATCAACCTTCAATCGAAGGACACTGCAGAACCATGAAAAGCAGCGCGGGGATGACTTCATGCGTTCTGTCGCATTTAACTCGCAGCCCTCGTTGCTGCAGAACGGCAGCAAATACGATATATGATGGCCAAGAATGAGCTCGCTAAGCAATCTACTGCACGGCTCGTATTCAACTTGCGCAGGTGAGTGCACCTACATACGTACATACGGAGCAATCACTGTAATTGGCGATTTCCAAGACTGCCCAGGTGCATTCTACTACCTTCCCAAAGGATATCTGCCAAGACACAAGCGCGAGCGCGTACTAACTGCTGGAGATAAATAGCTGGACCCCTCAGAGAAAACCACTGGGCATCCGGGAATAATGAGAATCTGCACTTGCCGCCAGATGCCAGCTGCTTGTGGTTTATAAAACCCGGACAATGCGTATTTCCCACATATTTAGTAGTTCCTGGTTTCTCCTATCCGGCGTCCGGGCCGCAACCTTCACATCATGCACCGCCGCGCAGATATCCACCCTTGAGGTGGCCATCGACCGGGCCACCAACAAGTCCTACGCAGCCATAGAGCACCTAGAAGCGAACCCCAACGGCAGCGAGATCCAGACGACTTGGTATGGGGCTTTCAGTACGGAAAGGTACAACAGGGTCCTGACGGCTTTCAAGGTGCGCGACGACGGGGTCCTGTGAGGAGGCAAGATGAGGAGGCACCTGATAAGGACCGAGACCTAACCATTCCTAGACCTTCGCGCCCGACCTGGCCACAAAGTTCACCTATGACTGCTCCTGCGTGAACGACGGTGTCGTCGCGACGATCGGCAGCTCCGACCGGTACGGCGACGTCAGGATCTGCAGCGTCTACTTCAACGAGGCGGTCTGGCCGGCTTCCGGGCGGCATCGCAACCAGTGGGAGTAAGTGGCTGGCCCCCTTTCGTCGCAGAACGCCGAGTTCTTTGCTTACATTTATTAACCTCCAGCACAATCGTTCACGAGGCGACCCACTTCAGGGCTGTGCTGCCCGCTAGTGACCGTGGCTATGGCGTTGACTTCGGCAAGCAAATCGCAAGGGACGATCCGGAGAAGGCTGTGACCAATGCTGAGTAAGTTAGAATCTCATCATCTAAATGCCATAGTATACCGATGTGGTTGGATGCTAACCTTGCATACCAGTAACCACGCCCGGTTCGCCGTTGAAGTTCCGCCATGGGGGCCTTAGTTTCAACTGGGGATTTGGGGTTCATGGAGATAAATGATGTGAAAGCAGCAAGGATACCGTTGAAGTTGCAATCCTTGCGACTGAGAATTGCACGGCCGTTGGCGACGGACCGCCTGGGCAGTGAGACTCAAGCCTCCTGCACACCTGAGCAGGCGGCTTACCTCCGGGGTATGACATATTTCTGTTAATAAAAGTCAGGTCGCATGTGGTCTCCCCCCACAGGCTCTTCAGTGTTAGGGAGCCACTGCATTTGAGCAAAACTGCCCACTCACCACCATTCAGCTGCTCTCTGCTGGCCCTACGACAATTCTTGAACTTGTTAGTATGCACAGTGCTGTCCCTCACCGATACTAGTAGACCAAGGACCCACGATAGACGACTGTTCATGTATCGTTCAGCTATGCCTATTAGCGGTGAGATATCACTTGGGTTCCACGGCATGTTGTTCGCCGGTTGCACCGAAGTATGCAGATTTTACCAAGATCTTTGCAGTAGCAAGAAACGATGGAATACAAGGTGTACTCCAGGCCTTGTGGGCAGACAATGTAGGTGTGGCGGCTGTATCGATAAGTTCGCGACCCCCGAGCCCGGCCCTTCACTGGATCGAATTCGTCGTACTCCACCATTAGCCATCCTTTGCTTGAATCCACAGAGTCATGGGGCTTCAGTGCCAATAGTCCTTTGGACTTAGGAATACAAAGCCTGTCGTACGGGGCCAGTCGTGTACATATGTAGTTGGTGGAAGATACCCGAGTTAACGGGCTTTGCATTCCGGATCTGAGGGACCCAGGGATCACATGCAAATGCTGTAGCAGCGTGGAGTTTGATCTCGCTTGCTGGTAGCTCGGGGGAAAGGCTTGATTTCAACTGTGTAGCCTGTCATCCACTTTGCACGTTTCGTTTTGGTCAGGCCGGGTGCCGAATCCACCCAAGCATTCTCCTGTGAGGCCCTACCATAATTCACAAGCAATCAAGGGGCTCGATGTAATGAAATGGCCCATGGACCCATATAGCCCCAGCATCACTGTGCCTGACGATCAAAAAAGCTGTGCTGGGCGCAAGCGTGTGGGCCACAGAGCACTTGTGTTGAGGTGGTTGCCCCGGAGGACCTCAATGGGGGTTTCAACAATTCATCGAGCTCATAGCCGAGGAAGCACTCTCGGTACCATCAATAGTAGTTTTTCCTCCGGACTTTTCCAGACAATATCCACATAGCCGTTGAAAAGCCCAACTTGAGATGAGTGATCTCAACTGATGATAGAAACAGCAATACTACTAATATATTATATCTAGCTTGACCTCTAAATAAACAGAATATAAGTAATATTCTACTTCTAGATGCCCTTTGCTCGGTCTTCCCAAGTCCTCTAGTGGTACTCAATTACAGAGCCTTACAGGATCGACCTCCAGAAGTCACCGATGAGACCGGCAACCTCTGGTACCTTCTGCCTGACGACGCCATGCCCAACCTCCGCAACTACATGGACATTGTGGAAGCCAACCTGTTTTAAATCATCAGGGGAACACAGATCATCGAGCCCACCGAGCACGACTACCGATTCCACTCCAGTCCCAGCAGCCTTGGCAAAGTCAGCATGCCTGTCGAAGACGCCCCCGTCTCTGAAAATGCCAACGACAGAAGCCAGGTGGCCAGGGTGCATGCGCATCTGCCACTCGCGAATAGCTTCCGCCACCACCTCACCCCGAGCCACACGCTCCCTCCAGTCCGCGGGCACAACAAGCCCCCCGCCCTCCAGGAACTCCAGGATCCACTTCCGCGCCCCGTCCTCCACGCCGTCCCCGCCGGTGATATACGAACGCTGCAGGTCCGTCCAGCCGGCCGAGCGCAGGAGCCCCGCGGGGGCGACGAGGGCGATGCTGCTCACGCGCGCCCGGCCCCTCGCGGCGACGTACTGCGCCGTCTCGGCCGCGCCGAAGGAGTAGGCCACAAAGTGCGCGGACGGCCAGCCCAGGTGGTCCAGCAGGGCGTCGACCTGGGCGTGGAACAGCGCGCCGTCGTGGGGGGCCACGGGGGTCTCGCTCAGGCCGTGGCCCCACCAGTCCGTCAGGACGCAGCGCGCCTGCGGGAAGGCCGCGTGCAGGGCGCGCGCGAGGGGCAGCATACCCAGGGCGGGCGTCTGCACGCCATGGAGGAACAGGACGCGGTCTGGGGACTTGGATGAGGTGGTGGTCGAGGCTGGTTGCAGGTCGTAGTATGCGGCTTTCCCGTGGGGTGTGGTGAAGAATTGGGCTGGCGGCAGCAGTTTGCCGAATGTGTCTGTGAAGGCTTCCTCGGTTGGGGCAGGGATCGGGGGTCTCGGGGTCTCATGAGCCGCCCGGGGGCGTGGGAGCACGAGTCGTTCGTGAGTGTGTTGAGTTGCCATACTTGGTCAATCCCGAAGCTGAGGATTCCGGATCTACCTCTGGGGATTTGGTAGTTCCTGATATTGCTCATGAAGGCAGGCTTGATGCCGTGTTGACTCGTGTGGATTCGTCATGGGAAAAAGAGGGCTGGGCCGCATTTGATTGGTTGATACCAATCTTGGCAGTTCATAGTCTGCTCAACTACGTTGGCGAAGGGCGTAAGGGATCGACTTGGTGGTGACAGGACCTGACTTCTGACTTATAGGGCTTTAAGAATCGATCCCAGCACAGAACATGCTGTTGTGGATTCTTGTCATCTATGAGTGTGACCAGTTGACCCAGGCGAAAACCATTCGTTCGTGAATGCAGTCCTCATCAGCCGAGCCATGGCCTCACAGCTGCAGCTCTTGAGCTTGCCGTCATACAAACGGGCTCGCTCTGGGATGGATGAATTCAACGTGTGGTGGCGAGTGCTTGTTCTAGATCAAGATAGATAAGCAGGTCACGAGGCCAGTATGAGTGACGAGGTCTGCTATAATATAATCTGTGGGGTCCACAGTGGCACAGAGCTCGGTGCTTTCAAACCAAGCTCGCAGCTCTAATGTGTACGAGTAAGTCTCCGTACCAGGCGTTTGGGTCCCGGCTGTACGATTCCAATGGGAAGCCGCCGTCGTATCTGCCTTCTATTAGCGTGTTCTCGACCTCGGCCTCGGCGGCACGGCCAAGACACTGCGACTGCTCGGCGTTGGGATTGGTAAGAGCTCGTGTCGAAGAGGCTTCTGTAAGAGGGCACCTTCCCATGCATCGTCTCTTTGTCAACCTACTTAAGTACTTAATCGACATGTCACACTGGAACAATCCACAGCGACACTTGGTTAACTTCATCCGCGCAAAAAACACTCTTCCCCATATATCCACAATGTCTCGGTTTGCCAGTCTCCCTGAGACAGCCCCAGATGCCGCCTTCGCCTTGATTGAACAATCCAGGGCAGATCCTTCCCGGGAGAAAGTCCATCTCAGTGCACCGCACGAATGGACCTTATCTTTCCTGATGCTCGGCAAGCTGCATATTGCCGGAATACCAGCCGCAACACAAAGCGTAATTGGTCCCCACGATAAGTGAGCGGCCGAGTGGCTTCGGTAAGTGTCATCCTTCCGAGCTAGCGTCTTCTCAAACTCCTTAACTTTTCGTTTCGGCCTACCCCAAATGGTGTTTGCTTGGAGTTTATGTTACCTCCCGAAACTCATATGCCAGATCAGAGTTGCGCAGCGGTAGCGTCTCCTCAGAGACTCGACGGCCCTTCGACGAGTTATATCAAATCATGGCTTCTGCCGTGCTAAAAGCATGGGACGAGTGCGATAAGACAGACACCTTGTTCGTCCTCGTCTGCACTGTCATCTGCTGGACAATTGTACCGACGGTTAGTCTTCAGCAGCCCCTTCTTTGACATTGTGCTGCTGCTCATTTGGCTCACCTGCCGCGTGGTCCAGGTCGGAATTGCCTATGGAGGATATTCGTGGAAGCGCAATGGCATGAGTGCGGCCATGCCGGCCGTCCTCACAATTGCCACCTGCTCCATTCAATGGTTCATCCTGGGCTACACCTTGGCCTATGGCGAGGGCGGCTGGTTTTTCGGAGACTTCAAGTATCTATTTCACCGAGGAGTGCTGAGCGAGCCAGTTGGGACAATCCCCGCGATCCTCTTTAGCGAGTTCCAGTTGGTCTTTGAAGCGACCGTTTGCGCCATCGCCGTCGGCGGCGTGTGCGAGCGCGGAAGGCTCTGGCCGTTGGTGACTTTCATCTTTGTAAGTTGCCTCCAGTCGCCGGCCTGTACAGAAAGGTGCTCACAGGGCAGCAGCTTTGGTCGACATTCATCTACTGCCCGCTCGCACATATGGTCTGGGGCGGAGGATGGCTCGGCGGAGACCTTGGTGTGCTCGATTTTGCAGGAGGTGGGATCAGACATTCTTGTTTCCTATCTTGGCACTTGCCATGCTGATCAGAACAAACATCACAGGAACTCCCGTCCACGTCTGTTCCGGAGCAACAGCGACAGCACTGAGCATCTACCTCTCCTACCCCCTCTTTCGTTCGCGCAGGTCTGACGTCCGGACGCCCACGCATATCCGGCTCCACCGCCCCGGCAACTCTTTCTTCCAGCTCCTAGCCTTAATCATCATCTGGGGCTCCTGGCTCGCATTCGATGCCGGCACGGCCTTGACACTCTCCTTCCAGTCTATCATGGCACTCTGCGTGACGAACCTGTGCGCCTCAACCGGTGCGCTCACCTGGGCGTGCATGGCCTTCTTCGAGACTGGCAAGTGGTCGATCGACGCGACTTTCATGGGCGCCATCTCGGGATTGGTCATGATCACACCGTCAGCCGGCTTCATCGACATGCCGACGGCGTTCTTCTTTGGCATATTCGGTGCCCTGCTGTGCAGACAAGCCCTGAGGATCAAGTTCACCGAGTCCGCGAGGAGGTGGCGCTGGGTGGACAACGGCGACACCTTCGCGACGCACTGCGTCGGTGGCGTCGCAGCCACAATAGCCACCGGACTCTTTGCACAGAAGGAAGTCGCTGCGTACGGAGGCTTGGAGATCGACGGTGGCGTCTTCTTCGATGGCAACATCCGCCAGCTTGGCATCCAGATCGTAGAAGTACTTGTCGGGTTCACTTGGTCATTCGTCGGCTCGTTTGTCATCATCGCGCTCATCGACTGCGTTCCCGGCATGGAGGTTCTCGCGCTTGACAAGTATTCAACCCAAGGGCTCCAGATGTGATTTCGCATGCTAACTGTGACAACAGGGTCATAAGCGCCGGGCTAGACCTGAACGAGACGGAGGAATCTCTCTGCGGACTCGACTATCCCGATGAGGTCGACTATTGCCCCGTTTCAAAGGGGA